ACACACTAAATAAAATAGCAAAAACTGACAACTCACGGTCTGGATCTGAAACGGATCATTGCTTGCAGGGACTAGCATAAACCATAAGCCCTCTGAGGCAAGTAATGAAAACAGAGAAGCACTTTTCATCTTTGGCCAAAACGTAAAACACAGTGGAAAGGATTCTGTCTTTGTCTTCTCCCCACTACCCCACCCTGGCCGCCTGCCTCAAAATGTTAGCAAAAATGGGAACGGAAGCTTTTGTTTCACATGGCTGTGACAGGATAATTCAGAGGTGGGGAAACTTTTTCAGCCTGAGGGCCACATTTCTTTCTGAGTGAACTTCCAGGGGGCACAGGTCTGTGTTTGGCAAGAGCCAAATGTGGGAGGAACAACCATTGTGACTTAAACTTTGGACACAAAGCTACAGCCCAGCCACAGGAAAGCTGAAGCTCGCTGCATACACCACCCCTTCCCTCCAGGCAAGCGAGAGGCATTATCACAGTTTTTCAAGGATACATTTCACCCAGGCAAAAGTACTCAAGGAGAATGTGAAGCAGGCCCAGTGAGTGGCATGGCTTGGGAGGCATCCTGAGGGCCAGATAGAGAGACCCTGGAGGGCCACCTTCAGCCCCTAAGCAGAGGGTTCCCATCCCTGCGATGATTCCAGGCAGTTTTGATCAGTGTGGGAGGTGTGATCCAGAATGAGTGCACCTCTGGAGAGGATGCAGTAGACTTGTGAGGAAGATGACTGGACCACAGAAGTGTGCTCTGAAGACTACAAAGCTGAAGGGAAGCACGCTTTTGGTAGTGGCAGCATCTGGGCAGGGCTTTGGGTCAGATGTCTAGTGCCCCACTCATTACAACAAGGAGAGCTGCCCCAAATGTTAGCTTACCACATTTTGAAGGCATGCACATTATCATAAAAAGCAGGTCCCCCTGAAGACCATACACACCATGCATTTAAAGTGCCCTCTCAAGAATACTGGGAACTGTGGTTTATGTTTCACAGAGCTAAGATTCCCAGCTCCCTTCACAAAACACATTTCCCAGGAGTACTGGGGGAGGGAGAATGTGCTTGTATAGTGCATACGCAGCCTAAATCCAGACTAAGGATTTCACCACTGCACACTCTGACCTCTGGGGACCAAGGGTCACTGCCTCTCAGGAAGAGCATCCTGGAAAGGGGAAGACAAGCTGCTTGCTTTCATCTTTCCTCCCCTTCAGATTCCTTTTTCCATGTGCATTGTGTCTATGAGATTATGAGCCGGTAAGCAAGGATTACCCAATGTTTTCATATCTCTTCAGCATGCAGGAAATGTTGGTTCCTCTCCTGAGTCGCACCACAACCTTTTGAGGAAACTCCTGGGTAGGCTCATTAACTGTTATCATTAAACTTGTAAGTAATAATAATTATTAATGTGGCTACCCAGCAGCTTCCCCAGGAGGTAGGTCATAAGAACATAAGAGCCCTGCTGGATCAGACCAAAGGCTTGTCTAAACCAGCTGCCTGTTCTTACAGTAGCCAACCAGATGCCTGTGGGAAGCCCAAAAGCAGGAGATGACGCAGCACAACTCTCTCTGCTCCTGGTTTATAAAACTATGCATGGCATGGAGAAGGTGGATAAAGAAAGGGCGCTCTCTCTCTCTCTCTCTCTCTCTCTCTCTCTCATAACACTAAAACTTGGGGACATCCAGTGAAGCTGAATGTTGGAAAGTTCAGGACAGACAAAAGAAAGAACTGTACTATACTTCTTCACTCACGGCATATATGGTCAAACTGTGGAACTTGCTCTCACAGTGACAGCCACCAACCTAGATGGCTTTAAAACAGGACTTTGACAAATTCATGGAGGACAAAGCTATTGGCGGCTACTAGCTATGATGGCTACGTTCTACCTCTCTTGTCAGAGGTAGTATGTCTCTGAATGCCAGCTGCTGGGAATTGCAGGTAGGCAGAGTTGCTGTTGCACTCAGCTCCTGCTTGTGGGCTTCTCATGGGAATCTGGGTGGCCACTGTGAGAACAGGATGCTGGACTACAGTGGCCATTGGATGGATTCAGCAGGCTCTTATATTCTTATGCTCTTATCTGAAGGCATGTGGTCTCTGATTCTGAAGGTAATATAAATTACGAGTAGCCAATGATCACTTTATCCTCCCTGAATTTGTCGACTCCCCTTTTCAGCGCAGAGGGAGGCAGACATTGGGCCCCCACTCGGCAGAATAATCAGGAGGGCCCCCTAAACACAGAAGGTAGCTGACTTACCACATACTGAAGTAAGCAAAGCAATAACCTTTATTATCTAAGAGAAGGGGAGGGAAAGACCATTAAGCCCAAATTACCAAACAGCTCCACAGTATATGAGAACAGGCCTTCTGTTCAAGCCTTGCCAAGTTGGTGAGTGGGTTTTTGTTTTGTTTTTTAATGCTCCCTTGGTTTTGTGCAAATGCAGCAACCCTCTTCCTGATGAGCAGAAAGAAACAGAGGTTGAACCTGCCAGCATGCTATTCTCTATGGAGTTGTTTTCCTTTCCTTTACCTCAAAGGGTGAACCTAGGACAATGATAAAAACTTGAAGCTGCAGCTGAGGGACTCTTGTGAATTGCCTGTCAGACTCAGTTCCTGAGGAATTGATGGCAGAAGCAAAGATGCTGTAGTAACACCAAGAGCAAGTCTCCTAGTTGCTGTCAGGCCAGGAAGCAAACCTGACTCCATAAGCCTTTATGGTGGCCTTGTCCACATTTTGCTTGTCCCGTGCCTGGAAAGCACAAGTCTGATAAGTTTTCTGATTGTCCTGAGCTTTCCCTGGAGATACCAACTCTTTAACACTAAATTGGAACAAATATCCATCCACAGAAAAATGGATTGATGCTTGCTCCTATTCAACAGAAATAGCGGGTTTCCCTGGGGGAAGCTGCGAGGCAAGTGGAAGTCTGGATGAGCCTGATGATAGAAGAGCCTCGCCTCACTTGTTCTGGCCTACAAATGTGCAGTAATGCTTCCTTGGCTGGTTTGAGACAAACCTGGCCTTAGCAGCTATGGTGACACAGAGCCCAGTACTGTACTCTGCCAGGATTCTCTATGGATGCAGAGCTTGTTGTTGCTTTATCCCTGCAGTGAACATAGTGGAATTTTGAACTGGCCTCATGTTGTATCCGACCACTGGTCCAACTAGCTCATGGGACCTCATGCATGCAAGATACATGCTCTACCGCTGAGTATTTATTTGTTTGTTTATATTTATTTTATTACATTTTATTACATATTTATTTTATTACATTTCTAACCTACCTTTTCTCTAAGGAGCTCAAGGTGACACAGATGGTGTGGCTCCTCTCCGTTTTTCATCTTTACAACAACCCTGTGAGGTCGGTTAGGCTGAGAGACTGTGGCTGGCCCAAGGTCACCAAATCAACTTGACGGCTGAGTGAGGATTTGAATGTCTGCTGTCTCAGTTCTTTAACAACCACACTATGTTTTAATATGTAGTATTATTTTATAATGGATATTTCTATGCTGCTGGCTTCATTTTTATTTTTTTGTATGAACTTGATTTAACATCTGATTGCATTGGTATTTTTAATATATGTTTTATGTACATCTCTTAGAGGTTATGTAAATTAGGTAAAATAAAATAAAAATAAAACAAATCTGAGCGTGTCGAATTGTCAGTAGGGATTGCAATCCATTGGTCACCGGTCCAAAATGGACAGTGGATTCAGAGCCTGAAAAGATATATCCCTGCTAAGTGAAGACAGAGGATGCAGGTGAAGTCCTCAACTCTACTTTGCAACCAGATTCACATCACATAGAAAGTGCAAACATGAGGGTGGCCCCTAATGAGGGACAAGAGTCAAAGTATAGAAAATCCCTCAATTGTGCGTAAGTGCAATTGGAAACAATCTTTCAGAGAGGAAAATAGATCTATTTTCCCTCTAAGCAGCTAATTTAATTTCCCTTTAACCTTAATGGCTCTTAACTATGCAAAATAAAGACCACTCAGTACTGCAAAAAAAGAAATAAGAAAACTTTACATATCCCCACAACTTAGCCAGTGCAGAGTCAAGGTGCCCAAAAGATTTCTGAAAAACAATGATGGAATGGTTTGCTCCGTGGTTGGAAAATGCCCTGTTGGAGTGCTAAATGCTTGGCTCTTCTCATGGGACCACTAAGCCTTGGCTAAACACATTTGTCATCTTTACAGTAATTCCATCTGCAGGGCAGTGCAGGGCAACGGGTATCCTTTGGGCAATTATGTTAAGATGGATATACAGCTTCCAGGCTATTTTGCAGGCACCAGACAGATATCATCACACTCTTTTTCTCCAGTGATCTCGAACTGCCAGAATATCGATTAGGTTAAATGCTTCTGACATTTTGTGTGCCTACTGCATACGTCTGGGCAAGAAATGGAGGGCTCATCAACTCCCAAGACTCCCTGCGCACACTGAGCAAAAACTGCTTCAATGAAGCCAACATTGCAGCGTCAAGGGGCAGCAAGTAGCAGAGGTTGCAAAGGCAATTTCTGAGTAACTAAGTATATGTGATTCCTCCAATGGACTCTGGTTGCCCGTGTAGAACTCAGAAAGGGGAAGGAGGACAAAACAAGAATTAGTTGGCAATGTCTGCCAATGGCTCTGGCTCCACCTACTGTTGGCCTCCCAGTCTTCCGCCCTACCAGTACTAATGTCCACCAGCTACCACTGTCTATCAGTCTCCTTCTGCCCTTATTTGTAAGCAAGTCAGCCAGGATTCCTACCAAGTTGTCTACTCTCCTTCATCTTGTGCATGGTAGTCCTTCAGAATTAACATTGACTTTGACATCCCATGTATTAGGACGACCGGATCAGAGAAGCTAGCTTAAGGCTACCAGACGTCCCCGTTTCCCGGGGACTGTCCCCAGATTTACAAATCAGTCCCCTAACAAAATCCACTGAAGTTGAAAAGTGTCCCTGGATTCATTGAAAAAAATCTGGTAACCTTTAGCTAGCTGGTCTTTTAAGTTCCAACTCTATGACTGGGACATGCGGATAGCTCAGTTGCTTAGAGTGTGTTACTGATGATGTCAAGGTTGCAGGTTTGATCCCCGTGCAGTGCTATTTTTCTAGAAAGAGAGGTGCCAGAACTCACCATGAACACCTCCCTTGTTCTCTTATAGTGGCAATGGTGCTCACCTGAGAGTGAGTTCTGGCTGAAAAAAAGCTCTGCCGTATAGGACAGCTGTCTATTCCTGCATTGCAGGGGGTTGGACTAGATGATCCTCAGCATAGCTGTCAACTTACAGATTTGAAAATAAGGGACCAGCAGCCTTGAAAATAAGGGACCTGCAGCCTCACCTGTTCCAGGCACTCCAGTCTTCCTGTCCTCCTGCAGTCTGGTCAAACTCATGCTGGGTAGCTTCAAGAACAGTGTCCAACCAACTTTGTAACCAGAGGTTCAACTGAATAGAATCTGAATCACATGCACTACAAGGCCTATGCAGCCTCAACTTAAGATGGCTCCCCGGCCTGGCTTTGCACTGCAAAGTTACAGCAGCACATGCAACAAAATGGCGTCCAGCATTCAAAAAACCCCTCAGCTTGCATTAACTAGCCACCCACAAGGCATGCAAGCTCCACCCCCCAGTCGTTCTTAGACTTCTTATTGGGTGAGCAACACAGCCAAGCAACACAGTTGGAGCCTCCCTCCTCCCTGGCCAGCAGGGAGGGAGGGAGAGGAGCTGCTTCCTTTGAAATTTAAGGGACATCATTTAAGGGACATTTAAGGGACATTCATCAATAAGGGACAGCAGTGGGACATGGCGCTGGAATAAGGGACTGTCCCTTCAAATAAGGGACACTTGACAGCTATGATCCTCAGGGTCCCTTCCAACTCTATGATTCCATGATTTCAAGACATGTATTGCCTTCTGTCCACAGAACAGATTGGTGCAACACTATCATTCATTCCTGTTCCAGAATCTACAAGCAGCCTTCCCCACTAACAATCAATCCCTCTTCCCAGGGAACTGTGGGAATTGCAGTGCTGTGAGGAGAATAGGGGTCCCTTAACAGCACCCTTCACAAACTACAGTTCCCAGTATTCTTTGCGGGAAGCCACAGGTGTTAAAGTGGTATCATGGTCCTTTAAATGTATAGTATGGAAGTGACCTGAACAGGCACACAGTCCACACACTCCCCCACCATGAGAAGATAACACAGAACTCATAGCACTAGAAGTCATGGACATCAAATGAATGTTGGAAGATTCAGGACAGAGAAAAGAAAGTACTTTTTCATGCAGTGCATAGTTAAACTACAAAACTGGCTCCTGCAGGAGGCAGTGACGGCCACCAACCTGGATGGCTTTAAAACAGGATTAGAAAAATTCAGGGAGGAGAAAGCTATCAGCAGCTACTAGCTGTGACTGTTATGTTCGACTTTCCTTGTCAGAGGCAACATGCCTATGAATATCATTTGATAATTGCAGATAGAGGCGTGCGGCATTAAGGTCCTGTTTGTGGGCTTTGTGCAGGAATCTGGTGGACCACTGTGAGAACAGGATGCTGGGCTATTGGATGGATTCAGCAGGCTCTTATGTTCTTAAGATATAATTGTAAATACCATAGAAGCACAGTCTCACAGTTATTTCTAAACGTGCAGCTATGCATATCAATTAGCACATGCAAATCTGTGGCATCTTTTTTGGTGATGCAGTTGCTTAATTTTATTTTATTTTTGCAATGTGGTATAGACCATCCTCTTCTATCCTTAAAACATGCATACAAAGTCTTTTATTTAAATACACACACACACACTGCCTCCGTTGAGCTAAATCTTCATTTATGCATGCTGCACAGCAGTTAGAAAGATTGGGAGTGGAATGTCAGGTGGCTGAAAAGAAAATGGAGCAGAGTGGAGTAAACTTTGGGGAATAGCAAATGCTCATTTTGACCCAAATTGTGGTGGGATGTGGAGAGAGAGATAGCCGCTGCTTCTCACAGGGTCTTTCTCTCAAATACATTATCTGGAGAATTCCAGGCTAGGAAGAAAAGCACCGTGTAGAATTGGATGAATAGAAATTATGTATATTGTTCTACTGCAGGCTGAAAGATGTCTGAAATAGTCAGCCGCAATTACAGATCTTCAGGTACCAGGAATCATCAATATTCCTTTAGGGTATTATGCGTTCTCATATTCAGACATATTCACAAGACAACTGTGGGTCCTGGAGGACAAAATTAAAGGAAGACAAAATGTACCTGGTGGGTACAGAATGAGAAAGTTCGCCTCTGGGACATCCTTAGAAAAATGTTACACTAAAAGGGAATTTGACCTACACCATTAGCTCATGCTGATATACCAGCCTTGATTTTTGCCTTATGAACATCATATGTGTGCAGGAGTGAATTAAGCAAAAAGGAAAGGGGTGGGGAACGTTGGAAGTCATTTTTCTGACCCCTTTTAGGAGAACACACAATGTCACCTACTTCAATCTCGGCAAATTGTTGCTTTGCATCTGCTCCAATTTATCAAATGGTTTCCTCCAGCCCCGTCTATCACTTTAAAATAACCCCAGAAGCCACACGACTCCTCAAGGACATAAAATTAGTATACATATCATAGAAAGCAGCTACCTTGACTGCCGCTGCCACCAGTGAATGTATCTGTATTGATACCTAAGAGAGAGAAAGAGAGAGAGAGGGAAAGACTCCTAATTAACTGCTCAGTTACCTATATGTATGTATCCCTGGAAAAGGAGGAGTGCTGGCTTTTCCCTGGGGCAATCGTAGTCCAGGCTACACAATTTTGGGTCACATTTACTCCCCCCAAAGAATCCCGGGAGCCGTAGTTTGTTAAGGGTGCTGATTTCACAAAGCTACAAATCTCTGCACCCTTAAGGAGGCTCAGTTCTCAAGATTCTTTGAGGGAAGCCATGGCTGTTAAAGTGGTATAAGAGCACCATAAATGCATGGTGTAACCCAGGATATTCTCTAAGTATTCTCAGGCTTCATTGGGCTGTTTGGGGGAAGTTTTGCCCCATTGAATTTCCCTTTCCTAAGGATTTTTGTCCTGCCTCAGTGGCCCCATTTGGAAAAGAAAGGGGAATGTAGCTTTCTCGATTATTCTAGACTGTTTTTCATCCAAAAGGATCTCAAGGAAAGGATACAAAAAAGGATAAAATAAACAGATGCCCAGTGTCGTGTTGTTTCGGTGATTGAATATATTTTGAATATATGAATGGAATATTTGAATATATTTTTGTTTAAGAAGACTTTCCCTGAGGTGTGACACAAACATTTATGGAACAATTGCTTATCTGTATAGGTTAAACCTATGCATTAAAGCCTCCTCTTCAATCACTATGGGACAAATAGAACTCCCCACACCCTGTCTGCTATTCAACAACAAAAGGCCGTGTGCACTTTCTAAATTCATGTTCAACATTCCAACCAGTGAGACCATAAAACAGACTATTCCCGAAGAGTTTTTCTTCGCATCCCACACTGCGCATCTCTCACACACCGTGATGCAGTTAAATAGAGATAGGTGAATTTGTCAATAGTGGTTTTCTCAGTTTCTCACTTTTCCACTCTTCAGTTCTCCACATTTCCACATCCATTTGCATTTTTAAAAAAGTACTCATGAAAATTAATCACCATTTTAGTGCAACTTTCTTCTTATACACATATCAGTGTGCAATTTTGCCCTATATATTCAATTTTGCAAAGCCATGTTCCCTAATATAATGCATTTTTATATGTTATTTTCACTATTATATTATTTCTCTGCATATTTTATCCTAGCATGTGCATTTTGGACATATTATTTGGGTGGAGAAATGCATTGCAAAAATAAGAGAAAAGCAAATTTTGAAAGATGGCAGTGTTTCAGTTTGTGTATTGTTTTGGAACTTGCAAATTAATTGTGAATTGAATGGAATTTCTCCCCTGTCCCTAGTTACCATAATCATAACTAACATGATAAGCAACAGGCTGATTTCAATGCACTTAATTAAAACTGAGGAGAAAGAACAAATCAGGATCCCACTAAAACCATCCTAGTCTGAGAAACATCCCAGATTACAAATCATTGCATTGTCAAAGCAAGTTCTTTTATCAATGTCTAAGCTCAGTTGGAAGGGAACAATATGATCATTACTTGCAGAAAAACAGACATTGATTCATTTTTTTAATAAAAGAGAGTAGCTTAGAGGAGGCCTCAAGCCTGGGTGGAGTTTGTCCAACATTTCTCCGATGAAAATAGGGACGTCCCATTCCATAATGATAATTTTACTATTTATACCCCACACATCTTACTGTGTTTCCCCAGACACTCTGGGCAGCTTCCAACATATATAAAAACAGAATAAAACATTAAACATTAAAAAAACTTCGCTATACAGGATTGCCTTCAGATGGCTCGGGGGTCGGATAACTCCATATCCTCCCACATTTCTCCAATGAAAATAGGAGACATCCTAAGGACATTCTGGGATCAAATCAGAAACCGGAACAGTTTCTCTAAATCAGGAACATCCCTGGAAAATAGGGACACTTGGAGGGTCTGTAATCCAGTGGTAGTTGGTGTTACTTGGAGGGCAGAAGGCAGGTGCAGCCACAACCAATGGCAGAGACCCACAGTCTGGTTGTAAGAAAAACAGCTGCAGGTAGGTGATGGCTGGCTAAGAGCACACTGTGGTTGGTGGGGCAATGCCCCTTCACCCTAAGAGACTCCAACTCCCATCATCCCAAAGCAGTGGCCATGATGGCATTGGCTGATGGGAGTTGTAGTCCTGAAACACCTGGAGGGCACCAGGTTGGGGAAAACCAATGTGGGGGCAGGCTCTTATTATTCTGTGACAACGCAAATACTCTTTGAGTTTAACAAATTTCTACATCATCTTCCAATTCAAAATGTCCAAGTTTTGTAACAAAGCAGAAAAGACAATGCTAAAACAACCATAGCAGAAATAAAAACAGGCAAGCTGAGGTTAAGAACCTGGGAATATAAAACAATCGCAGCAGGAATAAAAAAAAACTTAACTGAGGCTAGAAAACCTCAGAAAAAAGGCTTTGTCTGGTGCCTAAAAGTCCTTTACTGTACAGCTTTTTTCACATGCTACACTGAACTCAAGTACAAGCGATCTCTGTACATGCAGGTCTATTTCCCCACAAATTGGGATATGGATTCATACAGCTGTTATGCACACCATCTCGCAAATGTGGTTTTCGCCTGGAGCAACAGCAGCTTGGTCTGTCATCCTGTCACATCTTACAAGCTAAGAAGCAACAAGACTGGACAATATTTGGACAGGACACTTCAGCAGGGATAATTCACCCCCTTCCCACTTCCTGCTCCTTGTGCCCACAACCCCTGTTCAGAATGCTTCCCAACTGCATGGTATAACTAGGGGTGGAGGAGAAATTGGATTCAATTCACTTTTAAAGGTAGAACTCCTTGGGTGGCTTTAAAAGAGGATCAGACAAATTCATGGAGGAGGAGGCTATCAAGGGCTACTACTAGCCAGGATGTCTATGCTCAGGCAGCAATGTTTCTGAATACTAGTTGCTGGAAACAACAGGAGGGAAGGGTGCTCTTGGCTCGAAAAAATATGCAAACCAAAGCCATCCATCAAAGTTCACAGTTCCCCAAATTTTGCAAGGTAGTTCTCAAGCCAAGTACAAAATACAAAAATACTTATATTAGGGTAAACTGCATAAAAATCCACATGTTTTTGAAAGCAAAATATGAAAACGTGGCAACTGCTTTGCAAAAGCAGGAAGAACTGCATACTACTAGGCTCAGAATGGATGCCACATTCTTGGGTATAATACGGATCAAAACTGTACATGGCATTTTTCTACCTAACACTAGCGAGACATCTGCCCAATAATCAGATATTTATTCCAGAATAACTGGTAACTTTGATTTTTGTTGGTCCCAGTCTTGACTTTGTTAACAGTCATTCATTATGCTTGTTAGATACTCTGCTAACTTGATCAGCATCCTTTTCTTCTACTACTATTATTATTTAAATTTGTTTCCCACTTTTCCATGTAAATTATGCACGAAGAGGCTGACAGCAGAAGAAAAATGCAAATCACTACATCATTTCAACAACAATCTGATACTAAATAATTTCAAAACACAATCCAACTCCATTTGATTATATGAACATTATAACATTTTAAAGCCATAATAAAACCAACTACCTGTCACTAGAATGTATCAATTAATGGCAAATATAATAAAAATAGCAACATAAAACTCTTGTTCTAAATGATCTTCAGCACATCTACCTGACTTTCTTGTGCACTGATTTGACAGCATCTTTCAAAACAATTATGCTTCCCACAGTTAAAGCAGTTTTTCAGATGCATCCCCTGTTTAGGACCCTGCTGCATTCCAAATAATTTGCATGCTTGTTTCTTTCGCCTATTTCCCCTCACAGTTGCTTGTGACAAAGGCAGTTCGATTTCTGAGTCTGGCTTTCTTCTGCATTCTTGCTTCATTCTGCTGAACACCTTCAGCAGAATTCAGATAAGTGGCCTGTGTTTTCACAGCTTCAGATGCCCTGCATATCTGAAGACCTTTGTCCAGGATGGATCTCCCTCATGCAGCAGCCGTTCCCCTGAGGACATTATCTCAGAGTCCACATTTAATTCTTTCCCTTATCAGGGACTCTCTCGAGTCACCCAAACCGCAATTCTTACTCAGCCTCCTTAATTCTATAACATACTGATCCATAGTTTGACCGGCTTTTTGCATGTATGTCTTTCAAACATTTCGTTATTTTTAGGCATGCAGGATACTTCAAACTTCTCCGTTATTTCTTTTAGTTTCATAGCCTCACCTTCAGCAAGCCTGAAGGCCAATGCCTCCTGGTCCCACAACATGTAGGAAAAAAAGGTGGTTTGATGATACCACTTTTCTCTTCTGCAACTCTTGCTACCAGGTAGAGTTCAAATCTTTGTCTGAACCAGTGGTTTTCAACCAGGGTGCCATGGCACCTTGGGGTGCTTTGAATGATGGTCAAGGGTGCCACAGGCAACACTGGCCTCTGTCCCTTTTTCCTTCCCTCCCTCCTCTAATGCCCTCTTGCGCCTCTGCCTGCCAAAGGCTTGCACAGCTGTTTGTTGCAGCAGCCCTGGCTACAAGCTTCCCAGGTGAATGGTGCCTCTGGGACTGGCAAAGGGGTTTTCTCAGGCCCCTGTGGGGCAGTTTGAGGAGGCACTTCTCTTTGGGGCAGGGGTGGCAGCTCAGAGACCAGGGGCGGCTGCCCAGAGGACTCCCAAGGAGAGGGGAGAGGAAATGAGGCTGAAGGAATACTCTACAAGGGAGGGTGTTTGAAAAAGGGTGAGAGGCTGCAAGCTCTGCAGGCAAGTGGTGACATAACTGGACTCCTGAGCCCGAGGGGTGCGGAAGGAAGAATGTAGTTGGTCAAGGGAGCCGTGGATCCAAAAAAGGTTGAAAACCTCATCTAAACCTTTTCCGGATACCTGCAATATCCCCTGACAACAGCAGGCTTGATGACGGTTATAAGACATCCACGTTGCTTCCTCCAGGTCTGGTTCCCACAGCTTCTTACCCTTTGCCTGTTGCTGTACATTTCAGTGGGCCTTGTTTGAGTAGAACTTAGCTGGATCTAAGCCAAAATCTTCAGCCTGGCAATAGCCCCATAACAATACCTCAAATCAGGTGAAAATGGGCCAGAAAGCAGGAATTGGATGACTCACAGTGAGACCCTGCTACAGCAATTTTATGCAACAAAACAATCCATGGCCTTTTCAAATGGGGAGGTGTTGGTTTTGTTTGTTACTATGTTATGTATTTTTGTGTTTCTATATTGTAAACTGCCCTCTGTTCCTCGGATGGGCAGCTAAGAAATTTAATCAAACAAATAAATAAAATAAAACAGCCTCCTAGGAAGTGGTCAACAGGGGTGTGGAAAAGGTGGTTCTGTTCTCCATAGTTCTGCCCTGTTGGATGCCTGCTTTAGTTGCCTGATGCAGCCCTATGGAAGCTGCACAGCCATTCTCAGGCTGACTACTATGGCCATCCTTTAGCCATTGATTGGGCTACATTGTTGTCCAATTTCTGCAGCCTTTTCGCACTTTAAATATTAACTCAAGTGTTTTGTTTTCAAAAAGCAGCCAGCCAGAAAGCGCCCCAAATCTGGGATTGCGCCATTTGGATAATCTACCTTTGATAGATGTGACAGTTGCTTCAAATGTGCCGTGTGGGTCTACCGTACAGGTTGGCGCGGACAGTTAATTTCCCAAGCTAGCTGTAGACCTTTAAGCCCATAAATTATACAGCTGTTCGATATGAAAACTGTAAAGTCCTCCAAAGAGTGCTATATAGTAATTATCAGTGGAGGCTGGCCTGGGCTGGATAGCTCAGTTGCTTTGAGCATGTTGCTGATAATGCCAAGGTTGCAGGTTTGATCCACGTAAGGGACAGCTGCATATTCCTGCATTGCAGGGGGTTGGACTAGATGATACTCAGAGTCCCTTCCAACTCTACGATTATAAGTAATCTTATGACAAGTGTGGCGCTGTCCTCCCTTCTTTCTGCCCATAGCCAGCCTCCACCAGGGGGTGGCATTGTCTGTCAGCTTCCTCCTCCTTAGCCTCAGTTGTCCTTATAGAACTCAGCCAGAAGGAGGATGGGGGCAAAACTAGTGTTAGTTGTCACCATCTGTCATTGCCTCTGGCTCCACCTACAGTTGGCCTTCCTGTCTTCCACCAAACCAGAATCAAAGGGTGTTGGAAGTTTGGATGCAACTCATCTTGCTGAGAAGGGGTTGCATGGGTTAAGACAGACAGAGTAAGGGACCTCCAGCTTCCCAGAGTATCCCTGTACCTTTATTGCTATGCTGACATCTCTCTATCTCTTTGATGTTTAAACTGGTAAGTCTTAGCTTGCATCCTCTTTACAACTTCCTCTCTTTCTCTGGACCTCAAGAGAAGGGGTCATCTTCTGGGTCTATTTTCTGAGAACCATAGAAGAACTGGAAGGGACCAGAATGATCATTTAGTCCAACCCCCTGCAGTGCAGGAATCTTTTGCCCCACACGGAACTTGAACCCATGACCCTGAGATTAAGAGTCTCAAGCTCTACCGACTGAGCTATTCCTTTCCCTGTCATAGGCTGATCAATGATAGGCACCACCTCAAAGACACATGAGAACGGCCTCTGCTGTACATCTAGGTGATACTAGTGGAGACAGTCCTTTGGATAGATTCAACCCAAACAGCTGAAGGCTTTAAAGCAGAGGTGGGGAACCATTTTGCAGCCAAAGGCTGTGTTCTCTAGTAGGCAACCTTCCAGAGACTAAATGCCAGGGGTGTTGGCACAACTGATGTAATTCGTATCCCTCTACAGCAGGCTATGTAAAAGCTAGAGATGGCTGGGATAGCTCAGTTGGTAGAGCTGGGTCGTGGGTGAAATATTCCTGCATTGCAGGCGGTTCCAACTCTAGAGTTCTATGATTCTATGATTGATTCTGCTTGCCATTCAGGCAACCAAGAGGCATTATTGCAGTTCAAGGACATATTCCAGTCAGGCAAAAGCAGCAACAAATTCTTGAGAAGGGTGTGGCACAGGGTCAGTGAGGAGGGTGGCCTGAGGAGGAGGCAGGGCTTGTGGAGAGCCCGTTGACCACTGAGAGGCCTGGAAGACCACATTTGACCCTGGGTTTGAGATTTTTTCACCCTACATTTAAAAGTTAAAGCCAGAACTTTCATGGGTTCAGAAATGCACCAGAAGCCAGTGCAGCTGGAATGGTAAAGATGAATCTGGCCACCTTGCCTTCGTTAGAACCATGGTGGCTGCATTCTGAAGCAGCTTGGTTTCCAAACAGTCTTTAAGGGCTGTTCCACACAGAGTGCATTACAGTAGCCAAGCATGACTGTGATCAGGGTACAGACTGGTGTGGCTAGATCAAACCTCTTCACATAGGGCTGCAGTTGGCTCAACAGCAAAGCTGATAAAACACATTCCTAGCTTGCCATAGTCCACACCTTCCCCACCTGGTCTGACTGTGCTCCACACCAAGAGGTGCAAAAAGGGATAGGATAGGAATAATTCCCTCAAAACAGTTGGTACACAGAGCTGTGCAAACAGAGCTGGGCTGGGGAAGCAAACTGCGGGAATTGGCCTCCTTGTCAAATCGCACAAAACAAATCCATCAACTTGCCGATCAAGCATGGAGCTGAAAGCTGCCCTGCTTGAGTTTTGTCGCTGCCTCCTGCACCAGCCCTCCTAATAAAGCCCGTGCACCTGGAATATATAATTTTCTCAGTGATGCACGAGTGAGGAAATAATCCAGCTCATTAGCTTTATGAGCTCTGCCGAGCCAGTGTGGCAAAGGGAGGGAAGGGGCTGAAAAAGCACACGGCGAACCGAGTCAAAAGATACCGAGTCAACAGCACAAACTGATGTAAAGGCAGGCAGCAACACCACGTCAAATAGTCACCTTCTGCGTCGTAATAATACTTCAAGAACAGCAGCTATTGTGTGTATTTTTCTTGTTTTGCAAGGTCCCACTTTCCCGACTCAAAGACTCTTTTCAGCAACCACAGGCTCATTTTCTCTAGAGAGAAGGCAGCCGCTCAGCTAATAAATAAAAAAATAAAATAACTCCCAGCCCGCTTGCAAGTATCATTCGCTTGGATTCTTAAAAGTTTCCCTCTGCTGCTCATGTTGAATATGATCAGGCAGGAGGGTGACTGGGGTGTCTTTTGCTTCTTTAGCTGTTCTCTCCCCCCCCCCCCACCTGCCACAACCCTCTTCTAAACTCAAGAGGCCCTGTCTTTAATCTTGTGACATGCAGCTTGTTCACATATCAAGCAAAGTGTGTAAACAACCTAATACCAAGAAATTTTTTCAAATCCTCCTCAAGCTTTGCTTTTCAAAATGTGAAGTAAAAGCGTCAACTGCTGTGGGAGACTCAGGTTCCCTCCAAACCAAGCCCCATTTGTGTGTGTGTGTGTGTGTGTGTGTGTGTGTGTGTAAAAGATGATGGGGGGGGGATTAGGAATGGGCAAATCTGCCCATTTCAGTTTTTCTCAGTTTCTAATCTTAAGATCAGTTATCCACATTTCCGCATCAGTTTTTTCACCAATATTTTGTTGCAGAGATACACTTTATTTTGCAGTCTTCCCTAATATAATTCACTTTTGTTTTATTTTCAGTATACAGTATATGCATTTTAATGCACATTTTTGCAAGTATGTGGTTTTAGTACGCAAAACTTGGCTGGATAATTGCACTTCAAAATTTGAAGATGTGTCAGTTTTGAAGGATGGCTGCATTTTTATTCCTTTATTGTTTTGGAAGTATGAATTAGTTAATTTCGCCTTTAAATGCAAACTGAATCAAATTTCTCCCACATCCCTATTTATTGTGAGGGTAAAATGTGGTGGGTAAGAGAGAATTATGCCTCAACACCTCCTAAAGTTGTATTCCTTGGAGGAAAGGCAAGATATAATGAATAAAACACTCAGCAGGTCTGCTTAGTACCTTTTACAAACACAAAGGATGCATTTGAGGAGGTTGGTGATGATGGAGAAGGTTACCTGTATCCAATGGTTTATTTGCAAGAAGTTTTCTTAAAAATAATTTCCCTCCCCGATACTGTGCTGGAGTCTGTATTTAAGCCTCTATTGAAGGAGTGATCAACTTGTAATAATTTAGATGTTCTTGTTGCTATGGCTACATTTACAAAAAGCGAAGCGAACCATTATAATTTAAATTTCCAGTTATCAGGAAGAAAAAGAAATAAAGACGGAAAGCATTTTTTTTTAAAGGGGGGGGGGTTTCCTAGGCATGCAACTGCTTTATTCTTCACTGTCAGTTGTACTCGCAACATGACAATCAGTTGGATTTGATCAAATTGCCTTGTCAGGAGAGATTTAGTGCATTTTATACATTTAAATATATCCGTGATACTTGGGGCTTCTGCATTAAGCTTGACATTCGTTTGCCTGGACTGTTGCTCAGGTCTCACTCAATGAAGAGCGCCTGGCTCATTGGGGCAAATGGGGCACTGCCCCACCACCCTCAGCCAGCTGCCCTGCCTGCCTTCTTACTTAGAGAGGGTGGCTCTGCCTGTCGCCATTGGCTCTAGCTCCACCTACAGGGGGTCTCCTGGCCTTCCATAGGGCACCAGCCATCAATGAGGTCACTTTAAAGTTTATGCTGCTAAGAAAGAACAAGAGAGAAACCGCATCCAAACCAAAGGCTCCAGCTTTGGCCCAAAATGGGGGGGGGGCCTCAGCATCGTGTCACACCTGTGAAATCACATGGGCCCAGTGCACCAAGCCTGGTGCTGGAACCCCCACTGCGCCCACCACAGTGGCGAGGGAAACAGCAGTGGCAAGACAGCACTGCAGCAGGGCTGGCCGCTTGCAGACCTGCCTGACTTTTTGTCGCCACAGCTACTTCTGCTGGAAACCTGGTGGCAGTGGGAGGTGGCGGCGAAAGAAAAGAAGTTTGTGTGTGTGTGTGTGTGTGTGTTGCTCTGTGTATTTGTTATTAGAGATGGTGTATGCTCTGGTTCGCCAGAAGCGGCTTAGTCGTGCTGGCCACTTGACCCGGAAGCTGTACACCGGCTCCCTTGGCCAATAAAACGAGATGAGCGCCGCAACCCCAGAGTTGGCCACGACTGGACCTAATGGTCAGGGGTCCCTTTACGTTAATGTGCATAACAATAGACCATTATGCACATTCACTACGCTGCATGATCATATATTTAATTTGCATATACTCTAAGCACCTCCAGCTGCCAGGATTCTTGTTTAAAGTGGAATGATATTGCTTTCAATGTAGAGTGCGAATGGGGTCTAATCCACTGTTTCCTCCAATACCTGTGATTGGGCCTTCATTGTAATTCTCAGCGAGGCCTCCTGTCAATTCTGTGGCTGCTTCCAAGTGGAAGAAGCCCGCCCATGTCATCCTCAGCGCTCCACGAGACTACAGAATGCCTTGGGTCCAGCCCTTGATTTAAATATGTCCCAATTATCTTCCCACAAGGGAAGAAAGGAGGAGGGCTGAAATACACAAGCTCAGGAGGACCACAGGAAGCGGTGCCAAAGAATTTGCATAGGTTAGGGCCATAGGAATAGGTCAGCGTCAGAGCACACGACTTGCATACCATCAGTCCCTGCTTCCTAGAAAGACGGCTACAGAATCCGTTGGAAAGTGGCATCCCTGGGCACGCCAACACTCCCTGCAAGCACCAGCCAGCATTTTCATCCTCTTGCTACAGAGAAGCTTTCTTGCAACAGCTCAGACCTTTCCCCCCAAAAGCCTATGTGAAAAACAAGGACCATTGATCTGCGCTTTGTGAAGACGTTAGCCAGGGAGCATTCACTTGCTCACAAGGGGACAGCAGCCATGTATTCATTTCAACAAACAGCCAACCTCATCCCTAAAGCTTTGAGGTTGGCAGTGTTAAAAGATGATTAAAAATAAGTTTCCTGCTTTCGGATTGTGTAGGCACTATATACATTTAAAGCACATTTCCTACCCAAGAATCCTGGGAACTGCAGCCTACCTCTCACAGAACAACAATTCCCAGCACCCTTAACAAACGATAGTTCCTAGGATTCTTTTTTGGGGGGGTTGGGGTTGAGAACGTGCTTTAAATGTATGGGGCAGCCTCAGTTTAACCCAAACCCCCAGTTCCACGGCTCACTATATGGCCTTCAAAAGATAAGCTGTTTCCGGCTTTGTGAAGTCTCCGTGGAAAAGAAGCCCCGTAATTGGGAATGAGGAACTGCCGAGAATTCCCTGGGCTCAGCTATAGATAGTGCAGGTGAGAACTTGTGTTATCTTCCGCATTGTATAAATAATTCTCTATGTGCAACACCATCTCTCCTATTGCCTGTATAGCACTTGCCTTGATCTAGCATCAGCAAGCTTAAATAAATGCACCACGGTTTGTAGGTGAGGAAGCCTTTCTGGTGGTAAAAAAGGCTGTTTACTCCAGTTGCAGCTATTCCCACCCCCTGCAATACAATAAACATTGATGGGCATGATTTTATATACACACACACACCCCTACCTATGGGTGTGAAGCAAGGAGTCTAACCTGCAATAATGATTGTGAATACTGCATGGGAAAGAGGGTGGGTTATGCAGTATTCTTGGATATACTGCAAGTACTGCACACTTGGCAGTAGATTTATTTTTTTCCTTATTTATCATTTAGAGTCATGCTCTCTTGAGCATGTGGAGATCTAACAGAGGCCTGCAGCATGCAGAGGGAAAGAAGAGGCAATGTGTCAATGGACAGGGCGGAGGGAGTTATTCCCTTCTGGTAGCAAACTGACTGGACCAGTGCTGAAATGCTTGTGGTCGGTCCATCTACTTCAGGGGTCAGCAGCCTTTTTCAGCCGTGGGCCGGTCCACCGTCCCTCAGACCATGTGGTGAGCCAGACTATATTTTGGAAAAAAAATAATGAATGAATTCCTATGCCCCACAAATAATCCAGAGATGCATTTTAGATAAAAGTACATATTCTACTCATGTAAAAACATGCTGATTCCCGGACCATCCGCGAGCCAGATTGAGGAGGCGATTGGGCCGCATCAGGCCCCCGGGCCTTAGGTTGCCTAAGCCTGATCTAGTTCAACAGTGTCCACACTGACTGGCAGCAGCTCTCCAGGGTTTCATGACCTACCAGGGGAGGCTGGGCATTGAACCTGGAGCCCTTTGCCTGCAACACACACATTCTCTCACTAAGCCACTCCAGGTATTTAAAGGAGCTCAGCTCCCTTTAACTTTTATCCCAGCCCCCTTCAACCAGTGGTTTCAGAATGCTGCAAAAGAGCAAACGAAAGGCCCACAGGACTGGCCCAAGACATTTTGGCACCTGAGGCAGGCCCCGCAATGGTGCCCCTTCCCCATCAGGGAAGAAGGGGTGAGAGAAGAACTAGAGGAGGGGAGATCTACACTAGGATATGCTGCCCCTGTGGATCATGCCACCTGAAGCAGTCACCTCACCTTGTCTTATAAATGGGCTGGCCCAGGTCTCCCAGGGTGTCATGCGCCACCAAGCCTCTTCAGCACCGCAGGCAGTGACACCAGCTGGAGACAACAGGCAGGTGGACAAGAGGGCCAGGGTCAAGGCCAGAGGGCTGTGCCTTTAAGGGGGCTCCATTCTCCAGCAGGAAGGCAGAGCCTCGGAGGAATAATCAGGTTTGAGGATTATACAAGTGCTACACGGGACTCAAGCAAGCCAATTCACTGTGCTCCCTGTCACACCCCATAGATTTGAAAAAGGATACTCACTGTGCGAAGAAGCCTTGCAGTGCATCTGCCCTAATCCCAAGAAGCAGGAGGAGTCAAGACCACTTCAACAGTTGTATTTAATGGTGAACAATGGATTAACCACTCAGAAGAGGAGCTAGGACTCGCCACAGAGCTAAGCTGAAGGTTCCAACTAGTTCCCACTTAATTATGGAGGTGCAGAAGCACACCTGAAGCAGGTGGAGTTTCTATTACAAACCAGTTGTGTCTCTTAAAGAGACAGGTCACATATACTACACTCCCCACCAGGGTTTCTGCCCCCCCCATGGCTACTGAACATGCTCAGCTCTCATTGTACTGTTGTTTTCAAAAAGCGCTTCCCCTCTTAATCCTCCCACCTGCAAATCATGGGGTTCCTCTGAGCACGCTGATTCCTCCCTCTCATTCCTCAGTGGCCCCATTTCCACCCCCAGTGTGGGCACTCACCACCTGCATCTGCTATTGGAGGAAGTGATAATAAAGGCTCAGTTACCACTCATGAGAATAAGCTGTGTTTTCCTGGGACCTGTGCAGCGTTCTGAAGAACGTGGCAATGGTGGAATACTCCACTGTCTTTTCTGCACTTGTTGAAGACCTTCCTTCTGGATCCAGCTTTCAAAGCGCAGACCTTTATACTAGTCTGTCTTTTTTTTTCTTACATTGTTTTTACATACAGAATTATTTTTAATTGACTGCATATATGGAATTGTTTTCCATTGTATTTACATGTGGAATTGTTTTTATTGATGTTTCCGCTGTGAGATATTTTATGGAAAGCAATTCATAAATGGCGTCAATAATAATAATTGCACACAAGTCCCTGTCTGTTAGTAACTCTTACTACCTTCCCTGGATCATGGCCAGACCTGATTCCTTGAGACACATGGTGGTCTGGGTTGGACCAATTCTTCTGCACAATGCTTTTCTACGCATTGCAAATGATTTTGGATTGAACTGATGATTACTACACAATTTTTAATGGTGGCATAATCCCTCAAAGATGTATCTACTTCTTTTTCACTGTACCGATACTTTGTGCTGCTGTAACCTCTACATTCAGCCCTAGTTTAAATCTTGGTTTGAGATGTAAACATTTCAGCAAATGTTGTTTTCAACATGCACGTTAAAAATAGATGAAATCTGTCTTTATAGGTTCTATTTGTCGACTAAGACTGCAGTCCTAAAGTTGGGGAGGAGGGGGATGTGCCAAAGGCAGATCATCTGCCTCATCCAGCCCCCTGTTGGGCTCCCATCAGTGGGGCAGAAGTGAGAGTAGATCAGCGTTTTTACTTCTAGGGATATAGGGCACAACCTTATACAGAGTCAGGCCATTGGCCCATCTAACTTAGTATTGTCTATGTGGACTTAAAGCAGCATTCCAGGCTTTCAAACGGTGATGTTTCCTTCCTAGAGATGCCAGGGATTGAACCTGGGACATTCTGCATGCAAAGCAGATACTCTACCACTGAACTCCACTGAACTACAACCCTTCCCCAACCTTCCTCTGGCCTTGTATTTGCTATTTCCTTCTCCCTTTGGGAACAATGAGAAGGAAATTCACTACGCCACATCCAGGGCTGCTGTAGTTTCCGCCCTGCCTTGGAGGTGTTTCGGAGGACAGTAAAAGCTATTTGCCCTGATCTGTCCAGCCACGCCAAGCACCAGTCCTCCCCCCCCCCATTTGCTTCCACCAACATCTCAGCTTCAGCAGCAGGGCAAAAGCAACAGAAGATACCAGGGCAGCATGGAAAGGGAATGCAACATGGGATCTCCCACAAGGGTTGCCAGGTCAGGAGCATCCCAGACCCTCAGATTTCAGGGTCCAAACCTTTGACCTAGGGGCAAGCATTATCCTGTCTCCAGTTGGGAAACCATCCTAGGGACTGTAGGGTCGCAGGGTTGTTTGTCCTTCAGAATAATGATATCCCCCTTTCCATTTTTTAAGACTTTTACCCACACACACATAGAGAGAAACAAACAGGAACAATGAAAGCAGCAACAGAGTAATAAATATAATCCCTTTTAATTTACTGATTTTTGCCTCAGTATCAGCAACTACATTGTGTTGATGACTTTAATTTCACCTTCACTAATAAATTCTCATTTAATTAAAAAAAAAACTTATACACGTAACTCTTTCCCTGCCTTCTCCAGAAATTGACTGCAACCTAACCCTCCTTACTTGAGAGTGAGTTCCACTGAATTCAATAGGACTTACTTTTGAGTAGACATGGTTGCGACTGTGTTGTTCAATGTGTCATATACAGCATCTCTCATACTCTAACCAGCTATTGATCTGCAGACCTTCTGCATTTTCCCATTTACTTGTCACCTCACTTTGCACTTCTGTGATTAATTAACCCACCAATTCTCATTTCTCAGTTGGCATTGCATCCTTAACGTATCTCAGAAGAAATCTTAATGGTCGTAACAGTATAAAGTGAAAGGTAATTGTTCTTAGAAACTCAACAATTTCCTACCAATCTATATAGGTTTCTATACATCCCTATCATAAAATAAAGTCAATTTCTTTAGTTAATGTAATAAATATAGGGGTTGCTCATGCGTAAGTTGCCGCCACTCCTGGCTAGGTTGCCTTGTTAAACCTTTTCTGTCTGGACAGCCCTTCACTTCATGGCTGTTTCAGTCGCTAGCAGAATCCGTCAGTGGGCGTTTCTTAAACCTTTTCCAGCATAAAAGCTGTTTGACCCCAAGTCTCCTCCTACTCTCCCTGCGCGGAAGTCTTCTGCGCAGGGAGGGTGTGGGTAGCGGAGGACCCATGCTCTCCCTGCTGGTCTCCGGCGAGGAGTCCTGGAGCCCCCTCGCCGATTCCCCCATCTCCCTGGTGTTACGCTGATTTCCTTCCCCAGCTGATGAGCTGCCTCTCTCCCTGCTGGGCCCTTCTCCAGCATCGCTTGGGAGCCTTGCCTCCGCCTCTAGCTCCGATGTCAGTTCCCTGACAGTTAAGTAGGGCTGCCATATGTCCCAGACATTACTGGGATTTCAAAGGCAGAATCAACGTTCAGGGGGAATTTCCAAAAGGCAGCACTTTGTCCTGGATCTTAGGCAAGTCAACTGAAAAACAATTTGGGGGGTTTCCTGGCAACCCTAATCCAAGTATCCATCCTAGCTAAGATACGGCAGGTAGGAAATAGTTTTGACACAGAGGTGGCGAATGTCCAGCCTGGGGGCCAAATTTGGCCTGGCATGGGTGCCAATTTGGCCCATGAGTCTGTTTCCCCCCAAAACCTTATCCACCTACCGCACACCATATGTGATGTCATGTGTGGGGCAGGTAGATGCACATCTGAATTGGTTGCACAGCAAATCCCTGTAGGAAGCAGGCTGGGACTCCTCACCTATCAGCTGATGAGTGGTGATTTTGACCCCACAGGATTGGCTGTGTGACCGAGTTCCCCATGAAGAGCTTGATCATCAAGCTGATCCCTTCAGAGAGCAGCTTTGAACTCGCCACCCATCAGTAGATAGGCAATGACTTCAAGCCTGCTTGATCAACAGCACTTCATGGAATCACAGAAGCTTATTTGAAAGCCCTGCATGGTGCTTTAAAGTCCCCAAAATATTCTTCAACACCAGGTGATTGACAGATGGGTAACCCCACCTACATGTCAAATCTGGCCTCTGAGAGGTAGAGGCCAGGTCAGGTTTCCCATCCCTCCTATAAGAGACAGAGTTGTCTCAGTGGTGGCCCCTTGTTGATGGAATGTTTACCTCAGCAACTGCATTAATGTCCTTTCAGCACCAGGAGAAAATGTTTTGTTCTCCTAGACATTTTTAAAATGTGCTTTTTAAATTACCAGTTTCTGCTGTCTTTTTATGTGTCTTCCACTCCCTGGCATTTTAAAATTATATGTTACTGCTGGGTATGGTTTTTAACTCCTTTTTATAAATGCTTTTGTGTTTCTCATTGTTCAGTTCTGTTAATTTTATTTTGTTGCAATATTATATAATGCAGCACCTAATAAATTTTGTAAGTGAATAATTAAACGTGACTTACTAGGTTTATAGATGGCCCCGTTCTCACATTTCAAAATCCATATCTGCCTACACATTTCCCTCAACTTCACAACAACCCTGTGAGGTAGTCATATATTAAGCGGTATGCAAATGAAATAATCAATTATTCTCTTTTGACAGCTGGGGAACTGAGGTGGAGAGTGAATTGCCGAAGGCCGTGCCAATGAAACTGTGTCTGAACTAGGATTTGACAAACAAAGTCTCCTCCAGGCAGCATGTTATCTACTGACAATAATTCAAGGTGGAAAAAAATATTCTGTGCTAAACAGAAAAGATACGAAAGAAACTTGCATCAGATTAAGATTGCAGCTATTTGCCCTATTTTTATTTTTAATCTAGTGCTGCAGTTGAGTTTTCAAAGCTCTAATTACCTGGATATACTTTACTGCCTTTTACAAATTCTAATTTTTGCACAACCCAATGGAGCAGCTTCTTCAGGAGGAGGAAGATGACCTATTTACATTTCCCCCCTTCATTGAAACGCAGTCTGAAGGTTTGTTTACCTCATTGCATAGCTTGCTTTAACTTCAGTTCTGTTTACACAATCCAAATACAGTGGTACCTCGGGTTACATGCGCTTCAGGTTACATGCGCTTCAGGTTACAGACTCCGCTAACCCAGAAATAGTGCTTCAGGTTAAGAACTTTGCTTCAGGTTGAGAACAGAAATCATGCAGCAGCAGTGCAGCGGCAGCAGGAGGCCTCATTAGCTAAAGTGGTGCTTCAGGTTAAGAACAGTTTCAGGTTCAGAACGGACCTCCGGAACGAATTAAGTACTTAACCCGAGGTACCACTGTATAAATTCAGGGGTTCCAAAGAATCTAAAGAGAGGTGGTGGCAGCAGTGGGGACTGTCTTGACAGCAGCAATGCGTTCAGTGGTGCCATTGGGGTAGGACTTTGGGGACAGAAGACCAGGTCCCCACTTAGAAGCAATAGCAGAAGCCACCCCCGCAAACACAGCAGTGGTGGATTGCAACATTTTGAAGTGGACCCGGAGTAAAACCACTAAGTCCAGAGTCTAAAGTAACCTAACTGTACCACTTGATGTGTTTCTGACATGACTCATTTCTTGTGCAAAAAGGAAGGAAAAAACACATGTTTAACTCCTAGCGATCGGTTTCTAAGAATTGAGATATGGGTTGGGGGTGGTCTCAAGCCTGCCTGAAAGTTTAACCTGCAAACTCTACCTTCTACTTAACCCCAGGGGTCTAGGAATTAGGTTGGTCCAATGGATTTATTAGATGGTCCACTGGGGTGGGGCAGGACATTATTAGTATTATTACATTGTCCTAGGGCAGGCTACAAGTAAAACAACATTAAAATCAAAACACTATTACACAATATATATATATTTAAGTTTTAAACAACTTAACATTACAGAAATAAGGCGGATCCTTAAAATATACATCTTGAAAACCAGGATGAACACCTGCATCTTCATATTCCATGAAAACTACAATAAAGGTGCACGTCACACCTGTGTGTGTATTGCGGTGGGGGGGGGGGAATTCCACAACTTAAGGGCTGCCACAAAGAATGCCCTTTCCTGCCTCCCCCGACCACCCCCAAATTTCATTAGTTTATTACTCCTTCAGATATTAGGGGTGTATCTTATTTCTGTATGCTTGCCAGTGACCCTTTGCATTTGGGTTGTGACATTGTTGACTGTGAGTGGTTTATAGAATTGTAGAGTTGGAAGGGACCATGAGGGTCATCTAGTCCAACCCCTGCAATGCAGGAATCTTTTTGCCCAGCGTGGGGCTCAAACCATTGACCCTGAGATTAAGAGTCTCATGCTCAACCGGCTGAGCTACCTTGTTGCGTGTCTTTATGTATGAGTGGCTGATAGATGTAATGTTTGAGGTTGTGAATGGTTGTTGTGGGTATGTGGAATGGATGGTGAGCGAGATTGGATGAATGATGGTGTGTTATTTGAAATTTTATGTTAAATTTCTCTGTAGTGCTCTCCAATTTATTATTATGTTTATGGATATTTCTATGTATTTTGTTAGGTGAACTATTTGATATGGTTTTGTTGTGCTTATTATGTAAACCGCTTAGAGATCCTTTTGAATAGTAAAGTGGTCAATAAATGGAAATAGTGATGATAATAATAATCAAACAGGCAAGCATGTATTTCTAGGAACCTCCCAATGGGGCAAAATTACACACTTCCTACCCCTGGGGCTCTGTGCCCTCACTAGAGCACTCCCTCCTTCAGCCACAAAGACAAAAAGGGCAACAAAAGGGGGTGTCCCTCTCAGTGTAACCCCAAAGAGTGCTCTGTAGTGGTTGGATTTAAAAACAATTACAGGAAATGTCATCAGCAACCCACTATTTTACCCTTCCTGCATCAGGAGAATTGTCAGGCGACAAACAGTTTTAAGCTGATGATTGTGACGTTTGCTCCCAGTTGGACTTATCAAGTTTTCAACAGATTTTTAAATTGGATATTTTTATCTGTATGATTTTTTTTTAAACCAATTTATTACCTACCCAAGCTTTAGGGATGAGGTGGTGGTAGAGATAAATAGATCAATAATGAAAGGGATTTGCGGAGGGCAAGGCAGAAAGAGATTCTGGATTCCTGAGATTCAACCCAGAAGCTTGAAAAAGGTCACATCAAAATTGAAAGATCAATTTGCTCCATGGCACCTTCATCAGTTATTCATGAGGCCGGGTGGCAGACACTTAGTATTCACAATTTGAGACATATCCTTAGACTGGAACAGCCTATTTAAATAGTAAAATTAACTTTTGGGGAATATTCCACACAGGTACAACACAGACGAAATAGCAGGGCATCTTCGTAAACTTCCGCCTGCTCAGTATTCAACACTCATTTCCAGAGAGTGAAGTCTTCACACTTCAAGTTTACGTTCCATTTCTCCTGAGGTAAAGTGGTTAAAAAAAAAACCAAATAAAAAACCTCGTCTGTTTGTCAATAGCCAAAAACTAATAATTTCTTGCTTTTCTTCCTGTTATGTGGCTTAACAATTAAGAGGAAGGGAGGAAGGGAGAATAACGTGCCTCAAAGTAAGTTGAGTATTTGAATTGTGCCATTTGTCAGGGCTATATACAGATACTTCGATGACCAAGCGTGACGGTGGCCGATATGCTCCCCAGAAGAGGAACACAAAGGCATAAAATGCTCTCTGGGTGTGTGAGTGTCTTGAATCTGAGCAGAAAGGGTGGGAACTTTTCAATCCTGAGGGCCACAATCTCTTCTGAGCAGACCTCTGAGGGCCAGCACCAGAGGCAAGAAGAGTAGGTGGAGCATTAGGTGTAAATTTCATCTTTGTAGGGTAGGGTAGTTTCTTCAAACAGCTTCCTCTATTCTCCTTGTAGGCAAGCAGCAAGCGTTTTCCAAGTTCAAGAGCACAGTCGAGTCAGGCAAAAACATTCAAGGAGGCTGCAAAATAGGGGTGTTGAGACATGAGGCTTGGGAGGGTGTCTGGTTTGGGGTGAGACCAGAGGGGGGGGTGTCTGGAGGGCTGCATTTGGCCCCAGGGCTTGAGGCTCCTCATACTACCCTCCCGTGCATCCGGCTGTTAACCAGAAGGTTGGTGGTTTGAGCCCACCCAGGGACAGCTGTGGGCAGGATTATTGCATTGCAGGGGGTTGGCCCTTCAGGGCCCCTTCCAACTCTGCAATTCTGCGATCCGTGAACTACAGATTCCCATTATCAGGCTTTGGTGCCTAGCCGCCTCCTCTTCAACTGCAAATCTGGCAGGCTGAGTTTTATGCCTCGTGCCAGGGGTAGGCAACCTAAGGCCCGGGGGGCTGGATGCAGCCCAATTGCCTTCTCAATCCGGCCCGCGGACAGTCCAGGAATCAGCATGTTTTTACATGAGTAGAATGTGTACTTTTATCTAAAATGCATCTCTGGGTTATTTGTGGGGCATAGGAATTCGTTCATATTTTTATTCAAAATATAGTCCAGCCCACCACATGGTCTGAGGGACGGTGGACTGGCCCACAGCTGAAAAAGGTTGCTGACCCCTGCCTCATGCAGTCCACATGCAGTAAGCTGACTCCAAAAGCCAATCACTGCCCACCAGAGCTAATAAAGCCCTGCTTTTTATGACTATTGTCACCAGCTTTGAATACTTTGAATACTTTTCAGGAGAAGAGTGTGCAATACAATTATCAAAACCAAATAAAAACGGTCTACTGGAAAAAAAAGGTAGAATTTTTATTTTCTCAACAGCAAATGTACTTTTTACAGCATATGTTTAACTATATACACAGAGGCATTATATTGTTCATGTTACATACACTTTTTTCTAGAGATTTCCAAAATAGGTATGTTCTCATAAAAATGAAACTTCTTAGACCATTCTTTCAAAACCTTTGCTATAGCAACAACTGCAGCAAACTCCTGTATATGAAGCCTGGGCAACATAGACAAGGGAATGAGGTGGTAGAGATATGAGGTGATAAAACAGAGTGCATCACATTAGACGGTGGGTGTTGGGAGGGATCACCTTTGTGAATTCTCCTCTGCACTAGGGATGGGGAATATCTGGCCCTCCAGATGTTGAACTATCAACTCTCATCACTCCTAGCCAGCATGTACAGTGGTCAGGCATGATGGCAGTTGTAGTCCAGTAATATCAGGAGAGACACCTGCACCCCAATCCTATTCTTCATGAAAGACTCCATGTGAGTAGAAACAAAGAGTGAGTGGGGCAACAACCCCTCTCCCTGACGTGCTAGATATTTACCTTCAGGAATTATTATTTTGCTTTAATATGGACAGCATTCCAAATTTGAATCCTCATCTATCCCTTGAAGTGAAACATTCTATTCTACCACCTTATTCCGCTCCATGTAGAAGACAAGTTTCTGTTCAATTTTAGTTAGTTTTGTACCGATGAGGATACCGTCTATATAGATATACATATTTTCAGCAGAGATCTTCAACTGACCTTGCATTGTCAACCCAAATAGAATAGTTTTTTGTACCTTGTGCTACAAGGCAGGGCATGCTGAGAAGAGATGCCTTTTTGGAGAGATGAAGTAAGTTTCATTAAACACCTTTTCCTCCCAGGGTCAACTTAGTACACAGTTTATAAGAGCCAATTTTCCAAACTATCTGGTTTCGGAGGTTAATCTATCTGCTGTCTTCTGAATAGTCAGCCTCATTAAAGTTTTACTTTGCCCAGCTGTAGCATTAGCAGAGTTATATATAAAAAAAGATTCTTTGGGAAAAGTGAAATCAGCCAACTACAAATCTATAAAACAGATTAGTATATTTCCAACAAGGCCACAAACACAGCAAACTGTGCCACAGTGCAGCTATTCAGGATCATTGTTAAACATAATCTCTTAATGACTGTAATCCTGAGTCTCCCATTATTTAGTTTTCTAAATCCAGAGTCTTATGAAATGAGAAATTAGACTGAGAATTTATTTTCTAAGCCTCTGTCAGAGACGCAGGTGGGAAGAAGGAAAGATGTATGACAGAAATGCACTTATAAACAGCCATTTAACATTTATTTTTTTAAAAAAATAGAAAGCCGAAAGGAATTATTGTTTTTCTTTAATCCAATTTGGCGGCCTTCGATTTAGCGGTTTAAATGGCTGAGAGGGATGCATGGGGGGACCATGGTAGAACTTACCAAATATTAACAAAAGATGTTTAAGAATAAATATAAGGACCACTGTTGCCTAGTCAACTAGCCAAACCTCAGCATTTGAGTTCTTCCTAGATGGCAAATATACAGAGAAATCTAAGTGAAACTGCTCAGCATCTCCATCAATGTGATGGATGAGTCTTCAAACAGTTTTGCTGCAGCAAAAGAGCAAAGGTCAGTTTTAGGAAGAATATCCAACAGCTGCTGTGTGTTTTTGGATGAAGTACTTTCAAAAGGCAAAAGAGAAAAAGGTTACAGAGCCATACAAACCTGTTCTGACATTTGAAACCATAATTTTGGTTCAAGTTTTTTTTCCTTTTAAAGTGCAAAGCTATATGTCTTCAGAGAAAGTATGCCTACTCTCTTCTGAAGCTGGCTGAAGAACGAACGAAAGAACCCATTACTGCCCACTGGTAATTCAAAGAGGCGGTTCTTGATCTTTCTCATTTTAACAGCTAACACAATTTCCCTGTTTCCAGTAAGAGCTCAGGAAGAATGCAACGAGACAGACCCTGCTTCTGATGGAGCCACCAAAAAGAAAAGCAAACATTGGTCCTTATTTTTTCTCTCTCTTTGCTAAGACCTATTTGAGTGAGAAAAGGAGTGCAATTATAGCCTGCCCTTTGGAAAGGGTAAAAAAAAGCACATCAGATTCAAATTATTGTTCAGGCATGGTGCAGTTCATCACCACAAAGGATCAATACCATGCTGCTTTCCAAAGAATCTCACCTGTTACAATCTCTCTTTCCCAACCACCTGTGAATCTTTCCTTTCCCAGTTGTTGGGGAGGGTGCATGCGAAGACCAGCTCCACACCATACATTTAACAAACATTTATAGCACTTCAGCAGTCATGGAACCTGAAGTCTACCCCTCACAGAACTACAATTCCCAGCATTCTTTGGGGGAAGTGCTTTAAATGTGTAGTGTGGATGTGGCCAAAAACTGTTCCATGTATGTATGCATGCTAACCTTTATTGACCCACGTGCCACATTCATCCCTGGTGACCTTCTGGGGGCCACAAACCAGCAGTGAGTGTGGGCAAAAGTTGGTGTGGATGCGTCTTTGTCTGTCTGTCTGTCAGTCACACACACATACACACTAGCTCTCACACATGCAAACAGGCACTCACTCCTGTTTGAGATGATCCATACAGATCAGGTGAAGGAATGGGTTATCACCCACCCTAGCTCATCAAAACACTGATTGATGTGGACGGGGTGATTTACATCCCCCTCAGGGCACTGGGCTGAGCAGTCTACTTTATTTTTTTCTTCTTGCCAAAATCAATGGGGTCTGGGATGAGGAAAGGGGGAAGAAAAAATGTGCTTGGGGAGCCACATCAGATTTTAAAACAACCTTGTACATAAGGACAGAAAAGTGACTAGCCTAATGAATTTTCCAGCGGATGAGGTGCAGATACTGCATCCTGTCTCTGGTAGCTCAGTTGGTCTCTGTGATTAGCCTCCACGGAATTCACTTTTGCCCGTGGCAATTAGGCAAGTGGTTAAATACAAGGCTGATTAAAAAATGTACAGCCTGCTTTCTTTCCTGCTTAACAACAGGGCTCCAAAGCAGTTTACAATCAATAAAATAAGCAATAAAGTATTATTCTTTTAAAAAGGCATTGGCAGTGATCAACTTTCCAAGAACAGAAAGTGGTGGGCACGTGTTTTAACACCTGCTCTCCAAACCACTTCCCAACACATTGAAAAGAAGTAAGTCAGGGAAAAGGCAAAATGAGAAGTCTTCTTCCCAACATTCGCTTTCTATATATATGGAGTTTGTTACCCCCACCAAATGGTGAACATCCACTCATGTGATCCATGCATGTGCAGCTTGAAGTGCAGGAACAGAGTTAAGACTTCCACTGCTATTTGGATACATGAAGCTTAAGATTGGGTAGAAACCACACGGGGCTGAAATTGCCCCTCTCCCTGCATGTCTATACGAACATTTTCCAATGGGCTCAACCCATATCAAGCTACAAAGAGGGTCATGAACCATTGGTGCCCCATTCTGACACATGTTTGGACCAGTTCCACAGGAATTTCAGGGTGGTGCAAACAGACTCCTCATGAGACATGTTCAGATGTCAATTTCCTGTATTCCTGGCTCGAAGCACGTGGCTGTCATTTCTCAGGGGAAAAGAATGTTATATTCCACCTCCACCTCCCAGAATTGTCTACATGGAAAGCCAGCCCTGTTCACCACACTGTGCACACTACTCCAGTCTCACTATGGTGTCTCAACAGGGACAGGAGGTCCTTTCCTGCTAAGTCGAGATACAATGAAACCAGGCTGGTGGCTACCTGGAGGTGGAAGTTGCTATCAGCGGTGTGGCCCCTGCTGTGTGGGAAACAAGAGAAGAGGCAGAGCATGCCTCTCCAAGCATTTGCACATTGCCCTGCCCCATGTGGCTCACGACTTCCCTTCTCCACAGCATCTGAAAAGGGCCTAGGCATCAAACAGGTTTGATTTCATGGATCAGTAGGGTAGTTTCAATAGTTCTGGTCCACAGATTAGGCAGCTGTTTCAGCCTGTGTGCCATTACTACCAAAACAACCCTACTGATGCTTATTAAAATCATCTGGCTAGGCTCTGTTCACTCAGCTGCTGTGGGTTGGCACCAACATGCCTGTGGGAGGAGCCGGCAGGTCATAGAGAAAAGGGCTAGAGAGCCACAGCCTGCCATTTCCCCACCTAATGCAGCATCACATAACCTATAGTAACCTTCCCTGCTTGAACCAACTAGAAAGCCAACTCTGCCTCACTGTATCTACCCCAGAGCAACCTCCTTCCTTGTCGGGCTGCTTCTCTTCTAGAAAAAGTAACTCAGATCACTTTGATGTTGCACCGCCGACACCCACCTCACAAGACACAGCTGATGCTATCACAGTTTACTACAAGTATTCAAATGGGAAAAGCAGTCTAATACTGTAATGTTAAGTTAGACAATGTTACTTAATTTCCATAATATATGTAAACTGAAGGGGTTCTTGAATAAATATGCTCAGGAGTATCTCATCATTTACATAAAAAGCAAAGATTTTTTTTTAAAAAAGAAATATATTTATATATATATTTATTTATATATATAAAGATTATTAAAGTATCTAAAGCTTTGGTCTAAAGAGTTATATGGTGACATTATAGCATCCATCTGGATCAGATGTTTGCCTCACCCACCCTTCTTAAGCAAAACCCTCCAGTTAAAAAAAATCACTCAGAATGCAGTGCATCAAGTTCTCAGTGGTTACGTAACTTGAAAAGCTGGTCAGGAGAAAAGGAAAGAGAGAGAGAAGACGTCAGAACCCAAAGAGGTTGTCGTCTTTCCCCGCCACTGTAGAGGAATCTACTTTGTCCCAGTCAACAGGAGAGAGGATTTCGGCGCTTTGGATATCTTGTGCAGTCAAGCCAATGTCGAGGTCTTGGGGGTTAGTTCGAGATTGTGCCAGTCTGAAAGAGGAAGAAGAAGAAACCCTGTGAAGGGACCTGGAGAGAGTTGTGTATGCAGGACCACCACCAGAGATGGGGAGTGAGAGAAATGTCAACAGGTATAGTAAAGGAGGGGGACCACTTCTGACTAAAGTGAGGGTTACTTCTGAATGTCCCTCTCCTCCCCAGGGTAGGGAGTAGGCAACCCTGAAAGCAGAAAGCCAGCTCTTCAGGGAGAAAGGTTCTAATGCAGGCATTTGCATGCTGGTCCTCCTGGTATCCTATTGACGCGGAGTGTTTCAACACAGAGCAGAATTCCAAAAACATGAGTCCTCCCTTTCAAGTACAAAGTGGTGTAGTCCTTTCTGTCATTTATTACATTAATATCCTGCCATTCCTCCAATGTGCTCAAAGTGGCATGCCTGGTTCTGCCCCGTAGTCCCATTTTATCCTTACAACAGCTCTGTGAGGCAGGCTAGGCTTTGATCGTGTGACAATGATTTATAGCAATTTTATCGAAGTCCTTTTTCCTTTTTTTCCCCAGCTAGTGCATAGAGGGTCACTGTTTGCTACAAAGCTATTATTGTCACTCAAAAGAAACTGAACTATTTCTGCTGGGGTGTACCTGCTTGTTGGTGTGAACAAAGGTTCAGAAAGCGATCTATCTGGTCTCTGTGTAAGGGGTTAGAAGGCTAATGGAAAATGAGTGATGTCTTCCACCTGAGGTTGATCAGAAATAAAAATGTGTCTGCATATGGAACCTTGTTGTAGCAACCAACCAAGAATGAGTGGGCATCGCTTGGAAATGCAGTTCAATAAAGGCATTTCTTAAGGAAACTGGTGAGAGTTTGGTCAGATAACTAGCTCTAAAATGCTCTGTTCTCAAGAGTGGATACCAAAGGGGAAATCTGGTGTTGGTTGCAGGTCCCTTCTGGATTCTATCCAGAAGAACCAACTTATGGACTTCTCTGCGACACAATGTGGTGATGATGACAGGTAACAGGAACCTCTGTGTTTGGAAGGAACCATGGGGGAAGCCTGCTGCTGGTGTGCTTCCCAGACATGGGCGTAGCCGGGGGGGGGGCAGGGAGGGGCAGCTGCCCCCAATCAATAAAAATCAATAAAAATACATAGTTGAGGTCCCCCCCCCACAAAAGGCCTGCCCAACTAACAAAAGGCCTGCCCCCCCCAACAAAAATCCTGGCTACACCCATGTTCCCCGAGACATCTAACTGGCAGTGGTAAAAAGCAGGATGGACCTTTTGCAGTATGCCTCTAAATACCAGTTTCTGCCAAGTCCAAGATAGGAGAGGTGCTGTTGCATTTGCAGGCATCCCAGGGCGATCTGGTTGGATGTTTGGATGCTGTTGAATGCAATGAGCCATGTATGTCTCTCTCTCTGTGTATGCACAGTTCCCAAACTCACAAATTACCCTATTTATTTAAAATTCACACGGGGGTGGGTGTGTTCTTTGAATTTCCAAGCAATGCCAGGCACTCCCTGCTAGTCTGTACCCACGCACAGACCACTCACTCTAGCAGGAACTTGACATATCATTAGCTGAGGCCACATCTCACAGGCAAAAGGCCACACTGACCAAAAGCAGCAGCAGCAAATATATATATACGAAGTGCCACATTGGAAAGTCTCAATTTGCCTCCCTGCGGGGCGATTTGTATGGACAGGCCGCCACAACGTCTCTCCAGCACTGTCTGTATTAAATTCCAGTTGCTCATGGCAGCACTCGATGTTTCTGGAGACGAGATCAGGAATCTTAACTCCTCAGGACAGCAGCACAATGGCAAAGGGATTGGAAATGGCAGCAGCAATCCCAATTGTTCAGCGTCTGCTGGCATCACCAGAAATTTCGGGGCAAGGGAGATTACACACACACACACACACACACACACACCCCCCAGAAGTTCTACTTGCATATCCATTAGGATTACCGGTACTTTATTGCAGCACTGTTAACCTTCTCATGCAAACACTGAGTATGTGGGAAATAGAAAGAATGGTTGCAGACTGGGCCAGATAGACTGTTGCACTTAGGATGCTGCAGTTTAGGGGTTCCACTTAAAATCCCCCTCCCTTTTGCAGGCTGCTGTTAGCTATGGAGAAGGCAATAAGCAGAGGTGTTGCTATTAGCAGGCTTCTGTCATAGAAATGGTACAGGGAAGAGTTATCCCTGGCACTACAACCTGATCTAAACTAGAGGAACCTGTGGCTGCTTTTAAGCCCTTTTCTCCAAAGTGGGGAGATTCAGTCACTGAATGACCCATGTAGGGATGAGCAAATCTGATGATTCAGGCTTTTGTTTCTCATTTTTTCAGGCTTCAGTTCACATTTCCAAATCAGTTTGCCTCGCCCCCCCAAAAAAGAAGTCCTCATAAAAATTATCTGCGTATCGGGGCACCTTTCTTCTAATGCACAGATGTTTTGCTATGCGATTTCCCCTAACATACATAGAATTGCAAATACAACTTCCCTAATATAATGCATTTTTGTATGTTATCTTCACCAACCTATTAATTTTGGAGCACACTTTACCCTGAAGAACTGCTGCTGGTCAATGTGGACAATACTGAGGAAGATGCACAATTGGCTTAGTATAAAGTCTGCTTCCTATGTTCCTGGTTTATGCATTTTCTGTACACATTACTTAGCTGGAGAACAGAATTGCAAAATTTTGAGAAATGAGAATTTTGAAGCATGGCTGTGTTTTGGTTTCTGTATGGTTTCTGAAAGTGCCAAGCAGGCAGGCTTGCCTTTAATGTGAACTGAATTGAATTTGTCCCCTTTGGCTGTTATGAAGATGGAGGTGGGTGGGTAGAGGAGAAGGAGCAGGAGACAGCCAGCTCCCCACAGAGCCATGCATATAAGGAGAGGAAAGGACCACTCCCTGCTCCTAGGGATCAGTATTTCAGGCTACACTCAGGGCAGAAGGCAGCACAACTCAGATTCAACAGAAGCCACAGCATATCACCATACACCCTTTACAATTTACCGTATTTTTCACTCTATAAGACGCACCAGACCACAAGACACACCTAGTTTTTGGAGGAGGAAAACAAGAAAAAAAATATTCTGAATCTCATAAGCCAGAACAGCAAGAGAGATCGCTGCGCAGCGAAAGCAGCAATCCCTCTTGCTGTTCTGGCTTCTGGGATAGCTGCGCAGCCTGTATTCGCTCCATAAGACGCACACACATTTCCCCTTACTTTTTAGGAGGGAAAAAGTGAGTCTTATAGAGCAAAAAATACGGTAATCATTTTTTAAAAAAATGTCAGAAAATTCTGAGACTAGTGAATTTCTGTCTGCTCTTTGAGCCTGGGAGATTTTTTGGGGGGGAGGAGGGGTTTGCTCTCCCACAAGGGTTGGGGAACCTCTTCCAGTCAGAGGGCTGCATTTTTTCACTCGGAGCAACCTTCTAGGGGCTGCAAGCCAGGGGTAAGCACGGGCAGAGGCAAAAAGTAGAAGGAGCAAGAAATGCAGCTCTTGCCTTTGTACAGCAGGCTACATTCCAACCCTGCAAAAGTCAGAGGCTTCTACACCCCACCCTCTCCATCCAGACAAAAAGAGGCATTCTCACTGTCCACATCCCCTCCAGACAAAAAGACTTGAAGCTGGGTAAGTGAGGGGTATGGATTGAGGAGAGGGAATTTTGTCTAGGATGGAGGTGCAGCTTGGGGAGGCTCCCAAGGGCCAGGTAGAGAGGCCTGGAGGGCCACATTTGCCCCCTCCCACAGGCCGGAGGGTCTCGTCCCTCTGCTAATAACTTGTTCTGTTTGGATTCATCTTCTGTGCCCCTCTCAAGCTGCACCACAGAGGAGAACCAGCACCATCCGGCAACCAGGGCTGTCTCTTTTTCTGCAGAGAACACTGTACGCTGACAAGCTTGCCCAAATGTGTTTGTAAAAATGACAAACATGTACATTTCGTTACTTCTGCATTAGTAAAGCTCCGAGTTCAATGCTTCATCTTAAAAATAATAATAAATACTTTACGCTGTTTCAGCCTTAATGGTGGTCAACTGCTTGCAGTACTGCATTTAAATGAAGCCTTACATTTTAAGGGTTGCATTAATGGTGCATTGTGGTTTTTAATGAACCTGATCTCTGAGATTTTGGACCTTAGCTCCTGAGTACAATGCAAAACTTCATGTTTAGGGTTTTGTATCAAGGAGGATAAAGCTGTCAGCATCTCCTACCTCCACTTTCGGAGGCAGCAATGCTTCTGAATACCAGTTGTTGGGGATGAGAAGCGGGGAGAGAGCTGTTGTGCTCATGCCCTGCTTGTGTGTTTCCCACAGGCATCTGGCTGGCCTCTCTGAGAATAAGAGTCTAGACTAGAATGAGCCTTTGGTTTCATCCAGCAGCCAGGCTCCAATTACATACTTATTTTTTTTATTAGGCACCTAATTTTTAAGGCACTTGGTTGTTACTGCTGTTGTTTTGCTGGGTGGCCCCAGGTTGCCCTGCTTCTCTATGTCAGGAGGAGAATCTCTGCACATCACTCCACACTCAGAAATGACACCCGGGAAGTTCTAACAAGTGCTTTTAACATCACTTGAGAAAACACCGATGTGGCCATGCATACGGAACACAGAGCCAGAGGAAGCTGCCACACACTGAGCCAGGTCAGGGACCGCCAAACATTTTAGGTCTGTGGTCATATTTGGAATTTTGAGCAAGTGCTATGATCACTTCTCCCTTTGCCACCAGATCACACACACCATGTCTGAGAGACAAAGACAGACAGCGAGAGAGAGAGAAAGAAAGCATGTACACATACAGACACACTCACACACTGTTTTCTCAAGGTATCTGGCTAAAAGCTGGATCCAACAGAATTCATCAGTCTTGGACAAGACATAGAGCTGGAAGAGGAAGTGAGAAAGAGTGTTCCTCTTCCAACTTCTTCCATCAGCTCTATGTACTTTTCAAGGAGGAAAAATGTAGCCACCCTCACCACCTCATGACCAAGTGAGCAGTGAGAGGGAGGCTCAGAGGTTTGTGGAGAAGGGCGCCATTTTGATAATCCCGCTCCAGACAATTTACAGGAATGATTTTGGAGCAGCCGCTGAGGACCTCTGGAGGGTGGGCAAGGGGCACCAGAAGAAGTGGTAGCTAGCAGTCCCTGCATCCCATCCTTTAAGAAACCAGCCAGTGGGCCAAATACCTCCTCCTCCACCACCTCCATTTCTGGGGGTGCAAAAATCACCTATCAGACTATGAAGTGTCTGACGTTTATGTGTCTGGTGACGCACTGCCGCTATTGCAGTGAAATAAAAACATGGAAGAAACTTCTTGTTCTTCTCCTACTGCAGCACAAAGGCGTGCAATATTTTTCTCCCTTCCTCCTTGCCTCGCCCTCACCCTGGACGTGGGTCGCGTAAAATGTTGTGATTTCTAATGTGGCTACTGTGGTAAAGTGATTCTTTTTTTGGTGGGAGGAAGTGCTGATAGAGCTCCTTGTCAAGGGTACAGAGGTACCCCTCTGTCTGCAGGTGGGGATCTGAAATACTGCATTTTCAATTTGCTACCTCTGCTCATGCATATGGCAAACATCTTCTAGCCAGGGCTACATCATTTAGGGAGTTTAATTCCCCACCTTATGCACAAATTAGCTCCTGCCCTAAGAAGTTATCAAAATATTTGACTTATCCAGGCGGCTGCAAATCCCATCGTTCAATTAGGCAAACAGAGCACTTCTGAAAGGGTCAGAGCACAGCAGACAATTTTGATTAGAAACATTAAAATGATTTTTTTTTTTTTTTAAGAGCAGTCACTAATCAAGTCTGTTTCCTGGGCAGTCCCCTGGTGGAAAGACACTCGTGAAACAAATTAAGAAAATTACCTTGAAAAAGCTTCATCCAGTCCGTCGTCCATTGCCTTTGTTATAAAGAGAAGGGGGAGGAAAATTAGATCAATCTGAAATGACAGTTACCCAGCTCCCAGCTAGCATGCAAGCATTACAGGGTGGATTTTGCATTTTCTTTGCAATTTCTTAAAAAAGAAGTGTGTGTATAAGGGGGATGACGACAATGACTACAGAAAGCAGTAGTTTGAAAAATGTTCTGAGGGACCAGGGGGTGCCTTGGAGACTTAGTCCAGTCTATTCTATCTGGAATGGTTTCACTTGTTCTTATATCTCTTTATATATTTGTATACTGTTGTAACCCTCCATGGATCATTATGAAGAGTAGATAAGAAATCTTTTATGAATGAAATAAAATGACCAAAATCAGGGGATCCTCGGTGGGAAGTTTTTGTTATTTTTTATTAAATTTGTATACCTCCCTTCATCTGAAGCTGCTGCCTATCAGCGTGGACCAGTGATGGGCCAACCTTTTGAAGTTGGGGACCGTGTTCCCTCAAGCAAAAGTGGTCAGGGGTTGCAGTCCCATGGGGGGCAGTGTCACAGTTGGCTATGGGTGGGGCCAAAGCCAGAAGTGCAATACCCCCTTCTCTCCCTCCCATCCCCTTGCCCTCTCTCTCTTCCCTTCTTCATCCATTTATCCATTATCTCATACACAGACACCACAAGCTTCATCTATGCACACATACCTCATTCATCCAATTCTTTCTTTCTTTCATACATGCCATTCATTCTTCCATCCATTCTTCATCTTCTCTTTCTCCACATGCAAACATACACCCTATTTATCCCAGGACTAGTGCACCCTGCCAATGTCCCTTGCTTATCTATCACTCTGTTTCCCCTGCATCTTTGTGTTACATCGCCGCCAGGAGAAAGATAAATGCCACCAGGCAGATGTCATATTAACTATGCTCATTATGAGAATGAGCAGCGGGCTCTCACATTCCTTTCCTCCTCCTGACAAGGAGGAGCCGGGAAGCTTCTGATTAATCATAGCTTGTCAGGTCTTCTGACCCAAGAAACTGTGGCTTAATATGATGTATAGTTTGATGGCTTATGAAACTGCTTGTTTCAACAAACCACAGTTAACATTTACCACAGTTTAGGGCTTTGTCTGAACCTTAAACTGCAGTTAATCTAAACTGCAAGCCAAAGCTTCCTCACTCCTCCTCACAGTAACACTTGAATTCTTCCTCCTGCACATTTTACCAAGATTGTAGTATGCGCACTCGACACACTTACCCACATGACGTTGTTGTTTTCTGATGAATGTGGCCCAAAGATGCTTCCATCTGACTGCGTGGAGTTTGCATTGACAGTCAAGGGAGTTTTAGCAACATTCTCTAGGTCTAGCAGGTTCCCTGTGGTGACTGCTGCAGGTGGACAGAAATGAAAGGGGGAATTAAAGGAGATGAGGCGTAGGAGAGAAAAGGCTTGTAAGCAGGGTTGGAGGAACTTTGGGCCTCCAGGTGTTGGTGGGCTCCAACTCCTACCAGCCCCAGCCAGCATGGCCAATGGTCAGGGATGGTGGAATTTGTAGTCCAGTAAGAGGGTTCTCCACACCTAATTTAGAGGATTCCTCTCCATCATGTATGGCCTTTAATAGCAACATCTCTTGGATTCATCAGTCGGTCTTTAGAAAATTTATATACCACTTGATTATGGGGCTATAGGGGAGAGATTGTTTGGAACCATCTAGGGACAACATGTTCCACCTGCTTCATCCCAGCAGCTTTATAAGGAGGAGCTGCCACCAAGCTGTTTGGGTCCTCTGACATATGAGTGGGGGCTGACCTTTTAGCACAGACATGTACGTATTTGGTTTTTTTAATAGCTTTTGAAATGTTAAGATTTTCTTGTCCCTGAGTGGTTTAACAATTAATCCCTCTTCCTTGGGAACTCAGGGAATTGAAGTTATGTCAGGGGAACAAGGGTCTCCTAACAAGTCTCAGCACCTTAACAAACTACAGTTCCCAGGATGCTTTGGGGGAAGTCACGACTGTTAAAGTAGTCTGACAGTGCTTTAAATGTATGGTGTGGAAGTGGCCTGTTTGCGTGTTTTGGAGGGAACAGACTGAGCATGGCTTGTCATTGGAGACTGATATAGGCACTCTGAGAAAGATCAGAGATAACTCTGTTACTACTACTTCACAAGCTCCAGGCAGCAGTATTAAAACCAGGCTCTGAGATGGAAGAAGAAGAAGAAGAAGAGTTTGGATTTGATATCCCGCCTTTCACTCCCTTTAAGGAGTCTCAAAGCGGCTAACATTCTCCTTTCCCTTCCTCCCCCACAACAAACACTCTGTGAGGTGAGTGGGGCTGAGAGACTTCAAAGAAGTGTGACTGGCCCAAGGTCACCCAGCAGCTGCATGTGGAGGAGCGGAGACGCGAACCCGGTTCCCCAGATTACGAGACTACCGCTCTTAACCACTACACCACACTGGCTCTCCTAATGGCCTGTAGATGGAGTCCTAATGGCCTGTAGAATGATATTTATTTCATCCTCTTCAGCCAGAAAATCATCATCCTCCACTCCCACTGCAGAGCAACCACATTGATCCCATTTTTACTCTGACCTGAGCACAACACAGTACCCCTTTCCAGTCTACCCTGCTTCGATTTAATATCCTTCAGCTTTTCCGATGAATGAAAATTCCTGCAGGACCTTTTAGGAAAACACATCTTTGCATTCCACTGGCAGTATGTCCTACTTTTCTGTTTTCTCTCTCTTTCAAATAAGCATATATTTAAATTGCAGAAATCCTTTACGATGCACAGGAGTTGGGAGTTTTTGGAGACAGGCTGCGGGGCACCAATTCATCTGCGGGCTCCTCCATGAAGAGTCAAGCTGAGGGGGAGATGTCAGCTGGCAGATTTTGGGTGCCATTAAGGATGGCAGAGTGAGAAAGAGGCAGATGTGTCTCGCCTGTGACGTGACTCACTAGGAAAGTTCTTCTGTGCTAGCTTAATCTCGGTGTGAGGTGCACACAACAGGAACATAAGGAAAGCCTGCTGGGTCAGACCAAAAGCCCATCTAGTCCAGCATCCTGTTTGTTATGGTGACCAACCAGACTCTGATGGGAAGCCCAGAAGCAGGACCTGAGCACAACAGCAACTTGCCCTGCTTGCAAGTCCCTTGCATTAACAGGCATATTGTATCTGCCATTGAAGGCAGAACATAGCCATTGATAGGATTCACGGAGGATATGGCTCTTTCAAAGCCATCCAAGTTGATGACCATCACTTGAATTCCATAGTTTATCTATGTGCTGCATGAAGGTAAGGAGAAAAGTCTTTGGGCTCATTCGCAGTTCCATTTGTCCCTGGAAAAACCTGTGGTATAGCACTGCATTGGAGCAAATGGCAATGGGTTTTCCGTGGATTGCTCTTTGTTCTGATTTACCGCTAAAGAGTGGGTTTTCTGGGGGGAAAGTAAAGCAAAACTGTTCGGATCTGTGTCTTAAAAGCATGGGGCAAGTGGAAAACTGTTTGGACCTGTGTTTTCTAAGCATGTGACAAGTGGAATGGAGGGGGCAGCCCTTTGCCTGGCACATAAAAAAACAAAGTGGGTGCCAGGAGTGCCTCCAAGGTGAAATCATTCCACAAGAGGGGGCCACCACTGAAAAGGCCCAATCATGTGTTGCTGCCCTCCCAACCTCCCATGGAGGGGGCACACAAAGAAGGGCCTCACAGAGAGGCATCACGTCCCAAGTGACTTAATGTGTGGACTACCTGTTGATTCATACCACCTTAGTCACCAAAATACCTAGAGCAGTCATGTACAGCAGGAATGGGGAAGCTTCCAGGGGCCACATGGCAATGGTGGGCAAGGCCAAAGGCCAAATAAATGTGAATGTTACCTTTGCACAGAAGGCAAGTTTCTTCACACTGCCACATCCTATCTCTGTCCTCCATGCAGGTATGCCAAGAACATTATCAGTGTTCGAGGACAAATTCCATCCAGGCAAAAACAGTAAAAAAGGTTGCAAAGTCAGGCTGGTTTAGGGTGCAGCTTGGGAGGGTGTGTCCCCCAAGGGCCAGACAGAGAGGCACGGGGGGCCACATTCAGTCCCCAGGCCTGAGGTTCCCCCATCCCTGATCTATTGCCTCCACTGAGTGGCTCTCCAGGGTTTTAGACAGGGAATCTTGCTGGGGATTGCTGCTGGCGTGGTGTAGTGGGAGACCAGGGTTCAAATCCCCACTCAGCCATGGCACTCATTGGATGACTTTGGGCCAGCCACAGTCTCTCAGCCTAACCTACCTCACAGGGTTGTTGTGAGGATAAAAATGGAGAGGAAGAGAACCACACACATCACCTCAAGCTCCTTGGAGGAAAGGTGGGGTATAAATGTAATAATAAATTAATAAAATAAGTTGGGGGGGTGGCCTTTGGCATGCAGAGCAAGCGGCAGAGCTGCAGACCTTCCTTCAGAACCTCAGAAGGCACCTGTAACCAAAGATTCAGCAACATCCGCCTCTGTCAAGAGGCAGGTTAACTACTTTGAAATCGGCTGAAAGACCCACAAAAAACCCAAACTCCAGATTCAAAGATATTGGACAAAGCCAAAGCAGAGGTCAGATTTAAAGATTCTGGGCACGGAAAGTTTATCCAGCCCGTTAGAGCCAGCCATTTCGTCGACTTATATCTGTGCTACCCTGAGAGGCATTTTTGGAATGGAGTGGATGTTAAAGAGGATTTCTTCCCTATCAAATATACATGCGGATCAATACGACGCAGCCGCTTTGGATGGGAGCCCCTTTTATGGATGACTTCCTCAGTACCACTTTGCAGCATCTCACCCGCCAGGAGGGGAAGAAGACAGGCTGTCCCCTCTTTGCCCCCCTCTCCCCTGCCCCGCCAGTTCATTTGAGGCTATTTGTGCCACGCAAGCTTTAGAAGATAGCCTTTGCCACCAGACAATTGCAAGGAGGATATAGCTTAAAAACAATACTCGGAAGGCATGACCCCATTTTTGCAAGCTGCACAATCCAGACCGCTAAGAGTTTTAATGGGTCCCTGGGAGCGGTTTTCAGAAAGCTGCTTGCAGGAGTGTGGAGGGCTGCCTCCCTCCCTCCCTCCCCCTTCCTTTCGCCTCCCTGAGGAATAACAGGCACGTAGGATGCATGATGGAGGAGTCGCAGAGGTCAAAAGGACTGCTAAGTCCTTGATGGATTTCAATCAGGGGGTCAGTGACATCTGTATACATGACATGCACCTTAATCTGAGTGTCTCCAGGAGAGGGGGAAGGATTTTCAGTTACTAGAGACCACTGACAACCAGAGATGGAACTGTACCCACCCACACCCTGTCTTTAGTTTCTGCAAGACTTGTATGGTGAACGTTTGTGTATGTGTGCAAGAGAGGGACCTTAAGAAAGGAACAGTTCATAACTGTCTCTATCTTCAGTGTTTGGACTGTGAGTGCTGTTCCTTATGCAGCTAAAAAGGTACCACCCAGGCATCAGGAGGTTTTAGCAGGCTTGGATAAATCTCAATGTTTCCAGAATTTAATAATAATAAATAATAAATAAATAATAATAATAATAATTTATTTATATCCCGCCCTCCCCAGCTGAAGCCGGGCTCAGAGCGGCTAACAACAATAAAAGTAACACAACATTTTAAAATCAATTCATTTAAAAAAGAAAAAAGGGGGGGAAACCTTTGAGTGGGTGGGGAGGGCTGTTGGCAGTGAAGAGCCCAATTTGGACTGAGTGACAAAAGGGGAGGGAGCAGAAAACGCTATTAGCAGGATAGGAGAGCTGAAAATAATGCCAATATATTTCAAATCTGGCAACCAATGCGCCCCTTTGGTTTCAAATAGTACATGGGCCAACAAGTCTAAAAAGCCCAGGACACAATTTTTCACGGCCCTCTAGCAACTATGGTGGCTCATTTACCAGAAGCAATGTATCTAGTGTTAACTCTGGAAGTGTATTCCCGATTCTGACCAAACTAAGCCTAGGACCTTCTGAATGCAGAGCAGATGCCGTATCTCTGCAGCTGAAGACCCTGGCGAGAGGCTGCAGGTACTGGGCAAGACAGACTAGCGGGCTGGCATGGTACACAAGGCAGGCAATTTCACCCCACATTTCATTTGAATCTGTTTCTTTAGTCACTTACTTCCTTTTGATGAGGCAGAACTATCCAAACTTGGACTGCTGGTGCTTTCTCCTTCCGAGATGGCCTTTTCCCGCTTTTCTGTGGTGGGGACACAAGACAGACCAATACACCGTTTAGTTTGTGGCTAAGTTTTAAAGGCTGATTTCTCTAGCAAGCCACGAAGCTGCTTCCACACCTTGCAATGGGGTGAGGGGCCTCTGGCCTGTGGGCCAAATGCAGCCCCTTTAGGTCTCTTGGGATGCTCTCCAGGCCATGCCCCCTACTGGCCCTGCTTCACATCCTCCTTAAGTGCTTTTGTCTGGCCGGAATGTGTTGTTCAGCTCTGACAATGTCGCTTGCTTGTCTGGATGGAGGCCAGAGAGGGGTGTGTGAGTGTGTGTAGAAACGTAGCCTACTGTACCAAAAGGTTAAATTTACACTTCTTCTTGCTCTGCTCACTTTCTCCTCTGGCCCCGTCCACCACTGGGATGGGGCCCTTGGAAAGCTACCCAGCATACCCAGGCTGTAAAAGGTTCCCCCCCCCCCACCGCCCGCTTTACAACATCCTCTTCAGTCCTAATGTAAGGACAGAGCAAATGAGCGGCAGTGTCGGAGGCACAATTTCTAGCACAAGTACACTGACTGGGCTGGCAAGGGGCAGAGTTTGGCTCCAAGGTTTAAGTGGCGTGGCTTTCTCTGTTAGGATTTTTTTCATTAAAAAGCCCTTTATTGCCTTCTTTATTCTCTGGAGAGACTTGAAGTACCTAACAGAGAAATAATAAGAATAGCGGGCTGGATTTAATAATATAGTTATTCAATAACATAGCTACACCAGTGGAAGCCAGCGAGGGAATTTGAGAATTCCAGTAGCATATGATAAACATTTATCTACACCAAAGATAAAAAGCTTTCCCTGCAAAAATGGTCCTCTGAACCATGGGTATAGTCAAGGGGGGGCAGCTGCCCCCCATCAAGTAAAGCAATAGAACTACTTAACTGACCAATCACATCGGCTCTGCCCCCCTAACAAAAGTCCTGCCCCCCCCCAACAAAAATCCTGGCTATGCCTATGCTCTGAACACCAACAGCTGAAATTTCCCACAGTGCCCCTGCCACAGCTTGACTCCAGGGCATTGTGGGACTGCTATTTTAATTTCCCACAATGCCCCAGAGCATTCCTACCTTGGGGGCATTGGGGGGAAATTAAATGAGCACTAGGAGGAAAAAAATGAATGAGCAGTCCAGAGCAGCTGCAGCAGATGGTGATCTGAACAGAAATGGCATATTTGATCACCTGGCATGAGGAAAAAAAAATCATTTCAACTGATACAGAGTACAAGCCCTTTCCTGCATGGAAATGGATCTCTGCATAGCAAATCATCATATACGAAGTGTCCCCAAGATGGCTTAGCGCCTATATGATTGGAATCTAGCACCTTATTCATGTTGCTTGACTGTGCTATCTCAAGGCCTCGAGAGCTACAGATGCATTATTTCAATTCATATTTTTATCCTGCCTTTTGCCCAGGGTGGCTGAACAGCACATAAAACACAAATGAGGCCACAGTTAAAATAAATTAAGATCTAATTAAGGGAGATAATGGACACCAGTCCCCAACTCCCAGATGCCAATGGTCTAACCCCAGCTTCCAAAAGCAAACTGAATACCAGAGAGAGCTCTTACAAGGATGAGGCTGTTGTAAATGTCTGGCAGGGGGAGATTCGATTTGCAGAGGTCTGGGCTTCCTGGCGCGCAGGCGGGCACTGCTTGTTGTCTACCTTAGGCATGGAAATGTGCGGAGGGCAGCGAAGTGGAGAAAGGGGTTTCCAGGGAACAAAATCTCTCTCCCTGCAACCAACCTTTCGCCAGTGCCAAATTGCTGAACATGTGCAGGCGACAAGGAGGGCCTTTTCATACTGGCATGACCCCAAGACTTGGGAAGGCCATCCAATCAAGCCTACAGTCTGCCTGGAAGGCTGCCGATCTTGCTTGCAGCTGCGCTAACCAGGCCATCACTGACAAAAGGACAGATGGTTTCTAGTTATCAACATATCCTCCACTGGCACCACACAGCTGGCCAGGACTAGAAGGCCCAGCATTTCTTCAGAGCCTGTGTGAGATGGCAGTGATGGATGAGAATGGTGGGAAACACTTGGGAGGGGAGGTTGCCTAGCAACCACCCGCCTTGCTCCTTCTAGCACCCTTCAGGTTTTTATGGACTCCCATCCACCTCAGCCAGCATGGCTAATGGTTAGGGACACCAATAGTTGGACAACAGCTGGAGAGCCACAGGTCTCCCTATCCTTAGGCCGGGGTGGTTGCTAGGCAACCACCCATGTGCTTCTTTTAGAGAGAGAAAAGGGAGTTATTCCCCCATTGAGGCATATTATAATGTGGCTTTGTAGGTGGTGGCTCAGTGGCCCAGCTAGTGTTTGGCATGCAGGAGATCCTGGATTCAAATCCCCATGCTTCCAGTTGAAAGGCTCTCAGGTCACAGGGCTGATAAAAGGAGAGCTAATCCTGGAGAGCTGCTGCCAGTACGAGCAGGCAGCACTGAGCTAGATGATTCATTCTAAGGCAGCTTTCTGTGTTCATATTATACAGTTTATACAGCACTAACAATATACCCGGTGCTTTACAGGCTCCCATAAGCAAGAAAAAGTCCTCTGCCCAAATGGCCTTTGCAAACTAGATTTTAGCGGAGGGGAGGAGAGGCAGAGGGGTTGTGTTGCCAACTGTCAGGCTCCTCAGAAGGGCCGGAATAAGAAGGGGAAACAAGGGAAACTTCTGCTGGCAGAGAGATGAAGGAGATGGAAGGAGCATCACTTGATAAGTTTCTGCAAGTCAGGTGACTATAAGAAACATAGAGGAGAATGGGGAGGGGGGAAAGGTGAATGAGAGTAAACGCAATTACAGGTACAGTGGTACCTCGGGTTAAGTACTTAATTCGTTCCGGATGTCCGTTCTTAACCAGAAACTGTTCTTAACCTGAAGCACCACTTTAGCTAATGGGGCCTCCTGCTGAAGCAAAGTTCTTAACCCGAGGTACTATTTCTGGGTTATCAGAGTCTGTAACCTGAAGCGTATGTAACCTGAAGTACCACTGTACGTAGGCCAGAGATGCATACATTTCAAAAGTTAACTGAACCTCGAAGCTACTGGCACCTGTTTCAAGAAAAGACTGATGGTGCAGAACACTGATTGGCTGGCCCTTGTGACAATCACAAAGTCACCTTCAAGAGTGACTGTTAAATAAATAAATTAATAATAATAATAATAATAATAATAATAATTTATTACTTATACCCCACACATCTGGCTGGGTTTTCCCATCCACTCTGGGCAGCTTCCAACAAGAGATTAAAAATACATTAAAACATCGGTCATTAAAAACTTCCCTAAACAGGTCTGCCTTCAGATGTCTTCTAAAAGTCAGATAGTTGCGTATTTCCTTGACATCTGATGGGAGGGCATTCCACAGGGTGGGCACCACTACCGAGAAGGCCCTCTGCCTGGTTCCCTGTAACTTTGCTTCTTGCAGTGAGGGAACCGCCAGAAGACCCTCGGTGCTGGACCTCAGTGTCCGGGCAGAATGATGGCCACATGAATGCCACATGAATAAAACAACAACAACTCAGTTTTGTTACTCATAGTAACATTTGTGCCTCATAGTAGCGTGTGTGTGTAAATATTATATATGTACTTATATGTAAAGAATAGGCTTTTCTATTTAAAAAGAGAGAGACACAAATTTCACAGGGCTGGAAGGAATACTTGGGTTTTTCCTTTTTTTGTTTAATATAGTCATGTATATTGCCATTTCTAAGAAAATGACTCATAAACAAAGGTATCCCAGGGTGCAGCCAAACCTATGGGTTTTGTCTCCATTTGGTGGCTATTTGTTACTCATATGACAGGCCAATCAAGGGAATGGCTAGTCTGGGTGAAATATGGCTTTTATCTTGTACTCATAACATTTGTTTTGTCTTCTCTCTGTATCAGGTTAGTTTTTGTTGTAGCATCTAATTTATAGTGTAGTCCCTTGAAAATGTATTTTATTTTACGTGGTAATGTCTGTGAAAGCTGTTTTTGTTTTGTAGAAGTTCTCCCCCACCCTCCATTCTTTTCCTTTCTGTTTTTATTCTAAATCTCTTACCAGGCTATAATTTTAACTTCATAGTAAAGTTTTGAAAATTAAAAAAAGAGAGAGAGCGGTACAAATGCTTATTTAAATAGCTAAACATGCTGGGTGCCTGAGAAAAAAAAGTTAAGAAGCTCCACCAAAAGCCTGCCTGAAGCATCGTGTGCTTGAGTGTGTGTATGCATGCAGATCAATGCTGCAAAGACAGACATGCATCTCAGTAGAGAAGTGAAGGAGAAAAGATGTAGCAGAAAAATGTGTGAGTCTTGCCTGACAGGAAAGACATCTGTTTCACGCCTTTCTTTCCATTAGGGATCAAATCTGAGGGTTAAGAAAAACACTTGGGGGAAGTGGGCTTTGAGGAGGGAAGAGTGAAGTGGCATTGCATCAGTGTTCTGGGAGGCCATTTTAGGCATAAAAGCAAGGAAGGGGATGGTTGCTGGTATAATTTAAGGGAAGAGACCTCTGGGTAACAGCAGATGAGTAGGGAGGCATGAGACTTTAAACCCAGGCGCAGGAGATGGTAGCACATGGTGAGATTCCCTGAAAAGTTCCCTCAGGACAGTGCTATGAAGTACTGGGAAGCCACCCTTGACCCAAAATTCCTAGACCAGGAATATCTGTCCTCAAATGCACTAGTTCAGGGGTTCCCAATTGAGAAAACATTTTTATTTAGGCAAGTCTATCCAGATATGTAGAATGCTGTTGTGCAGTTTAATGTGTTTTTTAGCTGATGCTAATTACTTCTGAATGTTTCAAATGGTTGTTTTTAACAGATCTTTACTGATAATTTCATTGTTTTATCCTTTTGTAAATCACTTTTTTTAACAATCAAGCAGGATATACCGTAAAAACTGTGAAACAGCAACTTAATAAATAAACAAGCATGTGCTTAGATGAGCAAAGTAATCTGAAATTTTATTGACTGAGCCTTGGTTGGTGGTTTTTTGTTTGTTTGATTTTTAAAAGTGGAGGGGTAAAAAGACCATTTTGCTCCTAGGGAAAAAGTCAAACAACAACAACAAAAGGCGCGCGTGCACACACACACACAAAATACACCAGCTACACATTTTCTGGATATATCAGCCTTCTGCAACCTTGTGTCCTCCAGATGTTGTCGGACTCCAACTCCCATCAGCCCCAGGGAGCATGGCCAACAGTAAGGGATGATGGAAGCAAAACATCTGGAGAGCATCAGGTTAGGGAAGGCTGGGATGTGCCGAAAAGGCAGCGAGAGGCAGATGTAAGTTCCCACACTCACCTTCCTTGGACGCCTGCCAAAATTCAAATGCTACTTTGAACGCCTGAGCAACTGTGAGGGTGACGGCTTGAGCCTGGGAGAAGAAGAAGATACAACAGTGATTATAACGGTGTATTAATAGACAGTTCTTCATGTAGATTTAAATCATTTGGAGGTTTCGCGCAGCTGAGAGATGTTAAACCAGGAACTCGTTCCTCATTCTACGGCTCTACAAGTCCCATGCCACCATTCAAGACTTAATTCAATATTGATGCCAGCAGCGGCGCCCACTGTTATGGAGAGAGGCAGCTGCAGAACTCGGAGAATGAGTTCAGACACTCGTTTGGGGGTGCTTATATTCAATCTGTAATGACTTTTTCTTGGGGGGTGGGGGGAGAGATGAGGGCTGACAGCCAGATTGAACAAGCCCATACTAAGGTGGTCATCTGGATTTCTCAACCACACGTGTGCTTACAGACCAGTTTAGCCATGCTACTGTGGACTCTGCAATGGCAGGCTGCAGCAGGACTTGGGCTAAAATTCTATGCTTGCGCATGCAGAGAGGGGTGTTAATGACTCACCCTGCACTTGAAACGGAAGGACTGGATTCCTTACACAAAATCTGTCTTTAAAAATACCAAAATCAAAAGGAGCTGTAGCTGCACAAGTGCTTCTCAGTGCTGAAGCTATCTCATTGATTGAAACACGGTATACCAAAACTTCTATACCGCTGAAATCGAGAAAAATTATCAGAGCAGAGTGCACCCTAAAATTAACATCTACTATATATTTTTGGAAACAGCTAAAAATAGTTTAAAGTGCATTACCGAACACAACCAAATACAGATTTTAAACAAAACAAAACAAGCGTCAATGGCACCCTGCTGCAAAAGCTTGTCAAAATAAAAATGCATGCAATTGTTTCCGGAAAGCACAGATAGTGGGTGCACGCCACAGTAATAAAACCAACAATAAAGACTTCGGCATTTAATCAACTGAGGCACCCGTCATTACTTGAAATTTGTGAGCTGGGGTGTGTGTGTGTGTGTGTGTGTGTGAGAGAGAGAGAGAGAGAGAGAGAGAGAGAGAGGATTTGAGGGAAGCCCTGCTATGCAAGCAGAAGGCCAGACATGCTGCCCACATTAGAGGAACACACTGTCAGTGGAGCTGTTCTGCCAGTGCAGATACAGGGTGGGAACCCTTGGGGTCTCAAATTTCAGCGGCACCCTGTGCAACCCCAAAATTTGGTGCCCCCCTGCCTCTCGTGCTTTATTCTACATTATAGTTACAGTGTCCCCTGCAGCGTCCCCAAGGCTGCACGCCCAGTGTGACCAAACCAGTGACGCTCCTCTAAAGCTGCCTCAGGCAATGGGGGTGGGTGAAGCCCATGTGCGCCATATCCTGCACCCTGTCAATCCATAGCCACTTCCGTATCAATACCCCCAGTCCTGGCACAAGAATTTCACTCCACCAACTTAAGTGAGAGGGGACCAATAAGGTAGCCACCCCCACGACAGGGTACAAGATAGAGAGGATAGCCGTCCAAAGCGACCATCACTCAGATGACAGTGAGCATGGCATGGCGTTGGAAGAGGAAACTGACTCATTTCGCACTTAATGGCACACCTATCTGATTCACACTTTCCTGAAGCAATACACAAGCGTAAACATAGCCATCCTTCAAAATCTCTACTTTTCTGTGTTCTGCAATGTGTATAAAAATGCACAGACTAGGTAGGGCAAGGCGTGCATAAAAATGCAGATATCTGTGAAACAACAACATACAAAATTCACTATATTACTTTGCAAAAACATGTGCATTAGGGAAAATTGCATACAAGCATATAAATAGGAGAAAATTGCAGCAAAATGCTGGTAAAAATAGTACCTTCTCATGTGAAAATGGGGAGAATAGAACTACTGATTGGAAAAGTAACCAATTCAGAAAAACTGAAATTGACAGAAAAGGCCCATCCCCAGTACAGGGGGCTCCAGAGAATCACTCTTCAACTTGCAGAGTGGGGTGGGAATGGGGAGAGGAACCAGCAGAGGGTCTGTGCAAGCAGACAGATAAAGGTAAAGGTAAAGCCCTGCTATGGCCCCTGACCGTTAGGTCCAGTCGCAGACGACTCTGGGGTTGCGGTGCTCATCTCGCTTTATTGGCCAAGGGAGCCGGCGTACAGCTTCCGGGTCATGTGGCCAGCATGACTAAGCCGCTTCTGGCGAACCAGAGCAGCGCACGGAAACACCGTTTACCTTCCCACCGGAGCAATACCTATTTATCTACTTGCATTTTGACGTGCTTTTGAACTGCTAGGTTGGCAGGAGCAGGGACCGAACAATGGGAGCTCACCTTGTTGCGGGGATTTGAACTGCCAACCTTCTGATTGGCAAGCCCTAGGCTCTGTGGTTTAACCCACAGCGCCACCCGCTTGGGACTTAAAGTCACTGAGGGCTTTAAACACTAATGTGAAGGCCCTGAACTGGACCCAGAAACAAAATGGCAACCAGTATATGCATGTATGTTTGGTCCTGACCCAGGACTCACCAACAGCTTGGAATTACCACCTCCCTTCCCAATTTACAAATTTTACGGCAGGGTGGCCTGCAGGCAAGTTTTACTTGCCACAGGGGAGCAGCAAGTTAGGAGATGGACAAAACTTGTATCTGTGCCAAATCTCATTTGAAAGACTGAACCATTTATATCTTTGGTGGAAGAGGAAAACATTTTTTCTTCTTCTTCTTATGATGGGTAAAGAAGAACAAACAACAAAAACAAAAACCCGCTCCTTAAATATGGTAATTAAGTATGAAGCTCCTCACAGCTGTTTACAATTTCGGCTGTCACATTCAAATCAAGTTTAATAGACCCAGATACGGGTGAGAATTGCCCAGCTGCTAAAAATATAGACTAATTATATGACAGAGATGGGGAAACTAAGACATACAATCAAGGTCTCTGCACCCTCTCCCCATATTTCTATAATGTCACATATTTTTGTGCATGGGGAGAGAGAGAAGAACTTTGTTGTTCTTTCTGCATCAAAAGTTTACAAGGTCATTTAAGAAATGACACTGAAGACTGAAGTTGTCATTAAGAGGATTTTGGTGTGGCAATTTTTTAGGGAAGCATCAGAGACTGGGAGGCACCTGCTTAACCCAGCCTTTGTCAACCAGGTGCCCCCTTGATACTTCGGACTACAACTCCCATCAGCCCCAGCCGGCACAGCAGTTGGGAGTTGTAGTTCAAAGCACCTGGGGTTGGGCAAACCCTTCCACTATCCACCAGTTCTCCTCTTTAAACACTCCCACATTGAGGGTTCATTTTTAATGCTTTTTCTCCACCTAGGCTCTGCAACAGAAATTAAGTGCCAACTGCAAAAAGGGGTGTTGATAGGTACTATTATTATTTATTGAACTTATTAGTTGCTTTTGTTTACTGATGTAACTTAAAAGCGATTTACAACAACAAATAACTAATATACCTTAAAGCCAGCACAGAAGGATCTAAAACACATTTGTATTTTTAAAAGGTGGGATTAAAACGCCCCACCCACTGAAGAAGCCAGTGCGGCACAATGGTTAGGGTGTCAGGCTAGGACCTGGGAGACCAGGGTTCAAATTACATTATCTTTGGTGTTCCTTTTGCACCCTTGTCCAAGCTGCGCCTGCAAGAGGTGCTTTCATCACCCCACCCTTGACACCTCACCGCAAAGAAATGCGTGCATTGCTCAACCAGCTATTAAAACACAATACTGACCATTTTCCGTTTGGTGCAGAGGAAAGCGTGGCACTCCAGGTTCTCATTGTGCTGGCTCTGTGCAATATAGGCAAACACCTTGTCATGCACTTTGTCTGCTGTGCAGTAGGATATCCTGTGAACATTGGCAAAACAAGACATTAAATACACATTATTTTTTTAAAGGGGGGGGAATGCACTCTACACCCAAGCCCCCCTTCCTCCAACACCACAAGTTCTAGCTCTGTAAAATTTGGCAAACCACACATGCAAGGGGTCTTACACAAGTGTCTCCAAAGTGACTGAGGCTGATGGGAGTTGCAGTATGAGGTATTTGGGGGGGGGCACCAGGTTGGTGAAGGATGGGATAAAGCAGGGGCAGGGGACCTTTTCCCCTAACCACACCCGCCTGCCAATCAGTGAGAGTTTTAAATGTATGGCATAAATGTGGCCTATGTGCTGTGTGAAGAAGTGTCTTTCTTTTGTCTCTCAGGAATCTTTCAACTTTGGTGGATGGGCCCAAGTTATTGTATCATGGGAAAGGGAGGAAAACTTTTCTTGTTAGAAACCAAGAGCTAGGCTGCTGAAGAGGAAGAGCCCTAATTCTCTTTTGTGGACTTATGAGCCTGAACATGCCACATTTTATAAATAAACATTTCACAGAAAGGTTTCAGACCTGTCACATGGTAAATACGGACTATCAATTATTTTTATTTGTTTATAAGAATTTATAAAGCCATCGGTCAAAAAAATCATTAAGTAGTATACACAGAACAATTGAAATCTATAAGACCAGCAAAATTTAAAAGCTATATATAAACGTGTAACTTGTTCATATTTACTGCCTTACTACACTTATATCCCACAATGGATATATTTGCATATCTGTCTGTCTACAGCAGGTGTCTTAAAACTGTAGAATGAATTGCAACAAACCCCAAGAGACAAGAGTGCTCTTGTACCAAACTAAGTTCTGCTTAAGCAGACTCATTAAAATTAAGGAACCTACAGTAGTCATGTCTATTAATTTAAATGGGTCTCCTCTGAGTAGGACTAGCACTGGAGACAACCCTATGGCTTTGCATTGTTTTCCGACGGCATTGATTTTCATGCCTGGTTGTGTTTTTACTCTCAAATAGCTTTGATTGACTGATAAGGAAGGTGAGGTAAAAACACTAAATAATAATTTTATTAAGATTGTTTCTACCTTACCCTCTGTCAAAAAAGTCCCCACAGGAGAAATTAGCAATACTGTTTAATACAGTGTAAAATACACAACAGAGAAATAAAACAATGGGGGGGGGGAGGGGAAAACACACACACGTAATTAAACAGTGAAACCAACCAAACCAAACTCTCAGTAGCAAAGCACAGCAGTATGGGCAGCTGTATATATCAATCTGCCGGTGCTTTTCAGAAAAGGTCAAGGGTTTTCACTGCCTGTCAGAATGCAGGCAGCAATCGAGGCAGGTTGATACCTCCCCTTCAGAGAGGGCATTCCAAAACATTGGGTGCACAACCAAAAGGTCCCAGCTGGCACACTTTAGATGGCAAGGGGCCTTGAAGCAGGCCTTCAAATGTAGAGATGTAAGCGGGGGCGGGGGGTGTGAGATTCTGAAGACATCCTAGCACAGATCGAAGCTGTTTGTAGGGGCCAGGTGCTCAGAGCACCTTTTGTGTACCAGTCGCTTCTGGGCCTAATTTAAAGAGCTGCTAATAGCCTTTAAAGCCCTACACCAGGGGAGAGCAAACCTTTTTCTGTCTGGGGTTACATTCCCTCAGAGGTAATCTGTCAGGGGCCACACACCAGCAGGAGGTGGGGCTGAAAACCAAAGAGGCTGGGGCCATCCCCCTTTCTCCCTATTTCTGCCAACATCTTGTCTCTGTCACCCACTTTCTCGCCATTTCTGCCTCCTTGGCACCCACATGAAATGTGGCTAAAGGCATACCTGCTCTACATGGTTTAGAACCAGGTTCTTTGAAGGAACAGCGTATGAAGTGAGAGGGAGAAGCCAGGAACATTAGAAGAGGTGCCCTGCTTCCCAATGGGACTCCTGGATTATCTTGCCTCCTTACAGGGTTGAAGCCCTGACTGAGCAGCCCCTGGCCAGGGGCACCGACAATAGGGGACCCACAACATTTTTGGGGTTAATCTCTCTCAGCTGTGCCCAGTGTTTCCCTGTAGTCAAGAGAAACTCCCGACCTTGAGATTAAGAGTCTCATGCTCCACCAACTGAGCTATCCCAGGCAGCACCCACAGTACTGGAAATCCAACTCAGCCTCCCCACAGTAGTTTCTGAGATGATCAGTCCCTGGCCACTTACTTCGCAGCTAATATTTTCACCATAAGGCCTAGAAACTTTAAAAAAAACAAAACAGAAGCTGATAGGATGCTGAATTCTAATATAAACCTCTGTGCTTTGCACCAAACAGCACAGCACTTATATTGTGAGGCTTTGCTTTACAAATAAGAGAAACAAATGAAAGTTTCAGGCACACACCATGCACAGATTCATAGAGTTTGCTTATCAGATCAAAGCAGAGAGAATGCAATTTTCCAGGCTGAGATCTTATAACGCTAGGGAAATGCAGAAAAACAAATACCCATCCATCTTCCCAAAAGCTCTGCTTTCTAAGGAGTGCTTCCATTTTTAAAACAGGAGAGTGTGCGGGGGTGGGGAAGAGTACTTTGAGCTCAGGAAATCCTGCCAACTCTTGCTCTTCTGCAATGTGCCCACCCCATTCTGTTAGAGAAGCTGAAGGCCAGCATGGGCATCACGCCAGGAGGAGCCACCCTATCTGCCCACCAATATGGGAGTGAGTGATGTGCATGCCAGGTGCCTGGAGCAGCCAACTACTCCTTAGCAGCTATTGTCCCTCCCCCACCCATCAATGTCCTGATTATACAAAAGCCTAAAAATGGGCCACTTTGTATTTAAAAATGGCCGGCTATAAATCCCCAGGGCAAGATGTAGGCTTCATTCTCCCTGCCCAAGAAAGGCTACCAGGTCTTCAACAGGCTTCTCAGCACATTTCTACCAATTGCTATTCTTGCTTGTAGCCAAGGACCACAGACAGTTGGGGAACAAGGCTGGGGTTGGTAGGAAGGAAAGCTTCAAACACATTTATAATCCAAGTGGAGAGCTCCCTTCTGAGTTGGGGAAGAGCTGTAGCTCAATGGTAGAAAGACCCCATGTGGAATTTCTGGTATCTCCAGGAAGGGCTGGGAAAGTCCCTTGTCTGAAATCCTGCAGAGCCACTGCTACTAAGGACAGACCAGCCTCCACCAACCTGGTGTCTTACTGATGTTTTCAACTACAATTCCCATCAGCCCTAAGCTCTTAGTTGGGAAGGGCCATAGCCTTGGTGGAGCATCTGCTTTACATGCAAAGGTCCCAGGTTCAATCCCTGGAATCTCCAGGTGTGGTTGTGAGAAAACCTTGCCTGAAACCCTGGAAAGCCACTGCCTGTCAACATAGGCAATACAGTCGTACCTTGGAAGTCTAACTGAATCTGTTCCGGAAGTCCGTTCAATTTCCAAAACATTCGGAAACCAAAGCACAGCTTCTGATTGGCTGCGGGAAACTCCTGCAGCCAATCGGAAGCCACGCCTGACATTCGGCTTCTGAAAAATCGTTCAAAAATCGGAACACTTACTTCCAGGTTTTGAATCTTCAGGAGCCAAGGCATTTTGAGATCCAAGGCACGACTGTACTGAGCTAAATGGCCAAGGGTTTGACTCAGTAGAAGGCAGCTTTCTATGTTCTTGAACCTCAGGAGAGGGCTAGAGGCAAAAGAGGGCATAGCAATGAGTGTGCCAAAAATGCACGAGGAGGACTCAAATCAGGCCTAGTGAGGAATGAGGCTCGGGAGGGTGTGTGACCTGGGGAGATGCCAGGTTGAAATGCCCGAAGGACCGCACATGCATTCACCCCACGTTTTGTAACAGAAGAACATGACTTGAAGCAGAAAATCACTCATCGCTTGCAGGGAGCAGCAGTTCAAAGCAGCATAGTCAGTGCATCTTGAATTATCTCCCCCCCCCCCCCACCAAGCCTGATGAAGATCTGATGACCTTTCTCAGGAGGAGAGGATAAATCTTGCCCTGGGGGTATATAGTCGGTCATTTATTTATTCAGCAGCACTGTGTCAGAGCGCACTTAAGTTTCAGGACAACTCAGAAGCGAGCTGTCCACTCGATGAAGAGACTAGTTCAGCTTACACATCTTGGGACTGCAAATGCGTTTTGACACTTCCTCCAAAGCCCAGCGCTGTCCCTCAACTCTCTGTGGTCCTTGGCTACAAATGATAAAGAGAAACTGATGGAAAGGTGTTGAGAAAACGCTGCCTGCGAAGATCATCCTCAAACTCTCACAGGTTCAAGCATCATTAAAGCAGCATGACGGCAGGCACTCAGCCCATGAGCTGAGGAACATCCCTTTTGGCAGGATGACGCTCCCTTTGACTGGGTGAAAAACAGCTTTGAACTCTACAAGCCAATAACGGCTGGTGCCTGAGGGATGTCTTTCTAACAGCATTCCCCAATCTGGTGCCCTCCAGATTTTGTTGGACACCATCACCCAGAAACCTAGCCACTGGCAGGGGTAATGGCAATGAAGTCCAAAACACCTCTCATAGGTAGGAGGTTGAAGAAGGTTGTCTTACAAAAACAACTGTGGGTATTTCACCTATTCTTGGAAGGGCATTCATAGATAAGCAGCATGACAGAGAAACTGGCCTTGCTGACCATTGTGCAGAACGATGTCCATATCCGACAGGATTGTGAAGAAAAAAACCATGGTTTGGTTTAGTCATATGTGTAACAACTTGTGGTTTGTTGAAAAACTACGGCCTGGCATTGTGAGCGAACCAGCTTCCTATGTTTTCTTGTATTCCGCAATGCACCGTGCATATTGATGGTGCAAGAGTGATAAATTAATCATAAAAATACTAGAGACGTTGGCCCCAAAATTGTAATACCCTCAAATGGCTGTCCCATAGCACAAAGCTGTACCAAGCATACCTTTGTCATGAGCAAGGGGCTGTTCCTCTTGAGGAAAGCAGTGCCTGATCTACCAGTTGAGTTTTCCAGGGTTTAAAATACATTCAAAATTAATTTACATTGCATTAAGTGTCTTGTTGTGCTCCGGTGTGGCCTACATTTGTCCTACATGGAGCTTCACAGTGCTTTGTTTTTATAAGAGGCACTTATGTTTTCCCTCTTTCCCTGTAATTGGTTTTTTTAAGCTGTTAAATGCTGGTTTTTGTAACAGCAGCAGAGACTCTGAAATCCATTCAGCAAGCAAAAAATTAGTGTGTTTTTGGGAAAACGGGTTCCAGAGGGGCCCTCCTAAGTGACACCTACAAACTTTATTCATCTTTAGGAGTAAAATACCACTCCTGGTAGCCTCTGAAATTAATGATTTTTTCCACAGTGTACGCAAGAGGCTATGAAGAAGAAGGCCACAGACGTCACCCAGAACTACTTTCAACTAATGACCAAGCTTCCCGGAAACTGCTGAAGGCCTCTGACAGCTCCCACCTGCTTTCTTACTTAAATCCAGTCCCAGGGTGGCCCTGGCTGTCAGCTTCCTCCTCCTTACTCTCAGCGTTGCCATTATAGAACTCAGCAGAGAGGAGGATGGGGAGCAAACAAGAATTATTTGGCTCTGACTCTCCTTGGCTTTGGCTCCACCAACTGTTGACCTTTCTGCCTTCTGCCTACCAGCCACCACTGGTTTCAATTCTCCTGCAAAGGGGATTTCAAAAGGAGGCTACAGCATGAAGCTGCAGAATGAGAACTTATCAAGACATTTGATTCTATTCATTTGGGGATGATCACAGCGATGGCTTCCTGTCCCGCTGCAGGCGCTAATTAGCTCAGCAAAGCTAAGATGCCTGAGTCATCACCAAATAAGTGCTGTTGGGAACGGCTGCAATGTTTATCAGCGTACGTTTAAGTTTCAATTGAATTATCACAAATCGTAATTTTTGCATTTCATGCTATCTGAACCCACTCTTTACTTCTTTACCCCCACTACCTTTGCAGCCTAAATAAATAAATAAATTTATATGCTGCCCATCTGACTGGGTTGCCCCAGCCACTCTGGGCAGCTTCCAACAAATTAGAAGGATAGCTCAGCTGGTTAAAGCACAGTGCTGATAATGCCAAGGTTGCAGGTTCAATCCCTGTATTGTAGCAGTTGCATATTCCTGTATTGCAGGGGGCTGGACTAGATGATCCTCAGGATCCCTTACAACTCTACAATTCTATGATCATTATGCAGAGGCAAAATGATAAAACCACAGTGAAACATCAAACATTAAAAACATCCCTATAAATGGCTGCCTATAAACATACACACACCTTTCAACTGGGGGTAACGCATCTGATGAAGTGCGGCTCTTTTCCACAGCGTATGAGTTAGTCTTTAAGGTGCTGCGGGACTGTATGGCTGCATTTGCGCATAACAATGAGGCTGTGAGGAGGAGGCTGCTGTGCCTGTGTAAGTCTTTGCAGGAAGACCCACCAGCAATAAATCAGGTCAGTCTGGAGGTCATGCCTCTCCTCTCAGCGTGCAGAGATAAAGCAGAAACACTGAGCGGGAAGCATGGGCCTGGTGAGGAATCAGAAAGAGGAAAGCTGAGAGAAGCACAGGAGTGGATAGAATGAGAAGTCCAAGCGGTGCACCTATTATAAAAGGAGACTGGTGAAGCCTAAGGAAAGTGGGGAGAGGGGCAAGTTCAGGGGAGTTCAAAAAGGGGGTCTCAACTTGTATAGCAATGGCCCCACTCAGTACACAGTCTAGAGTATCTTTTGGAGGGATGTGTGTAAAGTGGTGGATAAACACACTTCACAGAGAATGTATCTATTAACCTGGCAAGGGAATCTGAGAGGTGTGGGGCCACCACTGAGAAAGCCATGCTCCTTGCATCTGCCAGTATCACAGTTTTACCACCGTGCCTTAAATACTTACTCTGTGTCTTCAAAAACTACAATTGGAACGTACCTGTATATTGAGATGTTTTCGATTGCTTCGTTTGTTACACTGTCACTGAGGATTATCCCTCTGGGAGACACTTTTAGAGTTACTTTCCGGAGCTTTCTGCCACTTGCTTTTGCCTTGAGAAAGAAAACATTCAACATGTTTCATGGGTCTGGTGGAGATAAATCAACTTACCTGGTAAGAAGAGGAACAGAACAGAGTATCGTGCAGGAAGGCACTGAACAGGGACGCTCCGCAATGAAACATTTGGCTGCAGGTTCTCATTTCTTCAGCAATATTCTTATTTCTTTCTCTAATATGAAAACACTCCGGTTTACAAACCAGGGGGTTTGGTTTTGCAAACAATGAGCTTTTCTCCTCCTATTCACCAGGAGAATATATGCAAGTCGCAGCACATAGCTGAGCTGCAGGAGCAGGTAACACATGAGAGGTAGCCTTTCATATGGCCTAGAACAGGAGCATGAGGGGCCTGTGGCCCTCCCAATTTTGTTGGACGTCAACTTCCCAACCACTGACCATGTTTGCTGGGGTTGGTGGGAACTGGAGACCAACAAAAATACCCAGGGAGCCGCAGGTTCATCCGCGGCCTAGAAACCCTTTTGCGAATTTTGAAAACTGCAGAGGTTAAATGAGGCTTCATGATGTCATGATTCATACTAATTCTAATTCAAGGAAAACAAATTGAATGAAGCATACAAAACAATAAAATTCAAACATATCATGTGGCGGTTTATTTGGCCCCATGAAACACCTCCACACCCCATGGGAGCCCTCCTATGGATTGAGGTCATCAGATGGGCCCCTGCTTAAGATATTCTTCCTCTTTCTTCATTTGATGGGGACAAACATCAGGATCTTTGCTAGCTACCACCCCAATCCACTGCCACAAGAAACCCGCCCAAGTATAACTCTACAGATTTTTAGCAAGATATGCAAAGCCTCCTTTATTCAAGCAAGTTTTTAGTAACTTGCTATAAATCAGGCCACTTTTATGTTGGCTAATTTCCTATAATTGCAAAGCATTTTATGCATTTTATGAACTGCTTTCTGTTTTATGAACTGAATTTTAATGGTTTTTAATGTCACTTGAACGAGTTTCCCTACTGTTCTTGAACATAAGTTTAGAGTGCATGGCTATAGGCCGAATTGAAGTGTTAACATGTAGGATCTGTAGCAGAAAGTTGCAGTGTGAAGTGCTGCTGTTCAGACGTCTAGTCACTCCATCCTATTTCCCTCCCGCCTCATTTTTCCACCCCTCCCAGCATCTAACCAGAATTCCATGCCCACTGAGCACTTGTTTGGGGTTCCCCCTCTGCACCCCTAGTTCAAAAATTTCCTTAAAATATGTTTTGTACGTCTGTGAATTTGTGGGGTTTTCCAAACCTGCTAACACCCTTCACTTGACCACAGAAACAGAGCCCCCATCTGAGATCCTCCAAAGAATTACAAAAACAAAAGCACAAGTCATCCACATTCCCAGTAAACTTTCAAACCTATCTGAAGTTTGAATGGGAGATAGAGCCAAAAACTCAGCTTTCAAGCACTGCTCTGGATTCAACAGGACAGAGCTATGGAAGCTGCACATATACTGCTATGGCTGCTACCCTTCTAGCCTAGGCATAACGGAGGACATTTGGGGGTGTGAGGGTATGAAGTAAAGGGAAGCTCACCGTGGCTACAATTCTTTTGACAGCAGCAGCGGATAGCTCTTCACCTTTGGGTTGTTCGACGAGTGTCATGCCCAGGTACTTCAGGTTGAAGAGCATGCCCTCCAATAAGGTTTCTCTGGTGTCGGTCCAGTTTTCCGGGAGCTCTGTGGAATTAAGAAGGTTTATTGTTTAAGGGTACCTGGTACGAAACATTAAACGATTGGATAGAAGGGATATGCCCCAACTGCCCTCCCCCCCCTTCAACCTGGGACACTTGACTTGATGTTTCGAGTTTCATAACAACTGGTTGCACTCAGGGCAGGTGGGATAAAAAAATAAATAAATTTATAAAAAATAATAATTAAAACTTCTAGTTCTGTGTTGCATTTTTCAAACAAGTGGGGATGCTTATCAACCCCTTCTGTTAAAAGGCTTGTGGAGGAAGGAAAAACAACCCCTTAATTGGTTTTGCGCTGCTGGAAATATAGAATAAAAACCCAGAGGTTTTGTATAATTTCTTTTTTGAAAACTGCCCTGTGAGTCATCAATGGTTCATGCAAAGGCTGGGGATGCATTCTGTTAACTCCTGCACTCATAAGGCTCCTCAGTGCTGGCCAAAGTTATAGCATGGGAATGAAAGAGCAACAGACTTCCTCAATATATGCTAGTTGGAACAACTATTCCTAAGGATAATATGCACGGCTGGCCCAAGAAATGTGAAGGTGTTATGCTTCATTATAGATTGACCCCCCCTCCCCCGAAAAGGAACTAACAGCTGTCTCATTTGTACTAATTAACATGGGGCACAATCGGCAGGTATTTTTTTCTGAGCAAGCTTCCATCAGTGCACAAGAGCTGAGCAACAAAATTACTGGAACATCCTGCTGGATTGCACTGGATGGCTCAGCCGGCCAGCCTCTCACTTCACAGCCCATAATGGCTCATCAAGAACAGCGGCTTGAGGCAGGGCGCCTTGAGGAGTGTGGTGGTGAAAGGAGAGAGAGTATAGCTGCATTCAGGCTTCAAGGGTTTTACTGTGCTCTGGCAAATGTGATAGGCAACTGGTCTTCCTCCCACCTTTGAAGTTGGCAGGGGTAGGCAGGAATTGTCCCAGAAGATAAAACAACAAGAGCCCTATGAGATCATGCCAATGGCCCCATCTAGTGCAGCATCCTGTTCTCACAGTGGCCAAGCAGATGCCTACAGGAAGCCCATAAGTAGGACATGAGAGAAATGGCACTCTCCCACTCCTGATCTCTCAGCAGCTGCTTTTCAGAGGCATACGGCCTCCATCTGATACTGGAGGTCATATACAGCCATCATGACTAGTAACCAGTGATAACTGCCCAGCAGTGAATAAAACTACCGTATTTTTTGCTCTATAGGACGCACCCGACCATAGGACGCACCTTGTTTTAGAGGGGGAGAACAAGAAAAAAAAATTCTCTCCCTCTTTGCGCAGTGCCCCTTCAGAGAAGCGGCAGGAGAAACGGAGCCCCTTCCAATTCTTCTCCCGCTTCGCTGAAGGGGCGCTGCGCAACTCTCCCTCTCCCAAATTGCCTTCGCCTTCCAGTGAAGGCAACCCGAAGCCTCCGGAGCGCAGCAGGAACTACCACTGCACTCTAGAAGCTTCGCGTTGCTATCACTGAAGCCAAGGAGCCTGCATTCGCCCCATAAGTCGCACACACATTTCCCTTTAATTTTTGGAGGGGGAAATGTGCGTCTTACAGAGCGAAAAATACGGTACACAATTCCTCCCCCCTTCCCCCCTACAATTCCCAGGGTGGTTTAACAGCCAATCCCTCTTTCCAGAGAATTATGGGACTAACAACTCTCAGCACCCTTAGCAAACTACAGTTCCCAGCTCAAGATGACTTTGTTGCTCCAGCAAACACAGCTGGAAAAGGAAGGCCTTTATACTCCTTCCTGCTCAGGAAGAACCAATGGCCAGCTGGGGATTATGATTACGATATCTTTATTGTCATTGTCCCTTGCAGAACAATGAAATTGAAAAACTACATAAAACTACATAAAAACTACATAAAACATTCAAAAACCCCTAAAAACTCTAAAACCCCATTTTAAAATACACTATACTACAGAGACCCCTTAGAGATTGGGGATAGGACTAGATGAGCCTCATGGTCCTTTCCAACTCTACAATCCTGTGACTCAATGGGCAGAGGCTGCTGGGAAGGTTCTCCAATAAGAAAGCTTCCACCTGAAAGTTCAGTGATTCACCACATGGGGTAGCAACACTAAAGACACCAGCAAGTATAATTCTGCATCTATCTACTTGCTGCTCAGGCCTCAGACCATATTTTTGCTTTGGCCCACCCATTTGCTGGTATGCAGCCTCCAGAAAGTCACTCAAGAGGAAAAGCCGCCCTGGGGCTGGCGATGGGGTGGGGAAGTTTTCCCAACCCTGCTCTGAAGCTGGTTTAGAGCACAGTCTTCAGAGCCACATACAGGCAACTTTCCATTTGTGCACATTCAAGGCATGCATGACCGCGAACATGTGCATCACCGCAAACCTGGAAGTGGCACAAAAGGAGCAAAAACAGACCCCAAAGAGTGCAAAACAGCAAAAATGGCATGAAAACAGTGTCAGGCAATCCCACGAGCCTTTGCAAGTGCAATCCCAGCAGCTCTTGCACCGACCTTTGAGGCCTGTGGAGAGTTGGAGTTTGAGCAAGGAGGTTTGGAGGGAGTGATTGTGGTGTTTGCAGGCTTTTTCAACAATGTTCCGGATATATGCGATTTCACTTAAACACGTTGTGCCTCGGAACGTAACCTCCACGTAAATGGGGAGTTGCCTGTACCAACTAGAAAGCAGAAACTATAACCCCAAGCCTGAGCCTACCCAGTCAAGCACGGGATACAAAGCTCAAGAGGAACTCTCACATTTCACAGGGCAGGAACGACCTGCTGCACAGCATGATCTGTGCACTTGCTTCTACCCTCTCCCACAATAACTGAGCAGCCTCAAATCCCCTGCCCTCTTCCAAACCAGTTATCAGAAAGACAAACCATCTGTGCACAGGCTTAAGCAGGCTCTCCTCTTCATTAGCTTTTCACAACCTCAAGGCCTGTGTAGTGTCTAGTGATGTCACCCAGCCAGAAGAACTACCCTCTTGGCTAGTTGCCAAGGCTAGAAGGATGCACAGCCAGCAATTTATTTTTTACAAGCTCTTCCTTCTGATCCTGTCTACGTGCTTGCTGTCACCGTGCATAGGTATGCACTACTAAAGCACTGGGCAGGAGGGGGAGTGAGGGAGATTGTTGGCAGGGGAGCCCTCTGCACCATGCATTTAAAGCAATACAGTATAATATTAAACAGCCATGGCTTCCCCCAAAGAATCCTGGGAAATGTAGTTCTGTTTGCTAGCAGACAACCCTTCCCCTGAGCTACAATTCCTAGAGTTCCCCTGGGAAGAGGATTGATTTTTATATCACTCTGACATTTGCAGCTCTCTGAGGGGAAGAGGAGTCTTCAGCACATGAACAACTGCAGCTCCCAGGATTCTTTGCAGGAAGCCATGACTCTTACTAGAACAAAAAGACCTCTAAGTGGGTTACAGGAGACAGTCTAAAATAATATGTAGAAGAAGAAGGAGTAGCCAAAAAACAAATCAATAAAATAAACACTAATACCAAGCACTGAAAGAGAGTAGAACATAATTCAATAACATAAAATACAAAGCTGAGGAAAACCCTGTACAGCCCCAAATAATGAACGTTTGCAACTAAAACCATATTTTAAAGGAATTTGGTGGTTGTTTGTAAGCTATTTGTCACCAGAGATATTGGGTTGGCAGTCTAAAACAGTAATAAATAATAATTCTGGCCTGAGCTCCATCCCTGTCAAAAAGTAAGGGACAATGGGCGAGACTCAAGTTCACATGAAATTTCCCCCCAAAATTCCTTCGCTTCCCTGCTCAAAAGTACCAGGAAATTCCTCCAAACACATGAACCACCCCCACCCCCCTGACAGGAAGTCTACACAATACAGATTTATCTCCACTGAGCTCTAGCCCAGCCACAATGAACTGCAGTAAGCAAAGCTCCATTCTAAAAAAACTGCAGGAAGGATATCGCAAAACGAGACCCAAGCAGGAGACAAGAGGCTAAAATTAGGCACCAGTTCAGGCTATCATTTGATGCCAACAAGCAAAAGGGAGAAGAGGTTTTTTTGTTTGCTCAGAAAGGCCTTGGGGACACACTCTCCCTGCAAACCTTCTAGTGGAAACTGAGAAGGTAACTGTATGCGGTTTCTCCTGTTTCCAGCAGCTGCGCCAGGTAGCGCCCCCGTCCCCCACAATAAGAAAAAGGCTGGATCTAAAACGAAACACAAGCAGCTATTGATTTTGAAAAGGAAGGTCCAGATACAAGGAAAGAGGAGGAGAAGGACTAGCAAAATCTCCCCCCCCCATTTCTCAAACGTTTTCTTACACTGTGAAAAGCATTTTGTTCTCAGGGCACTGAGAAATTTAGGGTCAGCTTAGGGTTTGGAGCTCATCTTATCATCATCACAAGGTGGTCAAAGATAGTGTTTGTGTTTTCCTTTCCTTCAGAAAGATTTCCCTAGCATTCCTTCAGCCTCCCCAGCTGCTCAGACTTCCTGTGTGAAAAAGCCCTATGGGAGGAGTTACTATTTCATTTAACAAAATTTGTATACTGCCTGTTTGCAAGAAAGCTTCTAAGTGGCTTACAAAAATATGAAATAAAACATTAATATTCTTGGGCGGGGGAGTTAAAAACAAGTATCAAAAAACATTCAAAAGTAGCCAAAAAGAGATAAAGCTCATGTAACTTCTACATGTCTGTCTAGGCTTGCCAAAACAGAACTGTTTTAAGCAGGGGCTGAGAAGAGGATAAGGAAGGTGTGTGCTTGAAATCAATAGGCATGGAGTTCCAAGGGGAAGGTGTTGCAGGACTAAAACATTCATTTCATTATGTGGCATGTATAACAGTGCCAGTTCTGCAAGTGAACTAGTCCCAAGCCGTAAAGGGCTTCATACACCAACACCTTGAACCTGAGCAAATGGGCAACCAGAGCAGATCTCCAGGCACAGGTATAATATGCAGAGAGGTCTCACTCTCAAGGGAAGTCCCACATAGAGTGCATTGCAGTAATCCAACCCAATGGAGTTAATCATGGGTTACGTTTTTTTTTTTAATATTTATTTATACAAAAAGAAAAAAACAACACACAAAATAACACAAATACCAAATTACACACAAATTACAAAAATAACCATAGACACATAATTTTCTTGGCAAACAATAAAACATCTATTGGTCTTAACACTAAAGACCCAACTTCCCGTCTATTCCATATTTCAAATTCATATTACTTATTGCCAATACACATTTTTTTCATAATTAAACTTATTCTCAATAAATCTAATTTCTTCTATCTACCTAGCAACTATTACTGAAGTTCCTCACATGCTGCAACAGAAGTTAAACTACTATATATATTTTCAGATTTTCTTTGAAATCCTCCCATCTAGAAACAAATTCCTGATTTTATTTATTCTTTATTTTTTCTGATAAAGCATCTAATTCGAGCATATTCTGTCAGCTTTTGGATCCAATCTTGTATAGAGGGGATTTCATTACTCTTCCATTTTGCTGCGATCAAAACTCTTGCTGCCGCCTGTCGCATATAAAAAGATACCCTTCCTCTTTTGTGGAATATCCAAATCTGTTATTCCCAGGAGGTAGGCCTCTGGTTTTTTATTGAAAGAGATCTTTAGCATTTTTTGCAGTTCTGCATGTATACTCTCCCAGGGTTACGTTATGGTACCTTTCTCTTGGGCTTTAACTGAAGTGCAGGAACCCAAAATGGTTGCAGAGTGCAGATGAAAGGCCGAATAAATAATAATAAAGAGATGTTAGGTTGCAATCCTGTACACCAGGTATGTTGGGAGCTGGTAGCCCTCCAGATGTGAGATGATTTGCAAAGTGAAGGAAAGGACACTGCCAAAAACCTCAAAAGTCAAGAAAGCCCTGCAGCCCAAGACATGAGATTTTCACCGATATTTTCTCTCCCCTTTGAATTAAAAAAAACTATCCATTTCTTTTCTCATTCATTGATAGAGAAAGGCCAGGGGATTTTTTTTAAAAACTGCATAAATTTTCAGCTCAACTCTAGTTAAGATATAGCCTTGCTACTTAAATGTTAATACTTTGGCCATGTTTAAGAATTGCCAACCCGCTGTTTTGGACAGCTTGCTTATTTTCGTTCCTGGGTTGGCAGCGTTTTATGTATTTACTGTATTGTCTTAGCTGGTTGTATAGTTTTGGGTATATTACAGTGGTGCCCCGCAAGACGAATGCCTCGCAAGACGGAAAACCCGCTAGACGAAAGGGTTTTCCGTTTTGGAGGTGCTTCACAAAACGAATTTCCTATGTGCTTGCTTCGCAAGACGAAAATGTCTTGCGAGTTCCTGCGGGGGGGTTTTCCTTCCCCCCCCCCTTTTTACCAAGCCGCTAAACCGCTTATCAGCTGATGGCTAAGCCGCTTAACAGCTGATGGCTAAGCCGCTTAACAGCTGATCGTTAAGCCGCTTATCAGCTGATCGTTAAGCCGCTTATCAGCTGATCGTTAAACCGCTTATCAGCTGATCGTTAAGCCGCTTATCAGCTGATCCACTAAGCCTGCTAAGCCGCTAATACTGTAGCACCAATCTGCTAAACCGCTAATGGGCTTGCTTCGCAAGACGAAAAAACCCGCAAGACGAAGAGACTCGCGGAACGGATTCTTTTCGTCTTGCGAGGCACCACTGTATTCCTAAGATTTAATTCTGCTTTGATTGTACTGCTGTTCAATTTCTTTATTTTTAATTATACTGCCCTGGGATCCATGCCATAGCTGTCAACTGTCCCTTATTTGGTGGGAAAGTCCCTTATCCCAGCGCTGTGTCCCGCTGCTGTCCCTTATTGATGATGTCCCTTAAATTTCCCGGGTTTCAAAGGAAGCAGCTCCTCTCCCTCCTTCCCTGCCAGCCAGGGAGGAGGGAGGCGCCAACTGTGTTGCTTGGCTGCGTTGCTCACCCAATAAGGAGTCTGAGAACGACTGGGGGGTGGAGCTTGCATGCCTTGTGCCGATCAAATCAGCCGCATTGCCTGGGGACTCGCCTTTGCTCAGTGCTTCCCAGCGAAGAGGTGACAGTGGTTTTCCTTGCTGCATCCCCTTTGCTGGGTTGCTGCGCTGTGGGAACCACCGCTTGAGGCTTCGTTTGGCTGCTGGCTGGTTTTTCTGCCTTTGGCTTGGACACATACCTGTGTTCGGAAAATCCCTTATTCTGGCTGCTGATCCCTTATTTTTGAGGCTGCTGGTCCCTTATTTCCAAATCTGTAAGTTGACAGCTATTATCTATGCTTTACACAAAAGCGTGCTTTTAGAAAATTTCAGAAATAAAACAAGCCCATTTCTTACAATTTTATCAAGGAACTTCCAGCCCACACCAGAAACAATTACTTTGGCATCCCAGCAATGCCCAGAACCCTTGACCTTTTGCCATTCCAGCACATATCAATGCGTTTCTACTGAGGAGTTGTGAACAACAATGCTTGACAACTCAGGCAAAAAGAGTGATTTCATAAGAACAGAGAGGAGGACTTAAGAGAGGCAACTTTGACCAAGATACATTTGTCCAAATTCTCAAGCTTTGAATAACAGGAGCAGCTTCTACGATCAGATTCCATATCAAGGTGTGTGTTTTATTGAAGGAGCAGAATATGCTATGACCAATTCCCACCTGTGAACAATAAGAAGGCGTCTGTTTTAAAGTGAGCAAGCAACAACCAGCCCCTTAAAGCTCAACACACCCTGCAAGGTAATCCTACATGACTCATAATTATGCCACCTAATTGCAAAGCAGAATTAGTCAGGGGGGAAATATGCAGGATGACTCAGGAGGAAGGCACTGCGTGCAATAATGTGGCACACTAAAACTGCAGCGAGGGGTTGGACTTACCTCACACAAAACAGGCAAGCTTACTGGGCTTGCCTGATTTTTTCCAGCTGCTTCAAACAAGCAGATCTGCTTTAGGTTTTCAGTAGTTGTCTCCCCATTGGCCTCTATGTAAATGTGCACCAACACTAATCAATGCACTCAGAAGCTGTCGTGTGACTTCAACTGGATTTAGGAGGAAAGAGTGTATAGTCGGAGAAGGGAACCTATAGCCCTCCAGATGGGAGTTGGGAGTCTTATCAACATCAGCCAGAATGGCCAGCAGATAACGGAGTCATAGTCCCGCAACATCTGGAGGGCTACCAGCCCCCCACATACCTGGTGTATAGGACTGCAACCTAATATCTCTTTATTATCATTTATTCGGCCTTTTAAAAAAATTATAATTTATTGAAAGTTTTACAGAAATTGCTGATGTTCGCTAATTCGTTCCATGTCTGGAACAGAAATCGATCCAGCAAATATGACTTGTATTCACTGTTGCTGCTGCTTTTGGTCCACAAATGATACATAACTGATTGTGTTTTCCCCACATTAGCATCGCATTTCCTGTGTGTGGAAATGAATGGCGTAAAGTTAACATAATGGCAATGCAGTTTGTGTATTTAATTTCATTTCACCACAGTGGACAATGAGATGAATAATGTAGTTTTTGGTTAAAGTTTAACCGCAGCGGAAGGGAAACAATGGTGCATGCAACAAATGCAGGGAGGAATGGAGAAGAATGCCTTCTTACATCCCTCCTGGGAACCTCTGATTTGCTTCTGCATAATGTATAAAAATGGCCAGATTGTGAGCATAATGTGGCACTAAAGGGCAATTAGTTTACCATGCCTCATTTTGAACTAATGTGTGCCCTTAGGAACAACTTCCTCCCATTATACTCTTAGCAACAGCCTCTTGATTATGCTTACAGCTTACAGGTGTTCTACCCGTCTTTTGTGTCTAAATAGAGACAATGGCTTCCTTTCACACTGTAGATGTTAATCAACTCAGGATTGCCAAACTCTTGCATCACTGATCACTGCTGCTGTAAAGACTCACTGTGCTTCTTACATTTCATTTCTTTCTGGCCTCACTGCTTACAACATATGTATCTGTATCTGCAATGGAGGATTAAACTTAATGGATTTGAATTCTTTTGGATTCAAGTCCAGAAAAGCTTATGCTGTAATACAAAATTAGTCCTTCACGAGTCAAATGTGGACACGCAGAAATGTCCTCAGAAGCAGGGCTGTACACACACTGTCCAGAAAACATATAAAATCCAAGTTCTGCAAAGTTGAATTTTGCAGCCTTTGTGGATTATGCAAAAGCCATGCACATCTGCATACAGCTTAGTGTGCATTATTTATTCTGCTCCTACTACTTATTCGGAAGAACAGAAGCCCACACAGAAATTTCTTTCAGTACTCACTTTAAATTCCATCTTCTGCAGCCATAATGGCTATAAACTTGCCTTTTAAAAATAAGATTCTCAAGATGGGGAATTCTGCAGCCGATACTGAATTGAGATTTTTCTGCTTGGGGGTTCAAATGCAGTATGCAAAGTCTTGTTTTTATGCCTTTTATAGCTTTCTCTGCCAAAGTGGACAGATCTGGGATGGGGTAGGGTAGAGAAACAGCATGAACCTGGAGTTACTTTAACAGAGTGAACACGCATTACATAATGTAATAAACACGACTTTGTGCACTTTCACCAGTAAGCTCTGCCTGCACTACACAATACAGTGAGGTCATGCAGCTGTGTGGGCAGATTGAGCAGATAAACTAAGGCCATAAGTCATAGTGGAACTAGAGTACTGTAGAAAGGTAATGTTGACAACTATTGCTCCACCCACTTTTGCCTCTGGCCCCGCCCACCAATGGCATGTGGCCCCAGAAGGGAGTGTGGCCCTTGGGGTGAAAAAGGATCCCACCTGCTACAGATGGAGGCAGAGCTTTTACCCACAAGGGCAGAGTTTCAATACGTACCAGTACATTCAGTTAAAGCTTAGTGGAGAGAACAGCTGGTATCGACAAAGAGAAGCACATTAACTTGTTGTTTTTAAGTATCAGTCTGCAAAATTAATGTTCACACTTACTAAATTACATTTCCAGACAGAATGCTTCACAGAGAGGCAGGTCAGGGGTCACGCGATTGTTGGGTCAAGCAGGAGACACATTTAGATGTTAACACGGCAACGTAACAAACCACTCAGATTAATAGAATCCAATTTACTGCTCAGTTCCACTGAGATTTACCATATTTCAACCATACAGCCCAGCTCTCTCAACAACCCTGCAAGGCAGGTCAGCCTGATAAACAGTAACAGCTGGTCCCATCAGGCCACCCGTTGCGCCTTGTGGCGAAGAAGGAATTGATTAAGGATCTATTTTATTACAGTATGGCTACCAACACACAAAAAATCAACAAAAAACATATTGCTTGTAATGCTCAGTTTGAACCAGCAGAAAATTCTCTAAGTTTTTAAAACAGCATTTCCCTTTTTAATATAATTGTGTAACCCATTCTAGATATAATCTCTACCTTCTTGTTTCATGCTCAGTTACTTACTACCAACTAGAATTGTCCCTTAGTGCTTAAACATGCATTGAAAGGATGAGGGCAAAGCCATCAAACTAATGAATCGTTTTGTTTGCACCCTGCTGCCTCACTGCAGAAGACAGTGCTTTGCTTGCACCGCATCAAGTGATGGTGATCGTTGTCATTTTTCTAATGGGCCAAGAAAGGGGGTACAGATGGTGTGATTAACACCATTTCCATTTTCTCCACAACCAAAGATGAACCTAGCTGTCTGAATGTTTCAAAGATAAGTGAGTTCCAGCATACTTCTTGGAATGCAGTATTAAAAACCAGTTGACAACTGAATGCTTTTCCTTAACTCTGTTCTTTTTAAGCCATTGCCTCTCCAAACACGACCTGTAGCCAAGGATAGTTTTTGAGTGCAGCTCGTGGTTTGCAAAGAGAGAGGTCAACCACAAGTTAAGGATGGGCTACATGCTAAGCCAACCCTTGCCTTAGTGTGCTGCAGCAGCAAAAAGGACCAGCCAGGACAGGAGCAAAGTGGCTGAGCTAGTAGCCATGATGGCTATGCTTTCCCTCCAATACCAGTTACTGGGAACTGCAGGTGGGGTACATGCCACTAAGCTCAAGCCCAGGTTGTGGGTTCCCCACAGGGATCTAGCTGGCCGCTAGATGGGCCATTGGCCTGATGCAGCTGGCGTGTCTTAAGTGGCAAGCTGTACGAATAAAGAGCATTTGAGCGTGTGACCTTCTACAAGGCTGCAAACAGCTCAGCAACGCACCCCCCACAATCCCACCCTGCCAGCTCGAAAAGCACTTTGCAAGCATGCGAGGCTGTGTGGGCTGGACAGGAACGAGCCAGGAGCTGGAAGCCCCTCCTTCCGATCCCTGCTTTGACAGTTTCTACCAGCTTCGCAAAAGCCACTTAACCTTTCCGCCTCGTTCCTCTTCCACTCAACCCTTTGGTGCAAGGACATGAATACAGAAGACCTGGACCTCCAAGGGGTGCAGGGATGATTAGTGTCTAGCGTTTCCAAGTCCCTCAACTGTGAACCCAGCAAGGAAGGCAAGGGCACCGAAAGCAGAGGGAGTCATTGGAATAGGTGGCTAATACCCTCATTATCTCTGGGAGGCAGCCAGCAAAGGCCAGAGGGTGCCAGGTTCAAATACCACCAATGTCACAGACTCAGCTTGAAGCATTTCTCAAGCCCTGACACTCTCCCGATCCCCTATAAAACGGCAATAAGAACAACCTCCTTCACCAGGTTGTTATGGGGCCAAAGCAGTTTTTTAACACTTTCTCCAATCTGCAAATCCACCCTTTGTCAAAACAATGGCTCACCTCACCAATCAATTACTACATTTCTTTGTTTAAGGTGACAACTTCTGCAACTGCATTTGTATTTGCCCTTGTTGATATCTCCTGTAAGCTTCCAGGGCAGGGACCTAACCACCTGAAGGGCAGATTACAGGCTTTACTGAATCTACTATCAAAACAAAAGACTAGAAGCCCCAAAATTCATCAACTGGAACTAGCGGACTACATGGTGGCTCAGAAAAGCTAGTTAACTACTTCACCCCATAAGCCAAATACTGGGATTTATTTATTTTAACATTTTTATATACCATTGGATTGCAATAAAACCTCTAAGTGGTATACAAAAAATACATAACAAGTTCTCAATAGAAGACAGCTAAAAACAGGTATTTAAGAACATTCCAAAGATAATCAGAATCGGCAATAAGCCAAAAAGATATCAAAACTAACCACTTCTGAGCTAACAGCTGGGATAGGGCTCAACTTAAGCCCAGGCACACCAGGAGTCAGCCCCAGCACCTGTCTGCAATTCCAGGGCTCAACTGTGACTATACAAAGCAAGCACAGACAAAAGTGCTCCAAAGGAGCTGCAGAGTGCATTATTATCTACCACCGCCCGATTGCAGAAAGTCCTGGGAACAATGGGTGTTTATGGAGACTGCCATTCCCAGACAAACGATCACTCCTATATCTCTTTGTTTCTCAATGTATATAGCTTGACTTCAGGTGTGGGTGGGGCTGGTAAATATGCCAAAGTGGGGTTGCAGGCACCTGGTTGCTGATTGGCAGCTTGTCAATGCTTTGAAGAGGGCAAATAAGGTTTGGAATATTAAGGGAAAGTATTTTGGAATCTTGGTCATGGGGAAATTTTAAAACAAAAGGGCTGGAAGAGTGAAGTCTAGAACAGCATTCCTGAGCCTGATGCCCTCCAGACATCGGGTACTACAACTTACATCAGTCCCAAAGCTGGTCTAGAAAAATACGGTAAAGTAGGCTCTTTGGAGCTACATTTCCTTAAGCTGCAACATCCAGAAAAAAGATCAACTGGCTTCCATCTGCATGCTAACTCTCCAGGTGGGACACACTTCGCAGACGTGTCTGGATATTGCTAAGCATTCCAAGAAGCAGCTATTCACCAGAACGTCTTCCTCTTTTTTTCTTTGAAGACGTGCCTCTCAAACGTCTGTTTTGTATGTGGCAGAAATATTAGCAAGTTCATGCAGTAGGTTAAGTAAGTTCTGTCTTAAGAGAGGAAAACGCTAATGAGACACACATGCTTTGGCAACCTTTCAACTGGGAGAAAGAGCGCCAAGAGAAGGGGGAGGGGGAGAACCGCACATCCATTCCCCCAACTCAAAAATGTAGGGTTATGTCAGTTATCCTGATGTAGCAAGAACCCAAATTGCTCCAGCCTGCAATTTATTTGCATGCATAACAAGAGGCTGAAGGAAGTTGAGAGAGAGACAGAGAGAGTCAACAACCGCTGGCAAGATCAGGGGCTCCTGATTCCATCTCCTCTTTAAGTCTTGGTTTAAGTGATCTTTATAAACAAGAGCAGGGTTGTTCTCTGTGGTGGGAAGAATTTTGCAGCCCCAGAGAAACACAATGTCCTGGAATGACTCAAGACAGTTAGTGAGCAAATGGAACTAAAGCACTCTGGCCTCCCCTTCTTTATGTACACCTAAGACATTAACCCAAGATGGCAGCCTTGATCTTAAAGCAGAGGTGGGGAACCTCAGGCCCAGGGGTAGAAGGGATCCATCCAGGCCTCGCTGCTTGGTCCCTGGGACTCTCCCAACGCCATGCCCTCCTCAGACTCCTTGAGTGCTTTGGCCTGATGTTCCAAAGATCACAGTTTAGTAATCCCAGTCCTAGACCATTCTTACCTTCTGCTTTGGAGCCACAGCTCAGGGCCGTCTTTAGCAGATGTGGGGCGGGGGTGGGGTGGGGGCAAATATCCACCCAGCACCCCCAAATTACCACTGATAGTGGGGGGGAGGCGAAGCTGTGCACTGCCAGCCATGGTGGGGTGCAACTCTCCCCCATGCCGTTGCAGGGATCGCTCTCCTCCCACGGAGGCTTGGGAGGCAAGCTGCACACCCGCCAGCCATATGGTTGATGGGGCGCAGCTGGCGGGCATGCAGGGAAAGGGGAGGCCGCTGGCAAAGTCGCGCAGCTTCCCCACTCACTGGGTACCCCTGAGAGGCCAGCGCCCTGGCACAACGAACCACTAAGCCCTATGGGAAAGACGGTTCTGCCACAGCTGTCCGCCATCCACATGGAATCCTTCAAGACGGGAAGTTGAAGAATATCCTTCTTGCCTGCTTAGTAATAAGAGAAGTACAGCAGCAAGAAAAGCGTATAGAGTGGCCCATGGCTACCAGCCCATTTAAGCTCTGTTGTGCTACCTGGTCCACCTGCGCAAGAGAATAAGGTGAGGGAATCCTGAGGTGAAACAGCAGGCTGTGCCATTTCAGAGTGCATGTGGAGAATGATATAACTGCATTCCTTCCCACAAAGAGGGGGAAAGAACAATTCACGCAAGTGAACAAGCTAGCATATCAGGCAAGGAGGATTCTAGCTCAGCTGTCTCCCTGAGTGCTAGTATTCTGTAGGCAGAGTGTTTTTAAAAAATCTCACAAAGAGAAGCACTAAAAAAGAAAGCCCACCTGAAGCCCCCAGACCACCTTAACACCACACATTTAAAGCTCTATGACACCACTTTGAACTGCCATGGCTTTGCCCAAATAAATCTGGACGCTGCAATTTGCTAAGGGTACCAGAGCTACAATTTCCAGAGTTCCCTGTGAAGTGGGGTTTGCTATTAAAATGGGATGGTTGTTAAACCACACTGAAAATTGTAGCTCTGGGACAGGAATAGGGGGTCTCCTTGCAACTCTCAGCACCCTTAACAAACTACATCTCCCAGAATTCTTTGGGGGAAGCCGGAGGTCCGTACTTAACCTGAAACTGCTCTTAACCTGAAGCACCACTTTAGCTAATGGGGCCTCCTGCTGCCGCCACGCCACCGGAGCACAATTTCTGTTCTCATCCTGAAGCAAAGTTCTTAACCTGAAGCAATATTTCTAGGTTAGCGGAGTCTGTAACCTGAAGCGTAAGTAACCTGAAGTGTATGTAACCCAAGGTACCACTGTACTTGCTTAAAACCACCCCGAGGTAGAAAGTCAAATTGAGATCCTTTCCCTCTAGCTAACACTGGACACAATCCACTGGGAGGTTCTCCTGTGTAGAAAAAGCAATTCTGTGAACCATGCTCTTGCACAATGCCCATTTGTCAGTGGGCTTGTTCAGAATCGTGCCCCAGCACGTTGGGGCACCTCTGCTGATCAGAGCAGGACCACTGCTCATTGTCCAACTCACTAGTGCTGCCGAAGCTCATTCAAGGCTCACTGAGGTGCGGAGACAGAAGAATGGAAACCACGGGTACCTAAAATGAGACTGGAAACTTTTTAAACAAAACCTGGAGGACTCGAAAGAACAAAAGGTTGCAAGATAAGGAACAGCCTGGAATGTTAAATGAGGAAGATTCCTTATATTGCACCCTTGTCTCCCTGCAAGCTCCCCCCACCCCAAAGTCTCTCCACAGTGAAAGTGAAGATTTAAGGGCTGTAATGGATAAACATTGTTAGGCCTTCCTTTAAAGGTCAGCTTGCAATTACGCAGCAGTATCACACAAGGCCAGTTAAAATTTACCCCACACATCTTTGTTTCTATCAACAGAGCTGTTTTGGTTCAATTATTGTTTGCTCAGCAGTTAGGCCATTTTGCGAGCTTAAGGCCTTAAAATGCCATTTGATAAGCCATAAAGAGTTTCCAACCCTAGGGCACACGTAAACACAGCTCTTGCTTCAGCTTTGTTTCCATGCCATCTCTGTAAAAGCATATTTTTAAAGAAACGCATACACAAACAAACCCCCCAAATCACTTTCAGTAAATTCTGCCCCAAGCTTCAGCCCTCTCGTGCCCGTCCTTTATTCTCAAGCCTATGAGAAAATTATAACATGAACCAAGATTATTGCCCTTATTTTGTGTTCTCAGACGTTGGACGATTCAGTGACGTTTTTCTTCTTGCAGAAGACCAGAATGTTCTAATTATTATTCAGCATGTGAGATTGAACCTGACCCTGAAAGTTTATACAGCCAGGGATCGGCAAACCTGCCTATTTCATTTCTGCTTGGTTTCTCATTTTCCTCAATCTTAAACTCAAGTCTGCCCCATTTCCACATCAGTTTGCAAACTTTTTTTTTTTAAGGGCTGCATGAAAAGCCATACACATTTTGTGCATTCCTCCTAACGTGCACATTATTGCAAGTCATCTACATTCATACAATGTATTTTTTCTACATTATTTCATGGATATGCGCTAGTTTTGCTTGCACACTTCCCCCAACTGTGTGTGTTTCACCAGAAGAACTGTGCAGCAAAATTTGAAGCAGTGTGAATTCCAAACGATAGTTGCATCATTCCGATTTCCACATCTCTTCAGGAAGCGCAAATGAAGTAGGTTTGCATTAAAATGGGAACACTGAACATTTTTTTCTCCTCCATCCTTACATACAACTAAACTGAATTCCTACTTTAAAATGAGACCAAGTCTTTTGTTAAATGCTGACACAAGCACACCAGACGCAATCCTGTAATTTCAAAACTCTGTTACAAGAGCCTTAATCCTTTATGAGGCCCAACGTGATCTGCCTCATCCAAGGACTATGGCAGAGTCAAGCCTTTTGATTTTACCTGCCTGCCAAGAATGAGCTCCGGGTAATCTGGGCGGGAATATTTTTTGGCAGGAAAACAGCTGGCAAGCTCACAAAAACTCCTCTTCATAAGAGATTTAAAACCATTCACTGAGAGCTACAAAATGTAGTTTCTCCCACCCCAAAATCTCTCCCCAGCTAATGTTGATAATTTGAACCAGCTACTGTCGTGTAACATTAGAACACTCAATGTTGTCCTCCTCGGGGCTTCTGCTGAAAGAAGCTACAGGTGCAGAACAGCTGGTTAGATGTAGGCCTGTAGCCTAAAGGTGCTGGTGAAAATCACAGCAGCAGAGCCAGAATATAAATTTCAAACAGCCCAATATGTCAAATGTTAAAGATTGGCTGTATGAATCTATTACATTCTGCGCTCCCCCAAACCTTATACAGTAGCTGTATAAGAACTAGTTAAGTGAATGCTGAAAATTCAGAGGGAAGTCCTAATCCACAAGAGGCCAGACACAGCCACCTCTAGCTACTGTCATTCTGTGGCTACAACCCACTTTACACTAGAACTGCACCCTTCAACTGGAACCAAGCCGTGGCGCCTCAAAAGACTCTGTAGACCACAGAGGGTGAGGTCAGAAGCTGTCTCACTGCCACATCATCTTCGACTCAGAGCATATATTAAAATACCACCTTGCTTTAAAGCAAGGCGGGCAGAAAGAAACAAGGGTGTACTCCCCATACGTAGTAGATAAATCTTGGTCTGTGCTACTTTCACATTATATTTAAAAAAACCAAGTCTTTGCTCTCTTTGTAAACGGGGCGATGGCAACTTTTTAAATCTGTAAAATCCAGAATAGAGAAACTCTTTGGCCTGGCTGGAGAGATATTTATCTCCCCCTCACACACACCACAAGACAACTTTGACAGGTGAGTGGAACCAGCCACTTGCAATTCATATGACATCCTATTATGTCAGGTGGTTGACAAGAGGATGGTCCCACTCATCTGTCAAATTGGTCCACTGGGGCAGAAAGTGACACATTAAATCAGGCATAGGCAAACTCAGCCCTCCAGATGTTTTGGGACTACAACTCCCATCATCCCTGACCACTGGTCCTGCTAGCTGGGGATCATGAGAGCTGAAGTCCCAAAACATCTGGAGGGCCGAGTTTGCCTATGCCTGCATTAAATGATGCACTTCAGTTTCAAGCCTGCCCTCTGCGGGGATCAGCTGTTTGAGAAGCCAATCCAACTGCGTCTCTATCAGCCCCACATATGATGTCTGGTGTGGGGCAGGCAGTAGTCGTTTTTGAAAAATGGCCTGGTAAGGCCAAATTTGGCTTAGGATTCTGTGAAACTCAGCATGCTCCTTTACCATCAGAAACCAATACAGCAAAGAAGGTATCTCCTCTCTGAGTTGCATGTCCTCTAGAATAAGCAATGGTAAAAACGGGCAAAACATTCAAGGGAAGTAATAGTACCACTCTATTCTGCCTTGATCAGACCACACCTGGAGTCCTGTGTCCAGTTATGGGTACCAAAATTTAAGAAGGATGTTGACAAGTTGGAATGTGTGCAGAGGAGGGCGACCAAGATGATCAAGGGTCTGGAAACCAAGCCTTATGAAGAACGGTTGAGGGAGTTGGGTATGCTCAGCCTGGATAAGAGGAGACTGAGGGGGAACTAGGATAGCCATCTTCAAATATCTAAAGGGCTGCTACACGGAAGATGGAGCAAACATGTTTTCTCCTGCTCTGGAGGGTAGGACCCGAACCAATGGTGGACTCACTTTCATTGGACGTTTTACAGCAGAGATTGGATGGCCATCTGTCAGGGATGCTTCAGTTGAGATTCCTGAATTGCAAGGGTTTGGCCTGGATTACCCTCTTGGTCCCTTCCAACTCTACAATTCTATGACGGAAATCGCTATCTCAGAATGCACAGGAAATGTAGTAATAAGACATAAAGGAATCAAGGCCACTGATACCCCGCACTTCGCCACACTTGGTGACCTTGCACAAGACACTATTATCTCCTGGCCTAATCAAAACCTACCTCACAAGGCTGTTGAGCACACACAATTTGAGAACACTGTGTACATCACACTGCACTTCTTGGAAGGTCGACATGAGAACAAATGTGATAAATAACTTGCTTACAGAACTCCCAAACTTGTTGAGTTCATTAACCCCTCAATAAGCTTATAATAACATTATCATGTTTATTCATGACACTGCATCCTGCAGGGTAGAACCTGCAATGAGCAGGGTTGGGGGAAGATTGGATGATCTCTGTGCCTCCTTCCAGCTCTTAAAAATTCTATGAAACAGAATTTCCTGGTTTGTGGCACTCCATTTTATTTTTTTAAAATGTATTTTTATTTAAAAATTTCTTGATTTACAAAAGTATGTGCAATGTCTCTCTCTCCCCCCCCCCCGTAACATTTTTTACAAATTGGTTTCATTTGTTGAGACATTAGGAAGAAAAGGGGGAAAGAGGTAGCGGGGGGGAGGTGAGTGAGGGTGGGGGTGGCGATGTTTCTATTTTACTTAATATATGTGGGGTTTTGTGTCAGTGTTGCTTGCGCAGGTTCTCTGCTGTTCACTTGTGTTCCTTTCATGGTGAGAGAGGTTGCGGTTGGCCTAGGGTGTGGCTGTTCATTTGTGGTTGGCTGTGGTGGTCTTCGTTTTCATGTGTGAGTGGGGTGGGTGGGTGTTTTGGATCAGGTTAGCCATATTGATTTGTATGCTGTTGGTGGATTTTTGTCGTTGTCTTGTTGGGCTGTGTATGTGATAAAGGGGAGCCATACCAGGGTGAAGGCATCTTCTTCTATTTGTCCCCGTGTCAGTTTCAGTTTATTGGTTAATTTTTCTAGTAAGGCTGTTTCCCATTAAGATTTGCAAATCACAGTGCCATGTCAAGATGTGTGGGAAGACAAAAGACCTTGGGTATAGTACAACTGATGGCCAGATTTTAATCTCGAGAACATCAGACCCACTTTCAGAAGAGATGCAAAGCAAAACACAGCCTTGTGGTTTTTCATGGGGGGCGGGCAAGGCCATTAGTCAAGGGCTGGCTATGCATCACACAGTCCTAAGCCCCAGGCTGGCGGATCTAAGTATGTGTACTTAAATTAACACATCCCATTGCTCTGACACCAAGGGCCAGCTGGGTAATGAGGCCACTCAATAAACAGCCAGCTGAGTAATTTGCACTCCATTCTCACCTTTTAATACAGAGGGGGTGGTTTTTTAAGTTCTTTTTGCCTAAAAGGCATTGCAACGTGGGTGAGGGGGAGAACAGCATGGCCCTTTTTGGGAAACTTAGAGGTTCCAGTGAAGCTGTGGGATCACACAGCTGAACAATCCAGCGGCCTGGGACAGTTGAAGTCACATCTTTGGTGTATCCCAGATCAGATGCAGCAATTCATCCCAGATTTACAAAGAGGTTTTCTAGGTACTCTGCAAATATGGTGGTGGTGGTGTTTTAAATTAAAAGAGCACAAGACAGATTGTAAGCCTGCTGGCAGAGAAACTAATACACAATGCAAAAAAAGGGGGGTGGGGTGGGAGGAGAGAGAGCAGGAAAAGGAGGAAATTCAGGCAACAACCCTTCATAAACAGTAATTCTCCGTTTGTTTTTACCAGCCCCAAGTGCTATTTTTTTGTTTTTTAGCACAGTGGATTATAAATTATCTTAAATTACATAAAACATTACAGGGTGGCTTTTTTTTATTAGAAAGAGGTTTTGAAACATGCTTTGGGAGAAAGGTTGATGTAAAAACGATTAGGTTTGGGGTTACATTTGAATGTGAAGTTATTAGACATATTGGTGAGCTTCCGGCTACCTTAAATTTTGATGCAGTTTATATGAATTGTTAATTTCACAGGAAAACAGAAATTTTGTGGCATGGGTTCTTTTAGGTGTTACATATGTATTTTTATAAGGAATATATACAGGGCTTTTTTAGCTGGAACTCACTTGAACTCAGTTTCAGCACCTCTCAGGTAGGAGTCGTTGCCACTATAAGAGAACAAGGGAGGTGTTCATGGTGAGTTCAGGGACCTCTTTTTCTAGAAAACTAGCACTGAATATAAGAACATAATTTGTCTATCACCCAGAATTACTGCATAGATGGCACCCCTTGTGTATTGCTCTGTAAGCTGCTGTATCTAATACTGCTTGCAACTAGCTAGAACGTGTCAAAACTTGTTTATATTGATGCTGTGAGTTGCATACATATGCTAAAGTATTCAGATGTTAAGTGATTAGTTTTCATTAGGTTTCATTCAGTTCTCTAGTACCTAGTAAGTGTGTTGTGTTGCTATGAGTAAGTGAAATACTTACTTTTGAAGTACTTTGATTGTCCTCATGTGTCTAGAATACCATGACAGTATGTTAATTGATCAGTTTCCACTATGTGAGTGGAGAATTATCACTTAAAACTCAGAAGCAAAATTTCCTCCCACTTGTGGAATTGGCAAACAAACTTTATTGTGGTATTAAGACAGGAGATGAAGACACATCATGGACCCCACAGAGCCCGGCTAAAAGATGGATCTCACAGAATGCAGTTTGCTGAACATATCATGAGCTTCCACCACCAGAATTTTGGGATTTTGCTGTGGATGCCACCAAATATGAAAATCCTGCATCTGATGAGGAAGCTCAATGTGGAGAACAATTTGACAACATATTTGAAGGACCTGGTTCTTCAACAGAACCCCATTTGATAGCTCAAGATGAGCTGAATGATCTTGTCAAAGGCTTTTATCCACAAGATCACAAGGATGAAATCTCCTGCACAAAAAAATCTTATTTCAGAAAATGACGGGACAGAGCCTAGGGCTTGCCGATCAGAAGGTTAGCAGTTTGAATCCCTGCGACAGGGTGAGCTCCCGTTGCTCGGTCCCTGCTCCTGCCAACCTAGCAGTTTGAAAGCACATCAGAGTGCAAGTAGATAAATAGGCGGGAAGGTAAATGGCGTTTCTGTGCACTGCTCTGGTTCGCCAGAAGCGGCTTAGTCATGCTGGTCACATGACCTGGAAGCTGTACACCGGCTTCCTCGGCCAATAAAGTGAGATGTGTGCCACAACCCCAAAGTCATCCGCAACTCGACTTAACTGTCAGGGGTCCCAGTGAAGGCGGTGAAGGTCCTGTGTGAGTGTCTGGAGGCGGTTGGAGGATGGATGGCAGCTAACAGATTGAGGTTGAATCCTGACAAGACAGAAGTACTGTTTTGGGGGGACAGGAGGCGGGCAGGTGTGGAGGATTCCCTGGTCCTGAATGGGGTAACTGTGCCCCTGAAGGACCAGGTGCGCAGCCTGGGAGTCATTTTGGACTCACAGCTGTCCATGGAGGCACAGGTCAAATCTGTGTCCAGGGCAGCTGTTTACCAGCTCCATCTGGTACGTAGGCTGAGACCCTATCTCCCTGCGGACTGTCTCGCCAGAGTGGTGCATGCTCTGGTTATCTCCCGCTTGGACTACTGCAATGTGCTCTACGTGGGGCTACCTTTGAAGGTGACTCGGAAACTACAACTAATCCAGAATGCGGCAGCTAGACTGGTGACTGGGGACAGCCACCGAGACCATATAACACTGGTCTTGAAAGACCTACATTGGCTCCCAGTACGTTTCTGAGCACAATTCAAAGTGTTGGTGCTGACCTTTAAAGCCCTAAACGGCCTCGGTCCAGTATACCTGAAGGAGCGTCTCCACCCCCATCGTTCTGCCTGGACGCTGAGGTCCAGCGCCGAGGGCCTTCTGGCGGTTCCCTCATTGCGAGAAGCAAAGCTACAGGGAACCAGGCAGAGGGCCTTCTCGGTAGTGGCGCCCTCCCTGTGGAACGCCCTCCCACGAGATGTCAAAGCGATAAACAACTACCTGACATTCAGAAGACATCTTAAGGCAGCCCTGTTCAGGAAAGTTTTTAACGTGTGATATTTTAGTGTATTTTTGGTTTCTATGGAAGCCGCCCAGAGTGGCTGGGGAGTCCCAGCCAGATGGGCGGGGTATAAATAATAAATTATTATTATTAAATTATTATTTACCTTTACCTAATGGAAGCATTGGGACAACAGCATAATATGGACAACGGGTGTTTGTCCATTTATTCCTCCAAACTCAGTTTGAAAGCAGTGTTGCTCCACTTTGGCAATAGATGCCCTCCTGTCTAGCTAATGCCATCCATAAATTGTATGACAGCATGTTATTTCTTCCAGAGCACATTCATTTTAATAACTACGCTTGGCACATCTGCAATGTTCAGAAAGTTATTGCATTCCTCCTTGGTTTACAAGAGGGATACACAAAATACTGTTTTCTTTCTGAGTGGGACAACTAAGCTGGATCACATCATTATATTTAGAAACATTGGCCACATCAAGCATTAATAACAGATCAAAGAAATATTGCCAATGAACCACTGGAAGGAATTGTTTTTCCTTTCCCTTCAAGGAAGTGATAACTGTGGGCCCACAAATCAGAGAAATAATAAAAGATGGTATATTTGATGATGAAGTTGAAGGCAGAGTGTGGAAAGCATTTAAATCCATCGTTACAAATTTTCTTGGCAATATTAAGGCCAAAAACTATGAAACAATTACCAGTGACCTTCTAGAAGCTTGTAAAGTTATGGGATGTAATATGACTCTGGAAATTCATTTCTTTGATACACTTCTCAACCTCTTTCCACCCAACTTGGGTGCTGTTAGGGACAAACAAGGTGAGTGGTTCCACCAATATATTTTTGCCATGGAAAAGAGCTGCCATCGCAGGCTTGCAGGTTTCTACTGCTTCAGAAGAAAATATAGACATAAAACAACAACAAAATTCCAAGCATGTTCACAATTTAATAAAGACTCCTGTTCACAGGTATTTTTGCCTTGCTTACTTAAAAAAAATAATTCTGTAGCAAAATAATAGGGGTGACAGAGAATTCAAAGTCATTTCCAAGTTGAGCACCCTATTTTGTATAAAACACTATATTTTGGTATGTCATGACTTTTTCTGCTTTTTTTGTCACAGTGTTTAGTGTTGTGATATTATACTTTATTTATTATTATTGTACTCCTGTGCCTAGACTGCGTGTGTTTGTGTTTTTTTGCTGTAAATTGCTTTAAGCACAGATGTATTTGTGGGAAATGTGGTATGTAAATAAACTGACTATGACAAAAAAAAAAGGCCACTCCATAACACAGTGGCTAAGAGACTGAGCTGCAAATGAAAATCTTGCAAATCTTGCCTATATTACAGGCTTTGCCCTTTGGTTCACTGCCTCCTGTTCAGTTGCAAAAAAATTGGCAATCCCTTCCGGGGATCTACAATGGTTCCCAATTCCTTTTTACCCCCCACCCCCTTCTGCTCCCATCTGAGCATCAAAATCAGAGGGAGTGTGCAAAAGTGGTATCTGAGGCAGTCTCCTCCTTCAGACATTGATGTTTAAAGGAGGAGACAAAGTGCTTCAAAAAGGCCTTTTGTAAAGGGCTTTGAGATAGCACACTTCCTTCAAATATCGGAGCAAGCAGGTGGGCAGGGGAGTCCCCCTATGCCCTATCCGCTTGTTTAAAAGAGAGGGGGGTACTGCTTCAAAGGGCGGTTTTGCCCCAACATGAGCACACAGGTTGACTTAAGCTGCAAAGTGCTCTTTGAAACAGCCTCTCCACTCCTTTTAGCTTGCAGGTAGCAGCAGAGGTGAGTAATTCCCCCCTTCCCCCAGAGACTGATATAAAGAGCCTGGGAAAGGAGGCAGCAGGGGGTTGATATCTTCATGGCTTCCAGGTTAGGAACCACTGATCTACTCTACTGACCTGGAAGCAATGGAGTACAGATTTGGCTCCCCAACCCTCTCCACTTCCTTAGGCTGGAAGAAGAAAACGGAAGCATTCAGACCAGAGACTTGTTTGGAAATGGAAGGCCTCTCTCTGCCTCACAATAGATGGCTCACTATTGCTAGGAGTTCAGGAGGAGATTGGTCAGTGGTTGATTGCAAACTGGTGGTTTCCGAGATTTCCGGATAGATTACCTGGTACTCACAAGTCCCTAACCCTATCTAAAAATGAATGCCTACAGAGTTATCCCTTCCCCCAGATCTGGAGTAAGGATGCTAACTAATATTGCCCTATCTTACAGGACTGTTGTAATGATTACAAAGGCTACTGGAAGGTACTGACCTGTAGATTCAGGGAAATGGAAAACTGGATGGCTAAGAAAATGGAATGGAGTATTGTGCAGAAGGGCATGATTTGCTGACTTGGAACTGTGAACAGGAGCGCTAGGCATTGCAATATCCTGTGGCCTGTTCCTCTGCAAATCAGCTACTGAAGGAGAGAGAAACAACTTTAGGTCCTGCTTATAAGCTTCCCAGGACACCCAGCTAGCCACTGCTGGAAACGAATATGCTGGGCTAGATGGATTCAGATCAATCTTGTTAAGAAACCTGAACATTCTAAAGCACTTTTTAAAGATAAGCACACTGTTATTGTTTCAGCAGCGTATGTGAATTCCAAATTGCAAGGGGTCACTCTTCTTCTTCTTTTTTTAGGGGAAAAAAGTGGCAAGCATCAAGGAGGGTGGCAGCAAATTGCGATCAATTTGTGAATTAAATTGAAGAGCAAAAGAGACAGCTAAGCTGCCAATGGGCTGCCCCACTTAAGTCTGCGGGGCGGGGGGGGGGGGAGGCTCACACAACTGAAAACTCCTCCAAGCACTCACATTCCTTACTTGCAGAAAACCGGCATGTCATGATGAAAGCTAGGACATAACCCTCATCCCTGGTGCCTAGTTCTTTATCTGCATGGAAGAGATGGGGGTGCCTTCCATCACCTGAGTCCCCATCTGCAGTCTCAGATGGTGCAGCCCAGTCACAAACTTTCTTTGTATTTCTCTCATTTGTAAGAATTAGGCCTTTGAAGGGAGGAAGGAAGCACAAGCTGAGCCATCAAGTCACACCCAGATTTAATTCTGCAGCAGTCATTTTGTATAAAGGGGAAGGAGGGACCATGCACAATCTTCCACATAGGGACCACACAAAAAAAAGTTAGTCGAGTGACATTTTATACAGAATGATAAAAAGGTTTGCTGAAAGGTTTTGCTGCCGCTGTTGCTGCTGTTATTTCAAGGGGCTTACTATGCTATCTTCACCAGTAATGGAAAGACATCCCCTGTACCTAACAGGCAGCGTTGTATATTGCAGGCATTTAAAATATATGCTACAGGTGTCATTATGGGTGTTCTATTCTAGGAAAAATTGTGACAGCAAGGAAAGGAGTGGTTTAAATAGGCTTTCAAATGCAACACGCCTTATGGACACACAAAGCCACAAGGGGAATCAGGCACCACACACAACTAGCATATTTGTTTTTGGAACAGAAAAGAGTAATTACTGGTAATCCTACATAGCGATAGCGAAGTCATTCTCTGCGTATGGTTCATTTTATAGCCAAAACGGCGCCAATGGGCTTAGGGAACTCAAACGTTTGCAGAAGTACCCCACCCCAAAAATGGAGGCAGGAAAACCCCCAAATGAAGACTGAGCATTCTTAAGAGTGCGTGGAATTCTGGCAGGTTGTTAGGGGAGGAAATGGAAAAAGGAGGGAGGTGAATGGAGCATCTGAAGACAGGGTGTGGCTGGAACGCTGGCCATCCCAAACAGGTGGAGGACCCCATGCCACAACAATTTGCTGCAGACCCGCACTTGTAGAAAAAAGAATTAGCACCCCTGTTAGATGGCTTGGGTCATCATTACTATCACAAAGAAAAAGAGTCAATTTAATTTTAATGTTAGGAACATGAGAAGCTACCTTATACTGAATCAGACCATTGGTCTACCTAGTATTGCCTGCACTGACAGTCAACAGCTCAGGAAGGGTTCAGATCTTTCCTAGCCCTGCCTGGAGATCCTGGGGATCAAACCAGGGACTTTCTGCATGCAAAGCAGATGCTCTACCGCTGGGCTACAGCCCTTTTCCCATGGCCATTTCATTATCACTTGTCAGGTGGAACAAATGGCAGGGAAGACAGCGATGTTTATGATTTCCACTTTCAACTCACTGGGAAACTGAAGCATGAAAATATTTATATTTCTTCAAATAAAAAAGTTAATTTGGTCAAAGCTTTTCGTAATTGACTGCATAAACATATCCAGTGTCTGTGACTGAGCCCAGAAACGATTAAGGAAATGCAGCTCTGAATCACTACCATCTACCATACCTGACCAGCAGATGCAGGCACAACCCCAACATCCCTTGAAATGTTAGGAATATGCCAGTTCCCCAAAAATTGAGTACAGAAGACACTTCTCCAAATCACATTATTTAAGTAGCTCTGTTCGGGGATTTTGATCTGTATAGACCAGATAAGAGGAACCCCAGGCCATATACAGTGGTACCTCGGGTTACGAACTTAATTCGTTCCAGAGGTCCATTCTTAACCCGAAACCGTTCTTAACCTGAGGTGCGCTTTTGCTAATGGGGCCTCCCGCTGCCGCTGTGCAATTTCTGTTCTCATCCTGGGGCAAAGTTCTCAATCCGAGGTACTACTTCCGGGTTAGCGGAGTTTGTAACCCAAAGTGTTTGTAACCTGAAGCGTTTGTAACCTGAGGTACCACTGTATGCCCTCCCTCATGACTGCAAAAAAAGCATTCCCTGTCATGACAGTTTGACCTCTAACAACAAGAAAGTTGAAAAACAGCAGCAGCTATTATCATAGCATTTGCCATGCTCTCTACTCCATATTCAAGTGCAGAGATGAAGAAGCAAGTACTCCTCCCTCCGAGACTGACATTGCTAGACTACAACACCCATCATCCCTGACCACTGGCCATGTTAGCTGTGGCTGATAGGAGTCAAAGTCCAAGAACATCTAGAGCATCTCCATCCCTGGTATACGAAGTAACATAAGAAGCTGCCTATACCAAGTTGAACAATTTGTCCATATAGCCCAGTCTTGTCCACCCTGACTGTTGCTGTTCAGTATCTCTGGGAAACAAGATGATTACAATCGTTTGACAGAAGTGAACCCTCAAATAGGGCTCAAAACATACCACCAGCAGCCCACCCACTAATTAATATTCCATCAGAATTTGGGGGAGAGGGAAAGAGTGAATGTTCTGGGAGCACCTAGTAACTACGACCACATCCACACCATTCGTTAAAAAAAAAAAATCACACACCATACCTTTAAGCACACTCAAAACACAAATAATTTCCTTCAAATAATTCTGGACACTGTAGTTCACCCCTGAAAGAGTCACAGTTCCCAGCAAACCTTAACAAACGACAGTGCCCAGAATTCTTTGAGGGAATAACTCAACAACTCTCAGCACTCTTCACAAACTACATTTCCCAGAATTCATTGCTTTAGACAGAAGCAGCTGTGAACTGGCTAAGAAACCTGGAAGGCATAGATTTGGGTGCTCTATATTGAAGCACACTGTTCATTATTGTTGTGCATCAGTATGAATTGTACATTAAGAGTACAACAGCTCTCCCTCCGTCCACCACTGACATGTGGCCCCTGACAGATTACCTGTGAGGGAATATGGCCCTTGATAGGGGTAACCCACCCCTGCAGCAGGGCATGAGAATCATATATTTTAAAATGCTGCTTCCTTAGCGTAGCAGTACTTTGCGATTTCTTTATATTTTCCTCTTTGAAACCAGAAGTGAGTAAGCTGTTATCCTCCAGATGTTGTTGTCCATTGCCACTGGCCATGCTGGCTGAGGCTGATGGGAAATGGAGTACCAGAACATACAGAAGGCTACATCTCTGTTCTAAACAGTTCTCTAATATTTCATCAGAACTTCCAAAGGAATTTGCCTTACAGCCCACTTCTATTGAGAAGCAGAGTAAGTCTGCAGAGTTCAATGAGATTTGCATATAGGATTGTCTCTTTTATTTTGTTTCTCTGACCCTGATCGCTCCCTCTCCAACTTTTCAGTTGGGGAAGAGAAGCAACTCAGTGGTGGTAGAACATCTATTTTGAATGCAGAAAGTCGCCCCAGTGGCATCTCCGGGTGGGGCTGGGAAGGGCCCCGTCTGAAACCCTGCTGAGCCGCTGTCAGTAACGTGGACAATCCTGAACTAGAGGGGTCAGTGGTCTGACTCGGTAGATGGCAGCTTCCGACGTTCCTAGGTCTCTTAGGTTGCTCCTTAGCCTTGCGTAGATGGACTGTGATATTTTTGCAAAGCACCGTGCAGCTTCTATTAAAACTTTAGGCAACTTACAAAAACAAGTAAGACTAGTGCAACCATTTTTAAAAAGAGCCGGCTCAATTAAAAGGGGGGGGGGAGAGAGAGAGTATTCCAATGGCGGTATGAGTACTTATGTCTCCGTGTGTGTGTGTCGATTTTGTCAGCCTGTCATCAAAAACTTCTGCCGGACGCTGCAGCCGCTCTCCTGGTCACGTACGCTTCTCTTTCCTGCCTCTCCCGTCCCTACACAAAAGGAGCCCCTGCCCCTGAAGTGACCCCGGCTCCTTATTATAATCCTGCCCCGATGCACCTCGCGCGCTCCAGCCCAGAATCAGGGGACCCCCGGAGCACCCCCAGACCAGACCAGGGCGATCGGCGCAGCAGCCCAATCTCCCTCTCTCTTGGAGAGCTGTGGCTAAGAGATCCGAAGCGGAGGCGACGGGGGCGCGCGCCTGCTTGCCTTCCCGCGGACTTACTTTTATGCCTGCCGCTGCTCCAGCTCTGCTTGGCGATGCTGGGGCTCCGGATTATGGCCCGTCCGGCGGATTTGAGGGCGTCCATGCGCGCTGCTGTCGCTGCCGAGGCCGCCCGGACGACGACGACGACGCGCTCGGGGCTTTGGAACCGCCTCCAGAAACTCTCTGAAAACTTTTCTTTCCCCTTTCCCTCTGCGCGCGCGGCCCGGCTCGCCCCTCCTTCCTGCCCGGCTCGCTCCTCCTTCGCCGGAGGGAGGCGAGGGATGAAGATCGCGGGGCGGGGGGGGGGGCGAGCGAGGGAGGCGGCCCGGATGCCGCCAGAGACCTTTCTCTCTCTCGGGGTTAAGAGGGCATTGCCAGCTGACGCGCAAAGCAGCCGCGCGCCGGTGCCAGGCGGGGAAAGGCATCTCTCGCGCCGGGCCTGCTGCGCCAGCAACCAGCTCGGAGAGGAGGGAGGGGGCGGGAACAGGTCCAACAGGCGATCTCGGCTCACCGGGGCCTCCTCGCAACCTGTGGCCGCTCCTGTCATCATCCCAGGGCAGATGGCCGCCTTTTCGAAACTTCCGCTGCTCCCGTGCCTTTAATAATAGCGTTGCCAGCAGCTGAGCGAAACGCGCACAGCGAGGGCGCGCGCGGAGTTTGGCCTACTCTGCCGCGCTGGATTCTCGCAGGGCGTCAGCGAGGCGGCGGGTTTCTTGCCCACTTCAGCCGTTAAAGCAGCACCGCAGTGGTGACTAAAAAGCTGGGTCGGTGCGGGCGAGGAGGCTATCCAAATACCCCGAAAAATATCACAAAGTACCAAAAAATATTACAACATCCCGAGCAAGTTTTGCATTCATGAGAATGCCTCTAATGGTAAAATTGTATTCGGAAAGTTTAATAAAATTCCGACAAAAAGCCTGAAGATAATTTGTACCTTTGCCATAAATTGCATCTGTTGCTATGTACACAATACTTTCCCCCTTAAAAGGTTGTTTCCAGTCCATTTTACCATATTTACTGCATTAATTTGATGCATTAATTGCCCTTAACACTTCATTCTTAGGGACAATATTTCAGCCTTTGGAAATGAGTAAAACATTAATCAAGAATATAAGAGATAATCCCTATATAAAATAACAGTGTTATGAGTTGGGGAGGGCGGGAATAGGCAGTAGGCCGAGAGCCTTTTAATTTCTGGATCCAGCAAGTGTTAAAATCCAAGCAAGGATTCAAATTCTTGGAATAGCCAGGCTAGCTTCCTGGTGAAGTAATGGCCTAAGTATGGGTCATTAAGGTAACAAAGGAAGTAGGTCTGTGGCAGATGTAAAATGGGTGGATCCCCCTTCCTTCAACTTGCTGGTGCTGTAGTTAGAAAAACAAAGGCCAGAGTTGAGAGTTGAGATATGTGAGCTAGAAGCCAGAAGCAGCAGGCTGGGAACTTGAAGACACAGAGCAATTCTTGATTTCTGCTTGAATCCAAGGTTGTGACTATGGGAGAAGCAAGACCCTTTGGGAATGTATTTTCCTTTGTCTCCTGCTCCTTTCACTCGTGGGAACTCCAGCTTAACAATGTTTTTGACCCTTCTTGGCAAATCAGCCCCTTTTCCATAGTCCACACTAAACTCCATGTGGTATTTAAGAACATGTTTCAAAGTCCCTCCAAATTTAAGAGCCCCCACAACCCCAACCATCTCACGGCCCATTACCAGACTTGAAAAGTCCAAACATCACTGCGTAGGGGATTCTATCCAACCCCCCATTTCCAAACCAAGCCAAACTTTATCTTTCCAAATCTGGCTTTTTCCAAGTTCATTTGTCAAATCCAAGAACTCATGTTCCTGCTGGGCCGCAGCTCCCTCCGTCTCTGGCGCCCGAGGTTCAGCAACATCCTCTTCCCTCATCTGTTCTGTCAGGGCACACTCCTGATTTGGTTCCTGGGTGGGCTCCATATAATTTCCCACTGCCTGTTCAAAATTTCTGATCGCATCAGTCATCAAGTCCGTCTTCTCATGTAGCTGTTCCAGTAGGGCACTTGTTTTACAGAGAGCACACAGCAGAGCTTCTGAATACATTGTCCTGCAAGGTCGGAAGTCTATTCCCACGATCGTAATCTGTAGCAGCTGCAAGCTCCCCGATTCAGAATTGGTTACAGTTTCACAGGCTCCCTCTAGGGGAAAAACTTCTATTTGTTCTTTTCTTTTAAGGACAGATCTAACAACAAAGTTTCCTTTTTCTGATATTTTGTCAATATTTGTTCCTTTAAAATGCGAAAGGGAGCAATGGAATCACTATGTTTCTCTTCTTTTAGCTATCTGTCAAAAACGTTTGTCTCTGGTCAATGAGCTTCAAAAGACGTCAGTCCTGACACCCTGCTCCAGGATCAAGACGGTGGAAAGTTACTTTGCTTTACACTCCCTTCTGCAGGTTTAAACAGTCCAAAAAAAAAAACCCTGCTTCCGAAGGGGGTTCAACAATTTTAAATGGTGAAAGTTAATCCTTTACAAGCGATTTTCTGAACTCTAGTTTGCCATGTCTTTGCTTTAATCTATCTACAAAGAAACGGAAAGCTGACTTCCTGTTTAGACCTTCCCGTTTCAGTACCAAATTGAAATAAACTTTTAAGTCCAATTTTCCTTTCTACTCGCAATTCCTTATTTACAGTCCAATTGTCCGAAATTTAGGTACTCACGGTGATTGTTTTAAAAGCCAAATTGTCCCAGGAAAAAGGCAGCGCTCTCCGGCAACGGCTGTGCGGCTTCGCTCCACGGAAGAAGCAGTTGACTCTCAGCACCGCGCCACTTCCCCCTCTTCGCTCCGGAGCCCGTTAGTGGGTTCCTTTGCGGGTTGGGGGGGCGCTAAAGGTGCCCGCCGAGTCCCATGGTCACAGGCTTCATCCGCCTGTGATTTTTGAAAGGGTCCCCGCTTCGCCGTAGCGGAAAAGACCCGCTTCCCGTGGAGCTGGTCCCTCCAGATCAGAGGGAATCCGCCATTACCGATGGTGCCACCCCGGAAGTCTGTTTTGGTAATCTTCTTCTTCTTTTATTTTTTTCACCAAGACTGAGTCCTAATACTGTGTGAGCTTTGGGGAGCACATCCTAAAAAAACGCCCAAAAAATCCCACCAGAATTCTCCAGAATAGGTTTGCTCCTTGTATATCTTGCCTTTGTCCCAAGGAGATGAAGCTGCCATACATGACTCTACAGGTCACAGGGACACCATACATTTAAAGCCCTCTTATAATACTTTCAGCTGCCATGGCTTCCCACAAAGAATCACGGGAAGTGTAATTTAAGGGTGCTGGATTTTGTAACTCTGTGAGCATTGCTTTAAATGTATGGTGTGGATGCAACCCCCACTCGTCTCCTGCCCCCTTTTGTCCTCACAACAACCATTTGAGGCTGGATTTTAAACAAAATGGGAGAGAGAAGAGGGAAAATATTGATGCCCTCCAGGCTGCAGTTAGATGGAATGAGGGGGTGCATCCGGCAGACTTAATTAGATTAGACCCTGCTAGGAGCAAAACGTACCAGGTTGCACACTAAGGGCTGCTTAGGAAGGAGGAAACTAGAATAAATGGTCCTATTTTATATGAAAATGGATGGGGGTATGTGTGTGTGTGTGTTGTTCAAATCTATCCCCAGCTGTAAGCACAACACACTGTTTCCTCGTAAGGTAGTGGCTAAACAAAAATGTTGCACACTAGATTTTGGACAGGTCACTCTGTCCTTATTTGGTCTCAACAAAGAAATGTCACACAAGTCTGCTACTGCCTCTCATATTTTGCAACCTTTTGGCCCTACTATTAAGGGTGTGATTGTTGTTTTCGCTCTGTGTGTGTGTACACACACACACACACACACACACACACACACACAGAGAGAGAGAGAGAGATCTATTTACTGAGGAGAACACTGACAGCCATGGTTCAGTAATCCATTATCTAGAAGCCTCCAGGGTAGATGGCTGCAATGTACTGTCCTTTAAGAGTGTGGCAAAATTGCAGTTAGTGCAGAATGTGGCTGCTAATTGGGACTGGGCATTAATGACCCCATTATGCATGTGCTATGCCAGTTGCAGTGGATTCTAGTCAGCTTCCAATTCCCCTTCAAGTATTATGACCAGGGTGCTTGAAGACCTGGCTATCTCCACACACACCGTCTGACACATCAAGATCTTCAGTGGAAGAACTCCTCCATGTGCCACCCAAGATGATACTGTGGATACTGGAGAGGGAGACTTCTCAGTGGTAGTGCCTAGAGTTGCCATATTTCAAAAAGTAAAAAGGACCCCCCCCCCAATTGTCAAGCTTTTTTAAGGAAAACCTGGAAGTTGTTGCTTTTTTAGACAATCCCCCCCTTTTTAGTAAAAGCTACAAGAATTTTTGAGTTTTGGAGCTTTTTAAGGCATTTTCCAGGATATTTGCCCAGTTTCTGAAAAACAATCCAGGACGCCATTTTCAGAGGCAAATTCCGGGACACGTCCTGGAAAATCAGGATGTATGGCAGGCCTAGTCGTGCCAGAGCTGTGGAATGCTGCCCCCGCTAGAAAAGTCTGCCTGGCATCTAAGGTATTATTCTGTCCGTGCCATGGAAATGTCTTTTTTTTAATTTTCCTGAGCTTTATAGATGCGTTTTTGATCCTGCTGTCTGTTCTGTGCTGCTGAAACAAAAAAAGAAGTTGTGGCTTTTATTTTATTTCCATTTTGCATTTACATCCTTTCTGTAAACCATCCTGTGAATGCGACACAAGGGCAGTATAAAAATGCATGCAAGAAATAAACCTTGCATCTGAGGATGGGGGCTGCTGTTCACAAAAAAAAAACATCTGCAACAATACATCTTTCAGCAGGCCAGACACCAAGTTTGCAGGTGGTCCAAGCAAGGAGCCCGCACCTACCCCGCCCCCCCGGGGCACCACGGCAGCCCCTCCCCCGACAGATTACCTGTGGGGAGGGAGCAGTGAGAGACTGCTACAGTCCCCCCACTCAGGGAGCAAGTGGTTAGAGGTAAGTTTTTCCCCCTTGTAATGTTAGAACTTGTGGACTTCCAATGAAGCTGAATGTTGAAAGAAAGTACCGTATTTTCCGTGTATAAGACTAGGTTTCCCCCCCTAAAAAATAATGTCAATAATTAGCAGGCGTCTTATACACGGATACATCTCCCCCCCATTTTCTTAAATCTGAATCCCCCAAAATAGGGGACGTCTTATAGA